TCATTCGAGTGTCCTCTCCTTTTCTCTCCCTTTCTCCTCAACTTTCCCCCCATTCATTCGACCTTTCTTTTTCTTTGTTAATCAAAAATTTTCATATTTTGATACTTTCTCTGGGTAAAAATGTATAATAGATCTAAAATATTAGGTTGGAAAGAAAGTTCTCGGAAAAAGTTTGACTGAAATTTCTTAAAAACGAATCCACCAATTCAAGAACATTTTCTTCTATTATTTACAAGTCGACCCCAAGAAATTACTCGTTAAAAAAATGAGTGCAGCTTTTCCTTAAAATTTTGGAGCTTTTTGAATAATTCTTATTTTCGAGCTTAAGTTGCCTGGATAACGGCTAAGGGTCAAATCAGATTTTTAGCTTCCTTGTATTATGTAAACCGATATGAAGAATTGATTGGTGGCGGATAACGTTTCCGAAAGTTTTCTGGATAACGTCAGAAGTTTAGAAGTTGCCTGGATAACGGCTAAGGGTCTAAAACCTCTACCCCCGTAAATTTTCTCACAAAAATTGCAAATTTTTCCGAGTGAATTTCATTTTAGAAATATTTCATTGTAGCCATGATGTAGTTTGAAGATTTTGCCAAAATTTTTTTTTTGGTTTAAATTGATTGGGTGCTTCTGGACGAAGCTCTAGCGATTTTCCCAAAAACACCGAAATCCTACGGGCCTGGCACTAGCTAAGAACATAGCTGATAACTGATATGACGTAATATTAGGTTGGAAAGAAAGTTCTCGGAAAAAGTTTGACTGAAATTTCTTAAAAACGAATCCACCAATTCAAGAACATTTTCTTCTATTATTTACAAGTCGACCCCAAGAAATTACTCGTTAAAAAAATCAGTGCAGCTTTTCCTTAAAATTTTAGAGATTTCTAAAGAAAAGTATTATTTTTCAGCTTAAATCCAGCTCACTTTTTGCAAAAAAATGATTCCTTATGACGTAAAGCTAGCATAAATGAGCAATACGCTTTATAATCTCTATTTTTGACCAAACATTTTTTACAGAGAAGCTGTATTTCAAAAAATAATTTTTTCGTGTCATCTTCTTGGCACAGAGTGTTTGCTAAAATTCTGGTGATTCTGAGAAGTTAAAGCATTAGATTCAATTTACCTTAATCACAAATTTTCCCTATTTTAAGTACTTGATTTTAGATTTTCAATGGGACCCATTGCCTATCCATTAACCCATTAAAAACTTGTCTAAAGGCTGCTCACTCAAAAAGTGACCAAGTCACTTCAACTGAAGAAATCTCTTATTTTTTTACCTGAAGTCCACTCTGATTTTTTTTTGTCAAAAACTTTTTGAAATATAGTGAAGTTTATCAAAAAATCTGGGAAGAATTGATGGCTTGGTTTTTGAGAAATCACCTTCCAAGCTTTTTCCGAGAACTTTCTTACCAATCTAATAAAAGCTAACCCTTGGTTGGCTTCATTTTTGTGGGTATTAGAATCGACTTGGGAGTGGCGAAACGATCTACTCGAAGAAACTCGCGAGCAGCTCGGCATCCGATTTCCAAAGCATCTGGTGACATCTGGGATCTGGGAAGAATCAAATCAAAAAATCTGGGAAGAATTGATGGCTTGGTTTTTGAGAAATCACCGTGCAAACTTTTTCGAACCTTCTTACCAACCTAATAAATTCGGTTTTTTCCAACCTTACTCGAAAACTGTTCAAGATTTTTCAATTCTGATTTGATAGGCCAAACCGCTGCGGTCGATTACATATTGTCCCCAAAAATCAGCACACCTTCCAAACTTTTTCCGAGAACTTTCTTGCCAAAATAATATTCAAAAATTCGAGCTTCAATCTTTCTAATATCTTTCGACATTCTAATTCTAAGAACATTCTAATATCTTTCAACTACTATTACAGTACTTATAGTTAGATTTTGTTGATGAGCAGCCGATTCAAGAAACCAAAAGAATACCGGAGGGATAAAGAGGGGAAGAAGAGAAGAAGCCGATTTATGAGTCCTCTTCACATAGACACACGCAATGATTAAAGAAATGGAGAAAAGAAAGAATGATCGAGGACGACTGTCCTTTTCTCATCTCTTTTCTTCTTTCTTTCTTCCTTCTTTCTTCCTTCTTTCTCCTTTTCTTCACCTTAATCGTAATCCGTGAACCACCGATGGAATCCCCTTCTTTTCGCCTTTCTTGATCCCCATTTTCACTTCATCCAACTGGAACCATTGAGATTTTTTGGCTTTCTCTTGTTTGTAGTATGTTTTTTTGCAACGTTGTCAAATATCAAATATGACCTGAGATCAGTAAATGTCATACTTATATTGGCTCTGTTTTTCGCACTCAGGCGTTCCTATTTGCGCAGATCACAACCTGCTTCCACATTTCTCTATCCCTTGCTATTGTCACCATATGGCATCATTATGTCCCGTGATTAGATCTCTCGGCCTTTGCTTGATCCCTCGATGCCGGAAGAGAGCAGGGAGGCCGTGCGGGGGACTGAGGCAGAAGTGTAGTTGTCGTAGCCGATGATACTCGGATGGCCGGGCTGGGGCGCTCGGAGGGGAACCCACGACTATCCCGCGCCGACGTTGGCACTTGGTCCGAACTTGGCAGACCGGACGGGATAGGCCGCAGGCCCTTCCTCTTCTAGGCCCCTAAATGTCATAATTATAATAAGAATCCAAAAACTCTTTCCTAAAACTTATCAACTTTGAAAAGCTATCGTAATCTATCTTTACTTTTGTCCAATTCTCTATATTTTTAATGTCAGATTGACTGATGGATAAAAAAAGTTGATAAATTACGGTAGCTTTTCGAAAGTTGACACGTTTTAGAAAAACGGATTGTTTAAGCTGAACAAATTCTGTGAGAGCTCAAACTATCACCAAATTTAGCACGTGTTTATTATTCAGAAAAACATTGTTTTTCCCTTTTCTCAAGCTATCAATTTTTTGAGCACATGCATGTAAATCCATCATTTCTTTACCCCTTTCCCCTTTATGCAATCTTCTTTCATTCCACGAACGCCCGCCAATTTTCATTCTTTCCCCCTCATCTTGCCAATATTTTGCCAAAAAATTTTACAATGATTCATCAAAAAGATCAGACAATGTTATGAATAAAATTTCGAACTTTTTCATGTCACCTGATCACTTTCATTGAGCTATTTTTCTACTGATAAACACTTATCTCCTTGAAAGTGCATTGGTGTTTATTTTCATGAGATGTTTGATGCTTTTTTTTCGGATTTCTCAATGCTCACAATCTAAATCTACCAAATCCTTATATTCCCTTCCCATTTTTCACCAAACCCATTATTTTTATGGAACTCGATTCTGTCTCTGAGAAAAGAAAATGAATGAGAAAGTCATTGGATATTTTTGCGAAATCTATAACTGCAGTTTCCTATGATCAGTTTACTAGTTCACAGCTTTTTCTTAAAAATAACTACTATGATGAGTAAGTGTTTATTTTCGAGGGCGGGGAGGGAATTCAATGAAAAGGAAACGAAAAGATCAGATGAAAGCTGATTAGAGACTGAAAAGAAAAAAGGTGGCTGAAGAAACTGTTGAAAAGATCGAATCACTCATCGATGATGTTTCATTCTGTGATCAGCATAATATTTTCTCGACAACACCTATAATATTCGTTCATTAATCTTTTCTGTTGCACTCACAACTTCAGTTAGGTTCAGATGAAAAGAAGAAATTAATCATTTTGTAAAATGGTTCCAATTTTTTGACTCGTTTTATGTCAATTTTGATTTATTTCATAGATCTATTTACAGAAATTATAAAAGAATAGGTACACTACTGGACAATGAAATATCATATTTGAAAAAACACTTTCGCACTTTCGCGCGGCTGTTCCTTCGTCCTTCGTCTGTTCCCCAAATTCCTTTGCCCATGCTGATTTCAATCGCCAATGGTACCATACCTTATTTCATTGTAACTTTTCCAAGTTCAAGAATCAATATTTGTTTTTTCCTATTCTTCAACTCCCAACAAATCCCCAAACCCATCATCACCCTCGAATATTGAAAAAATAACCCCAAAAGCTTTAATAGTAAATGAAGGTTTTTTTTTGTAAACAATGAAATTGAAATCAATGAATTTTGCCTACTTTTTAAAGTTAACCTTTTTTTGATCATAACAACCATATCATTATTTCTTGATATATGAACACTTTCTGCGGGAGGGAAATCAAGCTGTATCCATGGATCCTTTCCTGGAATCATTGAATCCATCGGAATCCATCAAAGCTGATTTTCCTTTCCTTCAACCAAATCGAGAATTTCATCGTTTTCTAGATTCCTTTCTCTACCTATTTTCTTTTCTTTCCCATCTTCTATTTGGTTATCCACAAATTTTCCGAAAAGAACCTTGAAATCATCTCTTTTTTGAAGGAGTTTCAAAGAAAATTTGTGATCTTCTTCTTTTTTTGGTTCTTTTTCATTCACCTTTTCTAATTTTTTCTAATTTTTGAATGAGTTGCAAAGTAATTAAACAAACTTTTCAATGATTCTCTTTTCATGTCTTTTTCTTTTCTTTGCTTTCTTTTCTTTGCTTTCTTTTCTTTTCTTTCTTTTCTTTTCTTTCTTTTCTTTTCTTTTCTTCAATCGGTCTTTGATTGATTTTCATCTTGATCACTGATTCCATCTTTTTGAACTTTGTCTGAAATGTTGAAATGGAGACAATGGAGTTGAAAATTGAAAAGCTTATGCCACTTACAGTATACTTCTAAGCTTTAGCGTAAATATCGTTGTAGTATCATCTTTTATCATCTTTTCTTTCAAATCCGTTCTATTTTACTATTCATTTAAGCAGTTTTGCTTTTTTTAAACTAAAATCTGCATAAAATTTGTCCTAAGTAAAGACAATTTTAAAGCTTTTTTTCATACGATAGGCTGACTTTCTTTCAAAATTCAAAATTGATAACTTTTCTTTACGATTATCTTATTGTCAATTTTCAAATTCATTTAAACAGCTCTCAAAGCAAATCTACAATCGAAATTTTTCCAGTAAAATGTCTTCGACAGACTTCTTATCTTGTGACGGAAATTTCCTCCATCTGCCCGATGATCGAAAGTTCAAAAATGAGAAGAGAAAAGGTAGGGTTGAAAAGAATTTTCTGCACATAAAGTTAAGCTTCTCAAGTAAAAGCCTTTCATATCAAAACTTTCAGATTTTTCGTCAACTCGTATCTCGTGTTTGACTACCCAGTTGGCCACCGATTCCCCACCCCGACCACCAAAGCAGAAAGATCCACGCTTGTGCTGTATCACGACGAGAACGGGTTTGTTGCTAAAAATTGCTTATTTATCGTAATCTAAAGATAACATTCAATGGCTGGGCTAGAGCTAAGCCACATTTTGTACTTTGAAATTTTAAACTAGGCTTAGGGTAATCCCAGGTCACCAAAGCTGCCTTTACGGGTCATCGGCCATGGAAAGGCCAGAGCTTGGCCCTGACCCTGATTAGCCTAGCCCTTTTCTGGTTTAGAAATTTGTTCTGACCCAGATCGGGACACCTGGACCAGTGGTCTAACAGTTTTTAAGCCATTTATACGTATTGTAATACGGTTCCTATTTTGATCTAAAAGGTTCCAATACGGTTCTAATACGGTTCCTATTTGGATCTAATGGGTTCCAATACGGTTCCAATATGGTTCCAAAAAACCTAACGTTATTGTAGTTTACGAACTACGCTCCACAAATATCCATTTCCAGCCTCGATCATCGGTTCCTGTTTAACGATGATTGCCATTTTATCAATTTCCGGCTACTTTACTGTCCGATTATTGGCTGATTCCGACAAAAGCCATCCGGTCTCTTTTGGGAAACTATTAGGCAGGAAATGAAGATAATATATTTTCCAATAATTCCTTTCCAGGTCTCATCCTTCCATCATGTTTGATATTATTCTGTTTTATGTCATTTCAATGGGGTCTCTTCTCAAGAAAACACTTCGCCCTTTTACCCTTCATTTTGACGACTCTCTTGCTATTGGTGGCCCTTATTGGTGAGATAATTTTAAAGTAAAGTACAGAAAATCTTTGGTGATAAACTATTCTATCATTCGTGAGACCTTTATTTCGTTTCCAGGAACATTAGTGGCTTCAATGTTAATGTTACCGGGAGAAGTGGATGATATCAATCAAAAGAGCGCCTCTGTTGCCGTTGATCGAAGTGCGGGAAGAATGGGTGAAGCAATTGTGATTAGGTATGGAGAAAGTTATAATTCAACTTAGTTGTAAATCGATAGTAATGAGTGTGTTTCTTTTGACTAATTTTCTAAAATATGACGACTTTCGAAAGCTATCGTAATCTTACCAAAGTTACCGATTTATCGAATTTTTGTCTCTTAGCATTCCCCGGGAATCTTTACAGAATCAGGCAAAAAGTGGACGGATTGGGAAAGATTAGATTACGATAGCTTTCGAAAGTTGACACATTTTAGAAAGCGCTTTAGTTGATAGGTTACAGTAGTTTCCGAAGTTTCCAAATCTTTAAAATTAAAAAATCTTTTCTTAAAGACTATAAAGATCTATTACAACTAAACTTTATATAAAGCAAATATATGAAACAATCAAATACCGTATTCTCTCTAATAATAGTGCACCCTGAGCCTTGCCTAAATTGGTCGAAATCTCGAAAACCACTTATCAGAACCGATCGATGTGGGGTCGGAAAATGTAGCTGACGATGAGATCTTGTGGGGGATTTGAGTGTTGAGCTTTTGCAAAAGCTTGGAAGGCCTATAGCCTGGATCCAGGCCAACAATCCAGATTTGATTTATGGTAACGCAAGCTGTTATCGCATTTTCCCAAAAGTGCACCTTAAGCTTCGCCTAAATTCCTTGAAATCTCGAAAAGCGCTTATCAGAACCTATTGATGTGGGGTCGGAAAATGTAGCTGACGATGTGATCTTGTGGGGGATTTGAGTGTTGAGCTTCTGCGAAAACTTAGAAACCGTAAAATAGTCATCAACGCGGCTCGGCGCGGTGCACTACTATTAGAGAGAATACGGTATATGCAAGAGCAGAAAGAAACAAAGAAATTCATAAACAGTAAATTAGAAGGAAAGGAATCTTCAGAAAAGAGCAACTGATCCTTTTTCTCTGGAAGAAAAACTTTTGCGACGAGCACTGTTTAGGAAACACAGACAAAACAAGTGTGAAATGAAATAGAATTGACGTCCAACTTTAGTCCTTAACTGACAATGAGTATCATTTGTATAGGAAAGTCACAAAATCTATGCGGAGCGTAAGCTTCGCATTGTTCGAAGTTTCAGAAAAGATCAACTGAGCACCTAGCGGGCCAAAAGTTAGTAAGAAATCCAATAGCTTTATTAAAGCTTTCGCACTTTCGCGCGTCTGTAACTCCTTTGTCTTTACCGTATTTCTAAATATTAATATTACCATTGTGTAGCCCTTGAAAAGAGCTTTCAGAAAATGTATAACACTAATAGTTTAAACTCAAAGACAAGGGAGTTACAGACGCGCGAAAGTGACGATCGTTTTTCAAATATCATTTTTCATTGTCCAGTGCCGTATATTACAACAAAATTTTATATAACGCAAATATATCAAATGTAATTCAGATGCAGCGTCTGTGCTATTGTCCTTCTCCAAATAATCTTCCTCTATGCCTATCTTCGCACGTTTTTCTATTTAAGATATTTAAATCAAAATAATTAAAAAAAATAGCATTCATCCTCATCTTGCTTTAACGATTTTTCTTTCAGTTACCGATTTTATTTCTCTCTTTTTTTCTCTTTTTGGGTTTCTTGTCACTTTCGCTTCAATTACGGGTACAACACTTTGTTTGTATGTAAATAGATCGTTTGAAAATAAAGACATTAAAGTTTTTTTATTTATTACCCGTATCACAAAGGTAGAATGGTCAAAATGTACAAAGAAGTTAGAAAACGGATAAACATTGCACCAAAATGCACTTCTTTCAGAAAATTGTAATCAAATAGCTAGTTTTCATTTAATCAACCGTATTTTGACATTATTAGCCTTGTTATTTCTCGTGAAATGATACCAAAATTGAGTTGATTTGATGAAAAATGGCGCCTTGGTTACGGTAGTTCTCCGAAAACGTATCAGCCGAAAAAGGATGTCACACGAAAGAGGATATCACAAGTTGTTCAGCCTTTCTCCAGACAATTTTCATTTCAAATTTTGCATATTCTTTATCTTTTTTTTTATCACAGCAGCTACAACTCCTCGTTAAACATTGACAGGTTGTTCGGGATTTCTTTGTGGACTCTGATTGGGAAATGTCCTCCGCGGTGTCCCGCTTGAGAGATCGAGACCTTTTACCTGATGAGATACTTATTTACTTTGATTTTTATTCCCAACATACTTTGAAAATCTCGCGACATAGCAAAGCGTTGATCTGCATTTGAAAGGCACTCCGGTAAAGCCGTGATCGGAAGAATACGATATAGTAGTGCTGAGAGTAGCAGATTAGAGCAAATGTTACCTAAAGAGTCATTATTTGCAAGTTGGAATGCATTACATTCAAAGCCAGGCTTGGCAAAAACGCAAATTTAAAGTGTAACTAAACTATTGATGAGTTTTTTGGGTTTATAAAGTACCGTAAATACTGTAATACTACCCCACCCCCATAATGACGGTGCGGAGTGTTGGGTAGTCTAGCTTTGAACGAGTTTTTCTCGACACTGGTTTATGCTACAATGCGTGCTTAGGTATCAAAAAATAGCCCTGAATTTCAGCTATTTTTTGATACCAAAGACGCATTTTTTGAAAGTACGGGCGCTTTGAAAAATACTAAAAAACTTTTGCGACTAGCGACGACGCGACTGTACGAGGGGGGTACTATCACAGTATTTACGGTAGGTCTTTTTATAGAGCCTTGATTATTTCTAGTGACATTCATTCATTCAAGACTATCAGATCACTCACTGCATAACTTTGAGTGTACTCTTGTTGTATTTGATTCTCCGTCCAATAGTACGCTGATTGAACCATTAGATCAAGGCAAAGCCACGAGAAACCGGAAACGATGATCAATAGGAGAAGAGCACGAACAAACTGGAAATAGGGACCAATTTTTTAGGTAAAGCCAAGCAAAGCCTAGGCTCTGGCTTTTAGCTTTTTAGAACAGCTCTGATCTTGAAAATAAGGGCCAGTGATGAAAAGATATTCAGCTATTTGCCAAACCTTTCGATTATCCCTCGCTTCTCGATCTCTTTTATGAGCTGATCCTCTCATTTGTTTCTCTAAAGTGAACTTTTACAATACTTCTAGTTGAAGTCCCACCTCGGACACGAATTATCGAATAGGAAATGCCAAAAATGGTGAATGCGAGTAGCGTGAATAACAACTGACTGAGAGACCAGACTCTGGAAAATTCACTGAAAAATCAACTCCGTTAAAATACCGAGCGATTGGTTTCGGAAAGGCGAGTGGGGGATTGCAGAAGAGAATCTCGTGATCGTTGAGATGAAATCGCGAATAGAGAAACATGGAGATTGTGTAGATCATCGTCGGGATGTTCAAAAAGAAACAATAGGTTTTTGTGCCCCAAACACGGTGTCTGAAAAATCAGTTTTATTATTATGGCATTCTATAAAAATTTCGAAAGTTTATCAACACATTCTCATAGCTTTATAATGCTCAACTGACTCCAGCGTGTTCGGTCCTTTCAATAAGAATGTATCCAAGTCTGGCAGTAAGATTTATAGCTTTGCTAACAATTTTAAGCCAGAGTTGAACCCTTTGAGCTTGCAGGGAACATCCAGATGTTCCTACCGGGACTGAAAGCCGGGAGCTGGCAAAAATAGCGCATCTGCTGTTAAGTTTCTATGTGTTTCTTATTTTTATTTGATGTGGAATACAATTATCTACATTTTGCATACTTTGGGATCCCTTAAAACAGAATTAGTGTCGAGAAAAGCTCAGTTAACCTCTTTTTGAGCGTTTTTTTTGGCATTTTCTCATTCCAGCTTTTTTCTAAACGGTTTTGAAAAAATTCAACAGATAGCTCATTCTTTTTTTTCTATATCCAATGAAAATAAGAAATAGAGATAAACTTAACAGCAAACGCATTATTTTGGTCGGCGCTGTTTTGAGCAGCTCTCTGAAAACCAGGGTCCAGCCAGCCAAGTCCTAAGCCACCAAACTATTTGCCATTTACCATCTAGTTCATACATATCTAGTCGACATACGTTCATGTGCTCAAAATTGACCAAATTTTGGCTTGTTTTATAGCTTTTATAGTTTTATATCGGAGTTCGACTCTCTGATTAGTTTTCTGGCTTTCTGGCTTTGAAATTTTTGATTTTAAACTCCCCTAAATACTTCCCATTTAAATTTGCCGAAATCTCTGAAACCCTTCAGTTTGTTTTACCTAATCGGCCACAGAACAGAGATCAAGAAGTTGACCGTCATCACACAGTACATACTTGTCTACAATGCAACATTGTAAAAAGCTCTTTTAAAGTCTTTACCTGCCAGCAGATAATTAGCATGTATGGCTCAATCAACTGAAGATCATTTTGTAATAATTGTTCTTTTCCCTTACCTTAAAGCATTCTCTTCGAGTTACTGGTATTTTCATCCATTCCAAATATGCGTTCACGAGTTCAAACACCAAACAAATATTGTGCATGACGGCAACTTGAGCAAGGAAAGTTCCTAGAATTTGAAGTTTTTTAATTACAGTACTCTTCAATAACAGTTATTTTCAAAGTACTGTCTTTTGAAGAGCATCTTGGTACTGACTCAATTTCTTGACTTTGTTTACAGCTTTGCTTCAATACAACTCTTTATAAACCCACTATAGGGATACTGTAGTTACCGTAAAAGCTCTAATAAAAGAACCCCCTATAGGAGCGTCGCGTGGTCTAAGTTTACTCTCAAACAAACGCTCATATCTCGACACCAGTACGTTTGTTTCTTTCTTCAACTCACCATGTTTTGTCCTCAATCTTTTATGCTTAACCGTCGCATAGATCAGATTACAATTCCCAAAAAATCCGACAAAGTTGAAGAGCAATATTTGTAAGGCAAAAAAGCCACGCGAAAGATCACTTCTATCATTCAATTCTCTCATGTGGATCTAAAAATAAGATGAAGATAAAGTTGAAAAAGTAAAAAATCAATCCTTTTCCAAGAGAAAAAGATGCTGTTAGGCTAAACTTCTAATCCGAGAAAATCCCGTTTATCTCCGATTCTTAGAATAAAAAATGGTGGAACAGACCGTGAGATTTGACATTTCTTCAATTTTCCCTCTCGTTTTTTCTATCAAAAAGAAATCCTCGAATATCCACTTGATGAAAGAAAAGTGAACTTATTAATCGGCGTCTTTTGCGGGTCAAAATATTTACTTTTCTTCTAAATTAGAACGATTTTTTGGGATAAACTAGTAGTGCAAGATAGGAAATGGGGAAAATTCAAAGGATAACGTGTTTTCTAAAACTGTTTTCTGTTTTCTAAAGATCTCAAAAACAGACAGATTTAAAGACAAGCCTATAATATTTTTTTGCAAATTTAGAAAACACATTATTTGCGAGGCACAAATCAGTGCTTACTATTTTGCACCAACTAAAAATACTATTTTTTAATGCAAAAGCGCCTATTTTCCGAGCTTTGAAAGTCAAATTCTGAGAAGCAATATAATTATTGTCTCAGAATAGTAATAGTGAAAAGATGAGAAAAGTTTTCAAAATAGAAAAGAAAAGAAAAGAAAAGAGAATTCATTTCCCTTAGGAGGAAATAGATTTCTTTTGCATTTTCCCTTTTCCCGTCTGAAAAGGCGAAAAAGAGGCTGAGCTTGCAATTAAATTAGTCCTCGAACCATCCAAAAAAAAACTCTTTAACACACAAATCAACGCCCTCTTAACATGAAGATGGTCTGGTAGCGCAAAAAAAAATGATCTAAAAATAAGTTTTCGAACATCACGTAAGGTAAACTTGTGGAAAAAGATCTGGTTTGAGATTCAAGAGAGTCATTTCTGGGAAACTACGATTTGGCTGAGCTTTCTTGGAAAAAGTTCTTTTTCTAGACAGCCAATTGACCCAGCTTCAAATACATTCGCCCCTTTCTAATAGATTTTAATTCGAAGACTCTTTCTCATTACCAGTTAACGTGCACTCTCCTTTAAATTAGCCTAAGTAAACTGATAACAATTCGAACCGACGTCCAGTAGTTAATAGTATGCTAATTTCCCAGCAAGCCGACACCAAAATTTCGGTCCGGCTTCGGCTTCGGCTTTTCGCTTCGGCGCACACTGAACCGAAATCAGAACGAGCCGAACCAAAATGCACCGAACCGAAAATGTTACGAGATTGGTTTTGATGCATTCTTCGTCGTGTACTTTGTGCCCAAACTTGTAAACACGCCCTTCCTGGTGCACTCGATTCTTCACTTTTCTAGTTTCATATCTAATGGAAAATCGGAAAAATATTGCATTTGAAACGATAAAGGGAGGCGAAACGAACTCGTTGAGGCCAAATAATAAAAAGATTTGCACATCAAAATTAGCATACGATTACGTTTACGGTAGGTATCAAAAAATTGCATACAAATTCTTTTGGCGGATATAAAACGCGCACTTATTATTTTTTCGTTTACTTATTTCCTCTTTCTCACACTTTCGTTTCGGTGCTGCCTTTCGATGAGTAAAGAAACGACTAAAATCGCACCTCAATCTGATCTCTCGGCCAATAAAGAAGGTTGTTTTTGATATTAACCACAAGCAATTTGAAGGATATCTAAGAAATTACTGTTAAATCTTGGTCTTTCAATGTTTAGTGCACTTTTATTATGCGTTTCTTGAAACTCTTCTTTACATTCTTTATTTTCAGCAACGACTGTCGTGTCTTATAAAAAAGGAGCCCTGGTACCGATCCCGACTCTAGCCATTCCGATTGACCAAAATGCGGATAGGAGTTACAGCAGCATTTATTCAGAGGTAATATTTGGCTTCTTTGCGAGCATAATTTCAAAAGTTTAGGACTTTAGGAAACGGATGGAAAAGCTCGAGGAGATGCCTTGCTTCATCTACGAACTCGTAATGAAATGCTGGCGCAAACAACCGATTGATCGTCTTAATTTTTGGTAAATTTTTCTTGGTAATGAATTTCATTTTTTTAAAAACTCATTTTAGCGAAATTGCCGACTTGTTGGAGCCGTTTTACATCGAGAGCGAATTCGTCCATGTTGAAGCTCTTCTTGAACGAAACGAGGAAACGAAAGGAAAACTCGCGCGGAAAAGTTCACGAATGAGGCGTTAAAAAGTCGTTAATATTTTCTTTAAAGAATTGCTCTATTCCGTGGCTCCGTATAGAGATTAATAAAGTGTACAAATAGTTCAATGTCTTTATTCATCAACCAAAAAAGACTTTTGTGTTTTCGTGGAGGATTTTTCTTTTGATTTGCGACCGCAGAAGAAATCTGCTTTTGAGGACCAAGTTTTGCTCTTTTCTTGCTTTCTAAAAAAATTAGGAGTTACTTTAACGGGGAAAGGACTAACTTTTCGGGTATGTAAGTGGTCTCGTTGTAGACACTGAGATCCAATCCTGTGGCCCAACTGGGAGTCATTTCAATGTCTAGAAAAGAGCAAAAAAAGTTAGATACGTATTAATAAAAGGCCCAACCTCTAGAAGTTAGTAAAATAAAAGCAACGAGTCAGCTACGAGAGGCGAGTTAGAATGAGTTTTGATCTCTTCCATTTTTTTAGTCATTTCTTGCTATGGAAATTGTTAAATGTTAATTGAATTATTGAAGCTTTCTATGCCCTAATCGAGGCATATTTCACAAGATAAACTAGTGGGTGATGATCGGGAATGGAGAGGGGAAGAGGGGAGGACTGATTGACCGTGGAAGTGATGACCTGAATCTTTCTGTGAGATCCTTCCCTTCCCCTCCCCTTTCTCCCCTTTTCTTTTTCATATCCCAGCTTTCACCTCTTCTCTTTTCATAGCAAAACGTTTTCCTTTCCTATTTTTTATATTGATGTCTATAATTAACCTTGTTCATCGATAATCAGCTGCACTTTTTTGCTAGTAGATTTGCTTACCAAATTATGCTCGACTTACCATGCCGATTCTCCTTTTAAAGCATTAGAGACACTGTAAATTCTCGCTATTCATCTCTTATCTGTCTACAGTACGCATAAAGTATTTAGTTGACAAGAATCAATAACCAATTTTTTATTGAGCATAAAGTCTTCAGTTTGCGAAATGCTTTCACTTTACTGTGGTGAAAGAGTGCGCTGCGACTTCACATACCTTTATAGCGACCAAATTTTTATCATTCAAATACCAATGGCTTCTGTTTGATGCTAAACTATCGATAAAAATGCTTTAAAATGATCTGGCTATCTTGTGAAATGACAAGTTGCAAAGATTCGATTGTGCTCATTTCAACCACTCCTACCCCTCCCTCCCACAGACCGGTCTACTATTGTCCCTCAATTTGTCTTCCAATTAATTGCTTGTCACATTTGTCACATAAAAATGTATGTTTGTAAATGTAGAGCGAGTTCACCTTCAAGTCAAGATCACAATCACTGTATCGTTCTTTTCGCCATTTCTTTCTTTTCCCCAACAACAGTTTCGCATAAAAGGGAAATAGGGGAAACTTGTTCTCCATTACATTTTCTTTTCATTTCATGTGCTTTTCCCTTTTTTTTTCTTGCCATTCAAGATCGTCATTGCATTGATGCCATAATTTTAGAATCATTTAGCGTTTCCCTGTGGTAAAAGAACAATCATTGTGCTTGAATGTGCTTGAAAATTGTTGAGAAATGCTTGAGACTTGCATGAAAATGCTAACTTTCAAAAGTTAGCTCAATCTGCATTATTGAGATTTTTATGATGTAACGAAAAAATGAAATTTACCTCTTCAAAATTTTTCAAATTCTGTAAAATTACCGTATTTCTTCGAATAGAAGACCGGGTAAAGAGTATCATCGCGTACTCCTGCGTAGCAGCCCTTTTTAAAATTTCTTTTCTGCATAAAAGCTTTCAATGAAGTGCTATAGGGCTGGAAAATGGCTCAAAAATCTGTTAGCTCATGTGGTTTTTTTGAGCCATTTTCCAGCCCTATAGCACTTCATTGAAAGCTTTTATGCAGAAAAGAAATTTTAAAAAGGGCTGCTACGCAGGAGTACGCGATGATACTCTTTACCCGGTCTTCTATTTGAAGAAATACGGTAATTGCTAAATCCATAAAAGTGTTACTACTTTTCCAAGTTGTTTTTTCCGCTTAACTAATTAATTTTCAAAAAATATGCCAACTTTCGAAAACTATCGTAAGCTTGTCTCCTGTTTTATTCATCTCAAGATTACGGTAGTTTTTAAGAGTTGACACGTTTTATATTTGAAAGGAACACACTCTAAGTTTAATGGTTGTAAAGATTTCCGAAAGAATATCTTTTTACGTGAACTCTGGTTAATTAAGCCAAATCAAATGAAGTGTTTCTCTTGAAAGGCATTTTGAAATAAGCCCGTTTTTTTTCATTTCAACCTTTTCTTTTATCTTCTCTCTTAACAATAACAAGTCTCGTCTGGTTTCTGTGCTTTCACTCTATTTCCTTTTTTGTCTCTTTTCTTCCCATAACAAGTCCGGTTTTATTTGTCCTTTAGGGAATTCCCCTTTCATTTTTTTTTTCTATTCTCACTTTCTAGTAAATCTTGTTTTTCCTATTTAGTTTTGTTAAATCTACGAGACTTAAGCTTAAATTTAGATGAGAGAACGGTGGAGATTCACTTGGATTTTCATCGTTTTTCACGCCACCTTTGAGTCTCTTTTGGCTCAAAATTACGAAAAGGACTATTCTCCGTTGCTTGATGTATGTCAAATGATTAGAAAAGGATCACGAAATTTGTTTTCTTTCAAGATATTTCTGCATTTAAAGAATTAACTCAAATGCGTTTTCTAAAACGTGTCAACTTTCGAAAATGACCGTAGCCTTTTACCTTTGCTTAGAAAACGCATTTTTTAACAAAAACTGAACTGAATACTTGGGGGTGGGACAAATGCTACCTTTTTTTGCTGGAAAAGGCCTTCGGAAAGGTCGTAGAGCTTCAAAAATGTTTTCATAGAAGGGAATCGTATGCGTAGATTCCGAATTTCGACAAATCAGACCTCGCTGACACGTCAAATTTGGGCTAAAAGGCAAAAACTACGCAACTTAACGCTTTTCCGCAGTTTTTGTCTTTTAGCCCAAATTTGACGTGTCAGCGAGGTCTGATTTGTCGAAATTCGGAATCTACGCATATGATTCCCTTATATGGAAATATTTTCGAAGCTCTACGGCCTTTTCCAGCAAAAAAAGGTAGCATTTGTCCCACCCCCGAATACTTAGAAAAAAAACGTATTTAGATAACTGATTATCTTTTTGAATGATTTGAATATGCAATTAAACTATTTTAAACCTTTTTAAGTGATCATTTTCAGCAAAATGCTTCTCCAAACAACCCAGGAATGGTGCTTCGTTTGATGCCCACTGGATTGGCCTATTTGAGGGAAATCGGTATAAAGGTTTAAAGAGACACTTTAAAAACAATCAAAAATGAGCTAACAGGTGGTGAACGAGCAAATCCTCAAACTTCCACTACCGACAATCCGCGAGAGCATCGAAAATGGAGAAGTGAGTCCAACTTTGTTTCCCTAAATCTCAACTCTCTTCAGGTCTCAATTTACAGTGCCCACATCTCGAAATATTGGGCTCCCCAAGAATATTCCCTCGATTTGGTCGATCCGAACATTTTCACGTGGAGCATGTCGAAAATGCATATCAGGTATCGAATTTAAAAAAACAATAGAGAAAAAAATCGAATTCTAGAGCAGCTGGGGAATTCGAAGCGCGACTGAACAGTCCGTTGTTGATTCCATCAGTGCCGATTACTGGTCATTTCGAGGCACTCCTTGGACATGTCGCACTCACTGTTTCCGTTCGATTCACCAGGTACCAGGCAAAACACGGTAAAACCGGTTTGTACTTTGTGCTTTGACAAATGCACACTGTCTAGCGTACACGATTTGATTTGATTCGTAAGATATCATTTTGATCTTCGATAATCTACAGAGTGTCCCAAAAGCGCTTATACTTTTTCTGTAAGCAGTCATTTTTTTTGAAAAACTAACGCCAGATTCTAAAAATTCAGGTATTTTTTGCCCAAGATTTCAACTCTCAACAACTTTTTGACTAGGATTTTTTACATCCAGATCTAGTCGCTGAAGCTTTTTGCGAAAGTTCAGTTAAACTTCGCAGAATGAAATTTTTTCCAAAAACTGTTGTTATCATTTGATAGACCTAAGTTTTTTCTTGAAAAAAAAAAAGCCACAAACGAACTTTAGATCTCAAACAACGAAAGATTTTCAAGCAATTCTACTGAGGGCACTAAAATCTTAAAAGCAAAAAAAGCGCTATGATCACCTTTAAAAATCCTCATCAAAAAGTTATTTATTTAGAGTTACAACTTTTGTGCAAAAAAAAGTATAGTATGGGTAAAAATACCTTGGTTTTCATAATCCGGCGTTAGTTTTTCAAAAGTAGCGTGTTTTCCGCGTTAAACTGTCCGTTTACAAAACGTATAGGAACTTTTGAGGCACCGTGTATATCATTCAGAACGTCGTGGGGAGCCCCTCAAGTAGTCGCGGCTCAATGCCGTGCTCTTATCGGATACGTTGATTTGAATGTTCGAGACACCGGAATTCTCACCGATTTCTTCATCAATGCCTTTAAAAGTATACAAAAGCTGATTTCCAAATCATCCCCCCACATATTCAGGCTTTTTGATTAGCAATTTCAAGCCGATGGTCGAAGATCGAATGTGTCGAATGATCGAGAAGATTATTGATCACGATATGAATGCTCTGCTTTCGACAATGCCGACAAAAGTTGAGAAATTTGAGGAAAACATTCATTAATTTGAGCTCAGATAGCGATTCACGAGGAGAACGTGGGCGTGGTGAGTGAGACTTTCCGTCTTCGACCGCCGAGGAGTAAACTGGGACAAGCTGGTATTAGAAATTTGCTGACAATTCTATGAAAAAGTTCATTTTAGGCTTCAAGAACATGACCCTTCTCAACTTTGTGCAAAATCTTCGCGATCGAGATATGGTTTTGGATTACAAGTTTGTCACTTTACTAGTAACTAGTACTAGTTGCCAGGTTCTTAGTGTACGGGAAAATATTTACATTTTTAGGCTCACTTCGGATCCTTTCGTGAACGATGGAGCGATAGCGATGCTCGCAAAAGGAGAAATCTCATGGTAACACGTTAGTCTATGAATTAAACTAAGGTATTGTATCATACTTGACATTCTAAACTCAATCCATAATCCTAAGAGATGGATAATCATATCCAAGGAGTCATATGTCAAATTCAGTGCATTCAGGTGTTATTCATGTTTTTCAGGAAAGGTACAGGTGGCACCCCGTTTTTCCCTCCATCAATCCGTGTACCCGCTTCTCGTTCGGTTCACATGGTCGAGTTCGTGGCCACTGATTATATTGCAAACTCATTGCTGTATCATGCTTACAAGCAAAAGTTTATGGATATCGTCGTTGGTAAGGAGGATGCGTTGTTTATCGCAAAATGATTTTCAGGCCCCGAATCAAGTCCATCCTTGAAAGACCTCCTGCAAACATCGTGTGATGGTGGGATTTGTATAGGAGAGTTTCTGGGTGGCCTCGGTGAACAATTCCCGCATCGACAAGTCGAGATTCTCTTTACTGCTAGAAAGGTATGTCAAATTGCAAAGATGGGAAAATACTTATCGTAACCCTGTAATGTAAATAGTTTACCGTAACCCGTTTTCTATTTTGCACTAGTTTTTGCCGCTGCTAAATCAAAGGGTAAGGGTTACTTATTCCTATTGAAGGTATTACGGTAGGTAAATGAGTTCAAACTTTGTCATTTAAGTTAACCAAACATACTCAATCCAGGCTCCACTTATCGTTTTCGTCGAAAAGCGTGCTCGCTTCCGTCTTCACGGAGCGATCAACATGTATGTGCGACCCTCGAATGCCACTCAACAGAAACAGCTCGTGAGTCTCACAAAAGCAAATCATTCAATCAATGCATTTCCCTTTTCAGGTTCTCCGAGCCGACACAACAATGACATCGAATGTTCACCTTTGGATTTCCACGGGTAAAGTAATCGGGAATGCTACCATCGACAATCTCGATTTTAAACTCATTGAATCAAAGGTGGGTTTATAAAGCAAAAACGAGAAGAGTTTGCAAATTCTTTCAGATACAAGACGTCGATCAAGGCGTTTTTGCCGATTTGGGACTCTTTGGAGCCGAATTTCTAGAGCAATTGCTCACCGAAATCCTGCAGATTGGCATAAAATTGCCTACAATGGACGGGATTTTCATCAAAAGTCCTCGGTTTGCATTGAAGCCTCTTATGCACAAATCCAAATTTTCAGCCTTTCTTTTCATGAACGATACTTAAAAGTGGAGACTTATTTCAAATTGGACGAGAATTATGCTGGGCAAGTGGTTCATGGGGCTGTGCGTCAAACATTGCAAAATGTCGGATAATCAATTTATCATGCCCACTTAAAAAATTTTTCGATAACTCAGATAATCAGGTATTTAATGCAAATATTGTCGTGTCTCTGAATAATACGGGTGCATAAATCTTAAAAAATTGTTCAGAGAAGCATCCAATCAAAAATTTTAACTCGTTTAATATTTTAACCAATACTTTATTTAACCAAGGCTCATAATGATATTACAGTTTTCAACCAAACACTACGTATCTAAACAAAATAATTCCAAATAACATAAAGTGTCACAGTGATATCCAAAGAAAAACAAGGCGGAAGAATAGCTGGCTTTAACGATTTGAGGGTCCTGGTTGATCCGGAACTGCTTCATCATTCATAGCTGTCGTCACACGTCGTCGTCGGCGGTTTGAACGGTCGAGCATTGTTTGTGCGTGATAATGATGTTGCAGCAAAGGACGACCTGCTGCTACTGCCGTTCGACTAACGTCAATAACCAAATCCCTTTCTCTGAATTGAGTATCGCTTAAAAGTTATGCTCAAAAACCTTACTCATGACGTCGACGACGTCGCGGTGGTGGTGCATCAGCTGATTGTTCATCAGGGGAAGGTGTGCGAGCTACTCTAATGTGTCGCTAAAAAAAAGCTTTTATAAACTTGTATCTACTTAAAACTCACAGCTTGATTTGTAATTAAATCCAATGCGTCTTCCGGTGCTAGTTGTTGTTCTCCAACTTCTTGCTCACCAAACGGTCTATTTCTTTGTGGATTTCTGGGAATCTAGAAATAAAAAAATAATAAAATGAAACAAAAAACTCAAACCGTAAATGCTTGAGAAGTCTCTGCTACTGGAGGACGTTCAATGACTCCATGTGCCTCGCCAGCGTTTTCATCTCCAACTTCCGGATAAGGGGTAGGTGAGCGGCGAAACAGATCTCCTAGTGGAGATTGAACCTAAAAAATTTAATAAAGTATTTTCGTATTCGTTTATACAGAAATATACGTTTCTCTTTTAGCTATCGCTTATATTAATAAAACTTAGATCTCCAAAGACAAAAATATACCTCTTCTGGTGACTGTCTATAAGAGCGATCACGTGCGTTTTCAAGAACGATAATCTCCTACAAATTATTAAAATTTTAAAATACTAAACAAAAACTACCTCGTCATTATCGATTGGCTCTCCTTTGATTTCACGTTTAACGATTTCTAACGGACTGAGGTGAAGTGCCATTCTGATCCGATCGTTAAAATCCTTGCTCGAATTCTCCAAGCTGATCGACAAATCCTTTCTTATTTCGCTTACGTTTTTTTCCAGCTAAATTAAAATTTTCAAAGTCCAGAAAAAACACACACACCCGTTTGAAGCTTTCTGAGATCTCTGTTGCAACCCTTACATACGCATCTGCTTCTTCCGAAGTGCTATTCCTAAATCGTATGTGTATACAACAAACGAACAACCAACAAAACCTATTGATTTGACGTAGACTCGAGCTGACCTCTCCAAAAGTTCGCTGTGCTTGCTCCAATCCCTTTTATTTTAAATAGAGAGTAATTATATATAAATTATTACTTGTTTCATCTCTGCTCCACAATCGTTCAAACGATCGACAATGTTTCCAATGTTGATAGTCGTTTGAGCCGCAACAGCAGCAACTTGATTCACTTTTTCAAGACGATCCCTAAAACTCTAAGTGAATATGTTATAGGCATAAACCTACAATAAATCCTGTTCGGTTAAAGCCTTGCGCTCAATTATTTCCTCGCCGTGCTTGATATGCAGACGAACAATGCAGAGTGAGCAAATTCGAGCCTAGAGTCTTGAGATTTATGAAAAACTTTTCTAAAGTACCTTGCCAGGACAAGCGCCACAGACAAAATAAACTCCTTTCTCGACTTCTTTGTCACATTCGGAGCAAGCCATGCTGAAGACTGACTGAGACAACGATACCTCCAGATCCTTTTCCCTTTTCATGCGCTCAATAATCTCTAAACAAAAGAAATTAACTCCCAAGAAGAAATCACCTTTTAAACGATAGTTCACAGGTAATCCATTGACCGGAACTTCAGTCATCGATCTGCATTCGGGGCAGCGAATCCTTGTGACACGTTGTCGAAGAGTAGCTCGAACTGGTCGATGTGGATAACCCTAAAACAAGCATTTGCACATAAAATAGGCAAATATCTTACCAGGTTGTGTTCAAATCCATGCAGAAATGGTCGCTGATGATCATGCGGATGGGGCGGCATTTGATTTGCCAGCCACTTAAACTGTCAATTTTAGGAAAAAAGTAGAAACCTACCATATCAGGTCGAAATTGCTGGTGCATGGCTTGGGGCTGCTGCCCCATCTGCATGGGTCGAAATTGCTGGTGCATGACTTGGGGCTGGTGCATGACTTGGGGCTGCTGCTGCAAGAAAAATCCACCACCTACTCCTCCGAGCCCTCCTAAACAAATGTTCTACAAGTTTAGTAAAGGATCTCAACCATACCGTTCCCATTGGCGTCGTGTTGATCCAAATCTCTGGGAAGGTTACGAAGCTAAATGCAAAGTTTTTTTCAAAAGAACTTAGACCAAAAAAACTTCAAAAATACGCGGCGCCTCGGGTTCCTGATTTTGCTGAGCAAGTGCGCCAGCACGAGCACGTACCCCAGCAGCAACATCAGCGGCGGCAGCATTTAGTTCGTCGGCGATTCCACGAGCACGTCTTCCCACATCGGCTTGCTGCTCGGAGTTTACCTAAAGTTTTGAATTAATATCTTCCAATAGAATCTAAAGAAAAATGCCAATAAGAGTCAACCCACCATTCGATCGACACAGCTTGCGCATACAGTGTGCCCACAAGAAAGTTGAAGGGGTCGATCGAATTCCTGATAGCACACAGGACATTCGGCGACATCCATCGCGTCTAAATCAATACTTTCGCAATCGAATCGATGTAAGATACAATAGTTTGAAAGCACATTGAAAAAGTTATAGTGAAAGAGTTGTTGCAATGAACGTACTACAAGACAAGCGCGTAAGAAGGAATCAGCTGAGAGGGGTGTGGTGAGACAGAGGCACGCAACGAAAACACAACAGCCAAAGCGAGAGGGAATGGGTGTCGCTAGTTGCCGCATGTTAGCAAAGTCTCTTTTCGATGTTAGAATAGCGTTTTCTGACCAGAGAGAACAAATGAAATGAAAATTGATCTTTTTTTAAATACTTTTTCAAACCCAGATAGGATATAACATTGAAGAATTAAATATCTGTTGTTATATCTGTAAATAAACATGTCTTGTTAAAGCGGATTTGCATTTTTAGTGACATAAATCCGCATTGTTCATTTTTAATTTTATTTCAGGCCGTTCCGTGCTCATTCTATTTTTGTGTGCGTATTAACAAAATTTAACTTTTATCGAATTTTATATTTTTCAGGGCTATCGCCATCCTGTTTAGTGCACATGGTGAGACGATTTTTTCAAGTTGCCGGAAAGGTATGGCGATTTCAATGATTTGGTTCAGGACCACTTTGCTTAATTTTTCTTGCTGAAAAAGCGTACATTCATAAATCAGTTCACTCTATGCTATAGTAACTGTTCAGGTTGCTCTCGGAGGCTGCGTGCTCGTAACAATATTCGACAAAATCGGCCATCCAGCAATCGTCTGCGGGAATTCGATGCTTCCAACCTTGAATGGTAAATCGGAGTCGATATTTGAACGGGATTTCGTTTGGCTCTCTTCGCTGGGTCCCGCTTACAAACCGAAGCCGGGAGACATCATTACGTTTACGTAGGTTGCCGTTTTCAACAGCGTGTACTCGTATCTTTAGATCTCCAAAGAACGCAGATCAGGTTCATATCAAAAGGTGTACTGCGATAGAAGGAGGAGTTGTAAAGTAAAAATGTTTTTTTGACTCGTTTACAATTTGTTTTAGGCCCAAGCGCCGAGACGAGCTAATGATTATCCCAACAGGAACATATTGGATGGAAAGTGATAATCCGCACAATGCTCTTGATAGTCATGTTTATGGACCGGTGAGTATTTATGTCGATTTTACCTGTAATTGGTGTCAATGGGTTTTATCCGTGAAGTTTTTACTTTGTACACATTTAATTTAGGTGAATCGAGGGCTCATGCATGCACGCGCGACACATGTGATTTGGCCTCCACAAAGATGGCAACAAATATAAATATAAATAGCGATGTAAATATGTATGTACTTTAGTAAGTAATAAAATAAATTCCATAAAACTTCTCGTCAAAACAACAAAACACGGATGACATGGAAATCTTGAAAATTGGGAAAACCCATTTTTAATTCAACTCCAAATTTCCATTTCTTGTTGATCCATCCTCCCTTTCGGGTAACGATCCCACTTCGTCGTACCTACAATTTAAATTATGTTAAAACTTTCATAGTCAATGAAAACCAATTATAGAAGCACGAATCTTCGTTAGTCCACGTGGTTTGGGTTTCAATTGAACGCCAATCTTCTCCTAGAATTGGCAGATCCATTGTTGTTTCCACATGTCGCATCTGAAATCGATTTTCTAGATTACTTCTTGGGCAAAACCTGAGGCAAGTAATTTTCAGCGAGACTGGAATCGATTTGCGTTCCAAAATCATTTGTGGGTGGTACGGAGGAGGATGCAGTTTGACAAAAGACATTTTGTCTCACATAATCGTTCTAGAAATATATTAGATTTACATTTGGCTTTTGGCTTTATACCGCTTCCCATAATGAAGTGCTGGGCCTATGGTGATCACAGTCGAACATCGATGTTGACTGCGTTTCCTGTGTGAGACAGGTTATATCAGTTTGTGTACTGATTAGATTTGTAATAGCGAGATCACTAAATTGTTTTTTAATGAGTCGCTGATCACTAAATACTTGGCCATCGAATTATTGGGCACTACTTCCACGTGAACTCCACTATTCCCACTGCGTCTGATTAGCAGAGAAAATCTGAAAAGTCATCTCATAAAGAAATTTTATGGTGCTTTCATCTAACCCTTCATCTGGCATTGGTCCGGTAAAGTTCAAGGTTTGTCCATTATTCAGCACCTTGACACTAAATTCCTCTTTGGTGCGAATCATTTCTAAAGTCGTTTGTTTTCAAAAATATTTACACTGAACCTTTTCCAAGCATTCTTTTCCCTGTTCCTTTACATTTCTTCTTCAGATGAAAAGCTAAATCTCGAGCAAGAGAAAAATGCTTGGAACATTGATGGCAAGTTAAACTGAAATTATAAATTGGATCACCATCGAGATCTACTGTAACCTTTTGGGTACATGGCATTTCTGAAAATGCTGTTTCAAAAGCTTCATTGATAAGAAACTTCTTGAACTTGCGATACATTTCTGATCACAACAGTGAAATCGTTTGGTTTTGATAGAAGTTTCTAAAGACTGGTATAAAAGTAGTCCTTGAGGAAGGGCTTTGTACCAATGGGAATTTGAATTGATGGATTGAGAATTCTTTGATCAGAAAGAGTCTCTATAATTTTGTGTACTTGAACTCGGTGTAGTCGCAATGCTCTTCCATGTGAAACACTAAATTTTAAAATGTTTTTGGATAAAATTTGTTTTCAAACATTGTACCACACTCGTCACATTGATAAGGGCCTCCGGCTAATATTTCTTCCTGTGTAGGGAAAAGATCCTCAACTTCCATAAAATCTAATTCATTTTTAAGAAAAAACATCAACTTTCCTACTTTCAAAATTAGCTTTGTTTTACGGTTGTGAACAAAATTAAATCAAAAGTACCCGTTTATTCGAAGTGTTAGTAGCTCAAGTGGAGAAGTAAATGCCAAAAATGATAAAGATAGCACCGAAAAACGATATTATAGGCAAGGCACCGTGTGGTAAATGACAATCTCCAGAAGTGACTGGTTAGTGACTAAAAAGTATGGCAAGTGTAGCGTAACTAATTCAAACAATCACATGAAACATACAAATAATTAAATATTAAACTTTGTCATAGCAAACACAATATGTGGCAAGAAAATAATTTTTGTCGATAATGCAATGAGGATCGTCGCCATATCTAAAAGAAACGTTAAAAACGTACTAACACAAAAAATTTACTTGTTGATATGACTGATCGAATTGAGATCAATGAAGAGCTTATTGGCGGAGACTTCGTGACGAAGGGTAATCTTAAATCGTTGTTTTACCTTTTAAATCAAAGCTAAAAACTTCATATTCAGCTTTCCCCGGAGTTGTGCCAAGTTTCAATTGGTAATAAACAATTGCAAGTTTGGTAGAACCAGAAAGGTCAGGCACAAATCCATCCGCATCTTTCACATTTTTGTACTTCAGCAAAGCCTCGTTGGGGACCATTCTTAAATTTAATAAATAATGTTAACCTTTCAAAAAAATATGTACCTCCGTGCATAAATCAATGATTTCAGACGTAATGGCGAACAGAGAGCCCGTTCAGGTGCGGTTTGGGCATTGATTGCGTCGACTACAGAATGTGCCATCCCTTCAACCAAAGTTTTCTAAATCATTTTAAAGGTGCATTCAAATTGTGAAAAGTCACCTCTTCAGGTTTCTGAGTGGCGTCTTCCCAATTCAAACAGGTACACCAATGTGTGTCGACTCCAGCCTAGAACAACCGCCCTCATCACAAACAGTTGAATTTCGACTAACTTGTTCACAGGTCCTTGATAACGGCAATGGTCGAAAGAGTGAAAGTGATCTTTTCGAAGCATCTTGAGTAGTTTGTAGATCTTTTTCATTGGGTAGGTGCAAAATGTCCATCAACGTCGCGTGAATATCGAAAGGAGTCGACAAAATGTCCTGTAAACAACCACAGCTAGTGAAAGACTCGGTAAGATTCAATTTTACGTTATTTAAAGAGATTCATAGATGAAAAAATGTTGCCAACCTTATTTCGAATGAGGTTTTCCCAAGCAGTCTTCATCCTTCCTTCACGAACACTTTGCGGGACCGCAAACGCAAAAAAGGGCAAACGCTAACAATGAAACGATAAAGTTAATTTTATAAACGATACAAACTTCCTCCAATTGACCTTGATGTGTACCACGAAGTTTTGCATATCTAAAGTAATTCATGAACGATGGTGATCAATTTATTTTCAATAAACATTTCAAAGAACTAAATAGTAAAGAAAATAAAATACCGTGCACCGTGATCTGCCATAAGTACGACCAACGCACGATCAAAGAGACCGCCTTCATGCATCTCTTTCAGGAGCGCTTCCATTTCATCATCCAAAGGACCAAGCTAAAATCCGGCTTTCAAAAAAATTTGCAATTTGAATCTCCAAAAACCAACCGCATTGACATCGTCATGTGAAAACATTGAAAGGTGCATCATTAAAAACCGAGGTAAATCCTTGTATGCTTTCATGAACTCCTTGCTGTAGCGGAACCATGGCTAAAAGTTATCATTGTAAAATTATCAGCAGTCAACTTACTTTGTAAACCGGAACAGATCCACTGCATGTACCCCACGAAACTTTCTCGTGTTCCTAAATTCATAAGTCTTCCTTCGCCACAAAAAGTTACCTGAAAATAGGTCCTGGTGTAATGATCAGTTGGTTGATTTCGGAAACCTTTCAAGCGATATGTGAAAGTACCTGATAGAAAAAAAGTTCGATCATGTTAGAAAGATATTTCCTAACCAATATTAGCAGCATCTTCTCCATAGAGAGTCGCATAACCAGCATCTGAGAAATTCTTCCAAATAAACGGATAGACGTCGTCGACATAATTCGCAGTTGAAAAGCGCTTTCTATAATATAACCTTTGCTATTAAGCTCTCTTAATGAATTACCTCGTCAATGGAAGCTCTTCTTCGGTTTTTCCAGTCAATATTGGAATGAAAGCTTGTGGAGTTCCATCACCAACAATGTTGTAAGCTGCAAAACTAACATTACATTAAAATTCAGCAAATAGCTTTACCATCAAGAGTAACACCTCCCATGATCTTCTCAAAGTAAGCAGCGGTTTTTGGCAGTTTACGTAGATAGCTCATATGCGATACGGAATCCATCCCGAGGAAAAATACATCCAAGCCTGACCAATTACTGGGTTGCGTTTTTGTCTAAAAAACTATAAATTGAAGAATTGATGTTAAATAAACCTTCGAATTTTCTGCCAACTTCTCATTTCGAACCACGGACATTAAAAGACCATCCCTAAAGGTTAAAACATGAAACGCTGATGATTATTTACTACTAACCAGCTTTCGCCACCAAGTTTGCACTGCACTTTCACGAAATCATCTGGAAGAGAATCACCAGGACGAATAGCAGTCCATTCCCCATATAATAACTCGTTGTCATTTTTCCTTGTAAAAGTTTGGACTTGGCAAGACGCCAACGCTCTAAAAAACAGCCTTTTGTGGCAACAGACCAAAGCTTACTTTGAAGAAATGAGAGAAAATCGTCCGGCCGAATTGATAAAAGCCCAATTCCTTGGCTTTCTGCAAATGGTCGGCGTGTTGGCTTTGAAGAATTGCGCCACATCAGCACCATTTATATTGAGCTTTGGAACGTTGCACACCTTATTTAGAATTTGAATATCATGAATAGCACAGTAGCTTACTTTTTCATTTGTATTCGAGGCTGAAGTGTCGCTCGCATATGAAACGGTCTTTCGTTGCATTGATCCGGCATCTTTATCCGATCCTTCAATCACAACGTCGAAAGATTTTGACTAAAATTAATATTTAGAACAGTTCCAAGCAAAAATAAAATACCTGTCGTAAAGTGTTGATAACGGGGTGCCTTTCGCTTTTGTTCCAAACGGTCGAAACGAAGAGAAACAACGTAAAAGTGACCGAGGCTAGTGCTAAATACAAATTTATTAAGAAAATGCCTGCAAAAACTAACCAATGACGTTAAGCCATCGCCTTCGTCCTGTGCGAATCATGAAGTGCTCCGCGATGACTCTAAAAATAAATGTATTGACGAGAAATTCCTCAATAAGTTGAAAACAACTTGAAAAACGCTTTAGAAATAAAGTTTATTCATATAAAACGAATGTTTTTCTGTAATTTTTCTACAGATCGTGCACTCCATGTTACTTTCGCTTGTATAAACCAAAACTCCAATGGAATCAATTCGCGAGAAATAAAATTGAGCCCTAGACCAAACATTGCCCAAACGGAAAGGCGTATAATGTATGATGGTCGATTTTAGTAAGAGGAAGTCGATTGAATGAGAAAAGAAAAGGGGAGAAATGAAAGGGAAGGAACAGAAACAGAGGAAGAGAATGCAGAGGGCAGCACATTTTCCCTTCGTTCTTCGTTTTCACCCACGAGAAAACCTCCAACGAGCAGAGAGAGGACAAAAAAAAGAGGCGAAGGTCATTGCCCGCCGTTGTTCTTTAGCACACTTATCGAACATTTTAAAATGGCATATCTAACTAGTGGGAAAAGTTGACCTTCAAAAGTGGCATCGACAAATTGGGCGCGATGAACTTTAAAATTTGAACTTTATAAATGAAATTTCAATTCAAATTTCTGGTCGTTCATCATTTTCTTTTGAAGACGGGGCATTTCATAGAGTACAAGACGCTCAGTTTCAAAGGGAAATGACGAACTTCAGAAGTTTCTCCCTCTGAAAATCGCATTTCTAATAGTGTCTTAAAAGTTTGATTTGATAATAATGATGCTGATGGAATGTACTGGGTTGTGTGCTGAAAAGGAGATCCTCTTACACATCCACTACAAACTACGATTACTTATGTAAACCCTTGAGGGTCCAACGAGTTCTCCTACTGACTAAAGAAAATAATATCATGATTCAAAAAAAAAGCATTCGTCTGTATGTGAAAAATCTGTGTTTGTCGATTCCGTTAGATATATAAACCCCGATTTGTGACAAAAGTGACAACGCCAACCCTTTTTACTATTTTCCAAAGAGATTAATGTTGATTTTCAATGTCTGACTCTCAATTGATTATTAGATATGAAAATGAAATATTTTTTTATTACTATAATAGATTCAAGACGTATATTCTCACTTTTTCTTTTTTTTTGCCATTTTGCTTTGCGATTTTTTGTTTTTTTTTATATCTACCGTAAGCCCAAAACGGATAATAAATGTTTATTAAATATAAAAACATAACATGATTATTTGCAAATGATTTCCGAAAAATAGCACAGATACTTGTGGGGAATTTTTGTGTCATTTCTCGGCGCACTCGGATCAACCGAGTCTTTACGTGAATTTGAGAATGGAATTTGTTTTGGAGAAGATCAAAAAAATCAATCAGCATCGGTTTATGCAAGAGAAATGTGTGAAGAATACGGTACTTTGACCTGAAGATTACGGTAACAGTTCAACTGTCCACAAAGAAAAGGAAAACAAAGGCGATAAGCACTGAACAATCTAGAGAGACACTTCTAAAACACACATTGTGCACATATAATTGGAATATTGGGGTTTAGCAAGCATATGGCCATTTGACTAACTGTCGATGATAGAATGAATAATAATAACCAGAGAATTTAAAGGCTAATAAGAAGAATTAATTTCTAGGATAAAATCACATTGTGGCTGTAATTGTCATTCAATAAGTGGAACTTAGAATAAAAAATAAATTTTAGTGCTAAATAGAAAACACTTTTCTTTTCGTTTCCTATTTTTCACTAAAATTTACCGTACTATTGCGGGAATGGTTCTCGTTCGGTGTCGAACTTTTGGAGAGGAAATGCTTTCAGGGAAATGTTCAGTTAAATACGGATTTACCCATAAATTTCTACATTTCTAAAGTCTATACGATATGAAAAAATAAACGCAAGCCAAATAAAAAAAAGTGGATAGGCAATTATACAGTGGAAGCACTCTTTGGGAGTTTGCTCATCAGTGACCCAAAAAAGGCGAACAATAAAAGAACTTTCAAAGATCATGTAAAGTCACTGAAACACCGGGCGGTAGAATAATAAGGAAATCAGAATCGAAATGTTCGAAACTTTTGCGTGAGAACTGGGGGTGACTACAGCATTTCGGCGGCTATAATCTGAACAATGTCGTCCAAGTCGGCACTCAAGGCTTCGGGTGTTGGCAAGTCCGAGTTTGAATCCTAGAAAAGAGTTTGCTTATTTGGATTGTTCTTCTGGGGTGCTGTGGAGTTACAGTACCTCAACTCTGTCTCACTAAAGTATTCCAGTCTGTCTCAGTATTGCTAAAGTATGCCAAGGACTACAGTATCTTATTCGATCTACAGCCAAGGCAAAATATTAGTACTGACACCAAACACCTGTTATTTTTGGCATACTGTAGCAAGACTGGGCTTTACAATATATATTGAGAGTATAAAGTCGCAAATACAGTATGCTACATTAGTCTCACAGTATCATCTATTCTAGAAATCATCCATTCTAAAAAATTCCAAGCCGAACCTAATTCCTGGCTAACCCATTCTATACTCTTCAAAGTTCTTGTCTTACTTTGCTCCTAGCGCCAATCGACGGATCAACATCCCGGAGATAGCGTTGTAAATCAGCCGCCGACATAACATCATTCTAAAATAAGAAAAACGATTATTGCAAATCAATGTAAGACAAACCGTTGAGAAAAGCCCGTCAAGGTGTTGATCAAAATCGTCGATTGGCGTCAGAGAATGATTGGGAAGAGAGGGAGCTGTTTGAGGGTCGATTGTGGCCATTGAAGTGCCCGGCACAGAGTGACCAACAGATGATGAGCCGACTGAGGTTGGAGCTGGCGTATATGGAGCTGAGCCTGGAACAGGATTTATTAAGGCGAGGTTACAGTAGTTTTCTAATTTAGCACATTTTAGAAAATGTGAAACTCTATCAGTCGGTCAGCTCACCTGCTAGGCTAGCTGTCTCAACGCTTCCATGACTTTGCGTCTGCACTTGATGCGGGCTGCTCGAATTGTTTGGATGTCCGGGTGTTGATGGAGTTGGTGGGCCAGCCAATGGGCCACACGGTGGCATCACGACGATTTTTGTTGGGCTAAAAAGTTGCTTGCAAATGAACTTGAAAAGATCCATACCTAGTATTTTGATGATACGGTGACATCAAATCGGGTTTCATATCGGGCACAGAGTGTGGCATCGACATGGGAGCCGGGCTTTGGCCGATGAAGTGATTCATTGGTGGAAGAGAAGCTGGATGGGTTGAAGTAGAGGGGACTGATGATGGAGCTTTCGACAATGGAGAGCCTTGTCCCATTGGCATGTCCAATGAGGATTCGGTTTTGAAGCGTTTCATCGCTCCGGCTGGAATGATTTAAGTGAATTTGAGTGGACCAGGATTTTCAGATCCTCTTGCTTATTGTTAAACTTAAAATTAGTGTTACGAAAAAGCTATTGTGGTGACAATTTCTACCGTATCCTTTTTCTATTTTGCACTTTCTATCGTATCCTTTTCAGTCTTTTTCTATTGTGCTTTGTCAATAAATAAGGCTCCAGAATGACTTTTGAGTCATCCGGAGTACGATAGCTTTTCTTAAGAGCATTTTTTAGAAAGCTAACTTTATCTAAACTAAATTCCCTACCTTTCGCTCCAGTGTTATCCCTTTTCCTTCCATTAGCCACTGGTTGCACAACCGGTTCGTTAGGCGCTCTCCAATGCCCATCTTGAAAGCAAACCACTTCTCGAATCGTCTCCGGGGTATTCGCGATCAGTTGCATCATATAGTGATCGACATCGATTTCACTGTGAGCGAAAGTGTTCCTAAAAATTTGATGAAATTTGTAATCCAATGCTTTTAACTCACTTGCAATATGGGCACTCAAAGAAGGACGCATCCGGGAAACAGCACAAAAGCATTCGTAAGTCGATAGCCGGCAGATGGGTACAAGTTTTTCCACGGATTGGCACACTGTACCGGGATTTGAAGCGAGGATCGCCCAATAATAGAGTGTTCATGCGTGTCATTTGCACCAAGTGAAACACTGGAAATGAGGTTTTGTTTTGATATCAGATATTATCGATAGAATTAGTGTAAAATAGAAAACGACTAGGATAGAAAAATGGGTTGAATATCGTAATTCTTTTCTATTTTACACTAACTTTCTTCAAGGAAACATTGTTTGGCTGGATATCTTTACTGATCTGAGTTGTTTAATGAATGAATTACTGTAGTTATATTCAGATTCACAAAATAGAAAACCAAACTAAGTTAATATCTTAAAGCAATAGCAATTTACGTTTAACGTTTTCTCTCAAAACTCACATTTTCTCTGGCTGATTTCCACGGAATTCTCTGGCTTTTGCAGGCTTTCTTTCACGATCGTTGAGAGGAAATGGCCGACGTGTTGAATGCGAACCAAACTCATGATGAAACGATGCGACTGAAACAAATTTTGATTTAAATTTCCGTGAAAATTCTTCAATCTTCTTGAAAACACTTACACAAACGCAATCGCTGACGGTGAGCTCGAGAGAGTTTTCCGCGGTGTTCACGAATTTCTTGATCAAAAGCGATTGCTTTGGGTTCATGATTTGCACACTTTGTCCGTTGATTTTCACCTAAACTCCAATTTTGTTTATTATTCTAGTAAATGCAATTTTTTTTTATCCAGCTACTCACCGATAATTGTAAATAGTTGGTTTCCGGATTGAGCGGCCATTTCGCTGTCATTAGTTTGTCGTCTTTGTTAAAGCATTTCAGCTGGAGCTCGTATTCTGGCCTAAAACGATTACTATATTGTATCCTAACAATAAGGTTACTAAAGAACTACTGTAGTATTATATTGTACTATATTTTAAGCCGTACTAGTAGCTAATTGTAAGCTGCACTAAATTACGATAATTTATTCAAAACCGTACTCAATGAGTACTATTAAATTAAAAACTGCACCACAGGACGTACTATATTTTTAGCCGTACTTACTAAAGGATTATTGTAGTTTTATACTATGTATTGGCTGTCACCGTACTATCATATATTTTAAACGTACATCGCTAATTGCTGCAAGACGTCCGGCGTCAATTGGAAGGGCAACGTGCACGATTCTTTGTCGTGATCCAATTGGAAGATTTGCATCACATTCTGGAAATTTTGTTAGCTATTTATAGTGGAAATCAAGCTACCTTGGTGACAATACTGATGGGCACGTGATCGGGGAAACATTGATTCAAATCCACTCCTCCGCCCGTCGCTGCATTCGGGTTTGGGAAAGCGGCGACTGGCTGTTGACCGGGTACACCACCACTCAATTGACCATAAGGCATTGGCGGACCGGCTCGGACCTTAAGTATAAAGTTATTATAATATAACATATGATATAGTATCTTGTTGCACTTGTACCATTACCAGACTTGTACTTATAAGTACTTGTACTCCTACATTATACTACTTTTCCTTGCCAATTCCTTCTTTATTACAACTACAATACTGTTTATATACTTATAATCAAGTTAGAAGATTTTTATTACTTTAGTTCATTTGCTCTATAGCCAAAACCCACTACTTGCGCTGGATGAGGATATCCATATTGAGGGTAATTGGGCATCATTCCATACGGTGGCATCGGGCGAACTTGGCCAGGAACCCTAAAGAAAATATTTTTATATAAATATGTATATGGTTAAACCCCGAATTTTTCTATTTACTATTTACTATTATTTCTATTACTATTACTAATTCTACTAATGAATATTACTACTAATAACGCTATTAATAATATAACAATACTATGAATATAATAATAAACGATTCCTCACCTATTCGTGGCTGAAGGGATTCCATGGGGGAATTGAGCGGGATCAAAGTTGGGATGCATCATGGGTCTCTGGAAATAGAAAATTTTTTATGATAATAGATTACAAATTAAATTCAATAAGTCTATAAAAACATCACTAGATCGAGGGCTTAAATCTCAAACACTCACCGGCATCATCCCCGGATGTGGCATCATCATTTGCGGCGCTTGCCCCTGGTACATCATCGCCGGATCATAGCCCTCCATCGAACCATAGTCCATTGGGCGCATTCCCATTCCTGAATTTTGATATCAATAAATTAATTACTATCAATCAATTACCATATTGAGGCGGATATCCGGGGTATGAGGGTGAAGGCATGGGCTGCGTCATCGTCCCATCCCACATTGTCACCACAGTCACTCCTTCGCTTGTTTGGATCGACTGTTGCGGATCGACAAGCACGTACGTTTGTGGCTCTTCGACGTAACTAAAGAAATTTGCATAAAAACTCGTAATTGGAAATGAAATTAAATCGAGCTAAATCAAGCAGATGATTAAAAAGAAGAAAAAAACAATGGGCATAATGCCAGATGTAGTGAAAAGGAGTCATGGTGGGGATGGTGGTGATGGTTGGGGCATTTTCGGGGGTTAGCCCTAGAAATGGGAAAGAGGGAAGGGGGGAAAAAGGGTAGAGACGGAGAGAGATAGTGTGGATGATGAGAGAGAAGACAAATGCCCTTGAAGGTGCCCCAATAAGGGGACATGGGGAAAGGGGACAAGACTCGGACAAAAAGAACGAAAGAGGGATGGACAAGAGATAGAGATAGGGGAAGGAGTAGAGGGGCAGACAAGGCATAAGGAGGTCGACGGGACGGGCCAGAGGTGGAAAGAGGGGCGGGGTGATACCCCCGAATGTGGGACTGATGCCCAAGCAAGAGAAAAGAAAAGAAAAGAGGGTAAAAAAAGAGAAGAGTGTGTCGTCGATGTGTTGTGGGCATATTGAGGATAGATAGAGGAGAATGCGGAGAAAGACGGAAAGCCGCCGACCACAATTGATTCCGGACCACTCGGTTGTGTTTAGAGGGGTGGATAGGAGCCCCGAGGAGGACTGAGGCTCTCTTCTCTTTGTCGTCTCATCTCCTCTCTCTTTCATTTCTTTTTCATTCCCAATCCACACCCATCCTCTTCTCTTCCATCAGATGCTAGAAATCGAGTATTTTCCATACAAATACATGGGGAAATGTCCCAAAAAAACGAAAAGCAAAAGAGGGAAAGGTAAATGATTGCCGATTGCCGATTGTCGTTTTCGAAACTAAAACAATTCGGGAAAGGGGAGTGACGTCACTTTTTGGCTCTCTTTTCTTCTCCATTTCTTTTTCTTTTTATCCCCTCCAATTTCGCTTAATATAGCTAAAATTTGTGGGACCCAAAATCGAAAACTCTTCAAAGAATCGGAAATGAAAAGAAAAGTCTTTGAAAATTTGCATAAAATAGATTCAACTCCAGCTGCACAAATACAGGGGAAAGGGAAAGCTAAAAAATGAGAAATTCTCAAACATCTTTCCAAAACAATGTTTTTGGTCATTTAAAAAATGATTGTTAATGGAGTGACTGTAGAGGGTTGAAAAGATGGACATCGAATAATCAATTTCTTTTTTTTTCAATTCTTTCCCCTCTCCTTCTTTCCCCTCTTCTTCCCGCTTTTTCCGATACAAAAACACACAACCATCACCTCCATTCCCCATTTTTTTCCGATATTTCAATTGAATCTCTTTAACATGAGATCTTTGATGAATTGAGAAAAAAAAGGAATGTGTCCCGTAGGTTTGTGAAATGGGGAAGGGTTACGGTAAGATGAGAAAAGTGAGCTCAACACATGTTTAGCTATATTAGGATTGTTTCCTTAAGATTTCTGAGCATCAGAGCAAAATTTGCAGATAGGTCAAGAGAAATGAAAGCTTATATTTGATAAAAGGCTATTGGAGTAATCTAGTAAGTCAATTTTAAATCTATTCAATCAAATTTCGGTTTCAAATTTGCGAATCTGGACAAAATTCGTTTAAAAACAGTGAACGGATGAAGATGGAAATGAAAGAATTTCCAACAATTCATATTGTATTGCTCCAAATTGCACACACTTGTTCAAAGGGATAAAAATGGTCGTAAACGGACGGTTTTTGGGTTGGTAAGAGATGGAAGTTTATGGAGGGATCGAGGTGGTACAAGAGCCACGAAGAGAGCTCAATTTCAGCACAATCCTACACAGATCCAACTATCCAACCAAACAATCCACTGAACTTTATCCAGATAACATACCGTAAATACTGTAATTGGACCCCACCTCGTACAGTCGCGTAGTCGCAAAAGTTTTTTAGTACTTCATTTTTTTCAAAGCTCCCGTACTTTCAAAAAATGCGTCCTTGGTATCAAAAAATAGCTGAAATTCAGGGCTATTTTTTGATACCTAAGCGCGCATTGTAGCATAAACCAGTGTCGAGAAAAACTCGTTCAAAGCTAGACTACGCAACGCTCCGCACCGTCATTATGGGGGTGGGGTACTATTACAGTATTTACGGTAAGGAGAATGCTTTGCTTTGCATAAGCCATTTGCATAAGATCTTGTACTAAAAGAAGTACAAGAAAAGCTTTTGAGAACAATAATGTATTTCTAAAATGTTATTTCTATTGTGTTCAACTATACTTTTGTTTGTTGATAAAGTGCTGATAAAGTTCAGTGCAAAACAGAAAGAGGAATACGGTAGAAAGGTTCAAAGGACAGATTTTAATGTTCAATAATCTATTTGATTCAATGTATGAATATAATACTTTCCGGATAATGCATAAAATATATATATTAGCTTTGATAAGTCGTACTTTCATCCAAAACAGAAAGAGGACTACAGTAGAAAGGTTCAAAGGTTAGATTTCAGAAAGTTCATTGTATTTATATCTATTTGATTCAAAATATGAACAAATTATTTGTATAACGTATAGAGAATGGATAGTGCTTTGCTTAACTGCACTTAACTGCTTAAAAGAGATTACAGTAGAGAGATCTAAAGTCAGATTTTAGTATGTTCAAGGAGTTGATGATCTGTTTGATCCAATAGATGAATGTAATCCTATCTTTATAACGTATACAACATATATTAGCTTTAATAAACCTTTAATAAATCTTTAATAATCCTTTAAAAAGCCGTACTTTAGTTTAAAACAGAAAGCAGATTCAAAGGACTTCTTTCAGAATCTAATCGCTAGTCTAACTTACTTTATCAATAGAATAAGAAATTAACAAAAAGAAAATAGAAACAGAATATAAACAAGTTTATTGGTGGTGTTATTGAAATGACAAAATGCGAGGAGGGGTGGCTAAATTTTGGCCACACCACCACAAGAGAGAGAGAGAGAGAGAGAAAAAAGGGAAGAGAAGCGGTGCTTGTTTTCCAGAAATGGGGAAAAAGGACCTAGATAGACAGACACACAACTCCTCTTTTCTTCTTCTTCTTCTTCTTTTTGCTCCTTTTCACCATTCCTTTCTTTCATCTCAATGATCAGTGAAGAATCCCTCAACATACACACAAAAATATGGTTGTTTTTGAGGGAAATTTCATGATTCCCCCTTTCCCCCTCACTTTTTGTTTTCCTTTTCAAATGAGTTCACGAAAAGAAAAAGGAAACAAGAGAGACGATAACTTTTGACATACAACCAGTAAATAGGAACGGGCAAGGGAAACAGGTTTCAAATTTTAAATAACAGTTTAAAGGCTTTAAAATTATTAATTACAAAAGGTGAAATCTTTGAGAAATTAAGCTGAATTAAATTCGTTTTTCGCTTACGAATTAAGAGTAAAAAAAAATTCGAAACTTGAGAAACTCTGTCAAAATTAAGTTTATCAAAGTGACAATGATCGAAAGCTAAAATCTTGAAGTTTTCTTTTTAACTGAATCAAACAAAAAAAAACTAGCCTTTGAAATTCTTATTTATTGAGATTCTATGTAAAAACCAAATTTAGAACTTATGAAACCTAGATTTAAATCCAAGCTTGAACTAGCTAAGTTAATAAAAAAAAATCTTGCAGTAATAAGTTGATCATAGCTAAATGAAGCTGAACCAGAACTGAAACTTCTTTGTTTACAATTTATTGTTAATGTTAGGTAACTACGCGATATGGTTGGCTAAACAACCGACGCTCTCTGGGATTAAGCAAAAAAAAAGCTTTGGGAAGAGAGAGAAAGAAAAGAGAAGAGAGATCCCTCAGCTGACTCACAACGAATCCCGCGAGAACCACCTCTCTTCACCCATTCGAAAAGATATTTGATTGAGAGAAAATGCGAGGAAAGGTGAGAAAAGGAATTCATCAATCAATCAATATTTTCAAATAATTATCTAACAATGAAGCTGAACTAAATTTAAACGAAAAATTAAGATGATTACTGATAAAGGGAAACGAAAAAGTTTTGTGTTTAAAAAAAGATATTTGAAGAAAATAATGGGAAATAATGGAGAAATGGTTGCTGGTGTCAAAAGAACAACAAGCGATCACACCCAGTGAGGAGAAAGGAAAGGAAAGGAAAGGAAAGGAAAGGAAAGGAAATGAAGGGAAAGGAAAGAAGGGGAAAGAACAGAGAACAAGTGGAGAGGTGAAATTAAGAGACAACAGACATAAGGACATTTATTGATGGGTAGGGAATCAGGGGAGATGTTGAGACAGAGAACATCCTGGAAAGACTGTAAGGGAGGGATAGATGGATGGTAGAGAGGAGAGGAGAGACCGTGAGGGGACACCCCGCCTCTCTTTGCTTCTTTGCTTCTTTGCTCTGTATTTTGTTCTCTTTCTTCCTTTTCCCTACAGTCTCCCACCTCTTTTTTGTGTCCTTTTTGTCTTTTTTTTTCACGAATCGATCTCCTCTCAACCTCAATCCTTTTCCCCATCTTTCACACTCTCTATCCAAAATTCTGGTGAAATGGTGATTGAGATCTGTATGAAACATGGGATGACTTAGGTATACTTTGGTCGCATGAAACACTTGTCAATATAGCTCATTGATAAGTGTTTACCCGGTAAACGAGAGATTGTGGGTTCGAATCCTGACGCCATAAAAGAACTGGTTTATTCATTAAAACTTGAATATCCACTGATTGACTGTTAGACTTGAAAACTTTTAGCTTAAGTTAACTGCTTATTTGAAAGTAAAGAAGTTAATTCAAAAGTAACAAAGAAAAGTGCATTCAAAAGTAAACATTCCCGCTTTACTGATTGCTCTAAAGTCTCTAAATCTTGACTTTCACTTTATAGTAACCCTTTCCCGTCATTGTTTTCCCGTTGAAAGAGACTCAAGGTGATTCCTTAAAAAGAGAAACTTCTCTTTTAAGGGGAAAAGCTCGAGGTGCTCAAATGAGAGAGAAGAAAACCCGTTTTTGGAGCTCTTCCCCTTTTCTCTTTCCTTTCTCCACCACCTCGACTCTTTACTTTAGAACTGAAATCGTTTCAGAGATCCAGAGAAACGAGTCCCCTTTGCCTAAATAAAGTAGAGCACAAGGCGAATCGAAAAGAAAAGGAGAGCTGGAGTGCCCCCCTTTTCGCGTCTTTGCCCGTGATTCGCTATACCGGACACGCCGGCACCGGCTCCTCCATATAGACAGAGAGGCATAGGTCGATTCACCGCCTTTCAAACACTCTGCGTCTCCACTCATCGCCTTGATCTCTGCAAAAGGAAACTCTGCAAAAAGAGCCCATCTGTGCTGTAGGTGAGAGTCGAGACGAGCGGAGACAACACTGTGTGTCTGCAAAAAGAGGGAACTCTTTCCCCTTTCTCCTTCGATCCTCACTTTCCCCTCTTTCCCCTCTTTCCCCTTCTTCACCCACCCCTCTATCGGTTCACATGTGCAAAAAGTGGTACCCTCCACACTCGACCGGTTGTGTGAAAGAGAAAAGGAAGAGCATATCCTTGAATTTTGGTGAATTACTTACCAAAAACAAATCTTCTCTTTTGGGACAATAAAATTTACTGAAAATTGGCTAGACTAGCATTTACAGGGTTAGCTGGAAATCTTGGAGTTTTAACAAAGCCGAGAACAAAGCTGGCAAGTAGCCAGACCAGGAAGGGAAGGAGAAGCATTTCGGGCAATGGCAATGGCAATGGTTTGTCCTCTTCTCTCTCAATTTCTTCTTTTCAATTGTTCGCATCAATAGAAGAAAGCACTTCTCACACACATCTCTTTTCCATTCGTAAATCGTGAGGAAAGAAGGGAAAGAGTTATTCACCAGCTCTAAGCGAGAGAGTGTTCATCGGCGGTGAACAGGGATCATCACAAATTGAGAGAGGTGATAGATTGGATGAATTGAGGAGAAAGGAGGGAAAGGAGGGAAAGGATTCGTTGAAGGGATTGGAAAAGGTCCAGAGAAATAGAGACATGGGAATCCCCAAATTGGGAATAGATGGGAAAGCGGGCCTGTTCTGTTCTCTCTACTCTTCTGTTCTTCTCCTATTCGATGCCAAATGGGGTGCTTACTCGGATACGGGGGAAAAGAGGATGGTGATGGTGGATAGAGAATCGAGATGGGTGAAGAAGAGATTCTTCTCTTTGATCGTCTCACCTCTCCACATCTTTCCCTCTCACTCATAAGGGGCAGCTTTTGAGGCAGCACACACACATTCTCCTTTCCCTCCAACACACAAAGTCACGCGTCTATCGGAAAATTAGGCACGGGGCATCAAGTGGCCTGGTCGAGAGAAAGAATGCACTGGATGAATAAGACAAAAGCGATATTTCGCGGATTTTCAAACTGGAATCGATAGGATTTGATTCAAAGCAAGCTTTTCTCAGCTATAACAGATTTCTCTAAATCCTTTGAAAAACAAGGCTCTGAAAGAAAACATTGAATTTAGCAAATCTTCTTTTCCTTCTTCTCCGTGAAATAGAAAAGGATTAGGCAGTTAATTCCAAATTTTAGCCAGAAATCTTTGCCAGCAAAAAAATTGGTTTCATAGATTTCATAATCATACTGTAGAGGATGAAGAAAAAGGACAGGACAGAGAACTGTAGAGGACAGAGCACAGTTCTGGGTCTGTCTCTTTCTAAGAGATGAGAAAAGAAGGCAGCAGGTGCACAGGTCAAAAGAGGGCACCCATAGAATGTTCATCTTGGGGGGAAGCGAGGGGAGGGATAAGAGGAGAACCGTATCCCTCTTCTTCCTCTTCTTCCTCTTCTCTTCCCATAAACACTCCTTCTTCTCCTTTCATCATTCTATGCCTATGAAAGAACGTCATTTTGTTTATGCCAAAAATTGAGACGAGACTCACAAGACCACAACAAGATGACCTAATTTTTTAACAATATCTATCCTCGTTTCTAGCTGGTACTTCATTTAGCTAAAGTTCAGGAGATCAATTCAGAAGATTTTTAATATCTAGGCCTCAGTTGACTGAGTTCTACCGTAACTCACTAACTTTAATGGATGAGTAAACGGACCAGTACTTGACTAACAAAAACTAGGAATCTAACTATAGGACCTTTTATTAGTCTTGGTTATCGCTTTTGAAGTAATGCTAATTTTACTTCTTACAAACCTCTTGAAATTTCAATTTGAAACTTTTGCGCCACTTTTTGAATCAGAAGGTTGAGCTCAAAAATGGGGACAGGTGAACCCGATAAGTCACCTGGATTGGGAAGGGGAAAAGGAAAGAAATCAAAGAGGGATTTGACTCCGTTTTGAAATCAAAGAAAAAGTTGAGGCTCAGATGGGAAATTGGCAGATGGAAGGATCAGACAAATAGACTCGTTTAACTCGAACAGTTGAATCCATTTGAAAACTCGAGTTTGCAACAAATGCTAAAGGGAGCGATGGACAAAAAGTTGCTCAAGGTTTTAAGATTCAATTTACTATAGAAAGGTTACGCGTTTACAAGTTAGAGTTACGATTATAGTTAGGCTGGCTCTGTGAGGGTTAAGGAAAATCCAGAAAGTAGACAGATTACGGTAGCCCTTGAGGCCAAGATTACGATCGCTTTCAATAGTTGACGCTTTAGAAAACGAACTAAGGATTGAGAACTAAGAACTAAGCACTAAGAACTAAGCGCTAAGAACTAAGCACTAAGAACTAAGCGCTAAGAACTAAGCACTAAGAAAACGAACTTGAGTAAAGGAAGATTTCGGGGAAGACTTTCACAGTTTAAACTCGAATTAAACTCAATTTGTTTTCTTTTCATATCTTATTTTAATCAATTGAGTCAATTCCAAGAAATTCTCCTTTTGAGATCACAAAATTACGTGGGTTTTCAGTTTTTTTTTTTTGAAAGAAAACACAGTCCCATTTTGTCCTCAAAAATCATATTTCTCTGAGGCAATTCTATTTTTTTTTCTCATCGAAAAGGTATTTGGTGATTTTGTTTTTAGGAAAAAAAGAAGCGAAAGGGAAAGGAGGAGAAAATGGAGTTCACCCGGGCAACCGAATCAAAAATCCAACAAAATATGGACACCCAGAGAAATCACACAAAACAACTCTCACAGTCAGGAAAAAATGACTTTTTATCAAAAAAAAAAATTGGAGAAAAGTTTTCACATTTTTGATGCAGAATTGTAATTGAGGGAAAAGTCAGGAAAAATTTTGAAGAAAAGTTTTAAAATATGGACTTTTTAGGGAGTGGGACAAATGCGACCTTTTTTTTGCGCACCCGGACATTTGCGCACCTTTTTTTCCGCACCTTGCCCATTAGCGCACCTTTTTTCGCGTTTTAAAAAAGCTCTAAAAGCTAATATTAACCAATTTCTATTCCAAAAGTTATTTTTCTAGGTAATTTGAGGGTGTCGAATTCAAATTTTGACATAACAGAGCGTGTGGAACCAATTTGAAAGACAAAACGGCTAGGTCAAATTACAGAAAATTGTTGATTTTTCTCTTTGTATAAATCCGTCCGTTTGTTTCCACAAGCTCTGATATGTCAAAATTTCGATTCTACGCCCTCAAATTACCTAGAAAAATAACTTTTGGAATAGAAATTGGTTAATATTAGCTTTTAGAGCTTTTAAAACGCGAAAAAGGTGCGCTAATGGGCTAAGTGCGGAAAAAAAGGTGCGCAAATGTCCCGGTGCGCTAAAAAGGATCGCATTTGTCCCACTCCCGTTTTTAGTGAACTCATTGCCGGTATTAAACTTGATTTTAAGGATATTCTGTCTTGTTAGCTGAATATCTTTTCTTTTATTCACTTGCTTATCGAGCAATTTAGTGCCGAATTGAAAGTAGATTGATTACGGTAGGAAATTCTGTGCCACTGGATTACTGATTTCTATCTAATGCTAACTTGACTAATCAATTCAACGGCATACTGTAACAAAAGACAAAAGATCATATTGAGAAATTTGGAAAGAATTTTAAAGCCAATGTTTTTTTTTCCATAAGAACCCACCCTTGAATCTGGGTGATTTGACTGTTCCCATTGCCCTCTTCATCCCTTTTTTGTTTCTTTTTCGCGTTTCGCTTTTGACGACGAAATTGCTCGTGCCATCGACCAATTCGCGCTGAAAACTTGGGCTCGCCGAGAGAGAATTTCAATTATAAGAAGTATTTTAGTAAAGATACATTTTGAGTTATGGATAGATTACTGCATAAAATAGTTCCTTTACTCACTGGAAGCATTCTTCGAGAGATGTCGTCGATGATGATGGCAAAGAGCCACCAGCTCCGAGGCTAAATCACTCGAGAATCCCTCTTTGGCTGCATTGTCGACAACAGCCTGCAAATGGGGATTGTAAGGGCCAATTGAGAATATAAAATATGTAAAATAAGTACTGTGAATACAGTATACTGTACAGTCCATTGTCTGTCTGACTGTCTGTCTGTCTATCCGTCTGTCCGTCTATCCTCTATCCGTCTGTCTGTCTGTCTGTCTGTCTGTATGTCTGTCTGCCTGTCTGTCTGTCTGTCTGTCTGTCTGTCTGCATGACTGTCTGTCTGTCTATCTGTCTGTCTGTCTGTCTGTCTGTCTGTCTGTCTGTCTCACTACAGTATCCCTATCTTAATGTAGTAATCAAGGTTACTACATAAAATATTATCATCAAAGTCATAAAATTAGTCAACAAAACAAATAAAAATCATCAAAATAGCTTTGAGATTTTGCAAATGAAACAAGGAAAAAGCAGATATTACCTAGAATTTTTTTTTTTTATATAAATGCCGTTTGAAAAGTCAAACAATAGATCCAGTGCTTAATGAAATTTGCGCAATTTCTCCTGATTCACGAGGAAAACAACAAAATGGCTGAATTCAAAAATCAAATCGCTGAACTCACTTGTAAAGCGTTGAGAAGATTCGCCTCAAAATGAGCCGTGAATGCTCTCGGATCACTGCACCATTGAATGAGCTCTCGGCAACCACCTTGGAATGCGTTCACGTCGCCCAAACTCTTAAATAACTTCATATTTTTACTACAGTGCTGTGTTATTTTAATTGAGATTCTATATATGTAAATAGTTCTATGTTTAGAGTGTGCTAAGTCAAAATTGAAAAACTTATCCACAAACTTTTTAGCTTAAAAGCACTTGGTGTATTCGAAAGTACTGTTATTTGGGCTAGAACAAAGCTTGAAATTTTGGAATTTTTGAGATTTTCTCTTTTCCTTTTGATGTTTTCTTTTCGTTCATTGATCATCTCGCAAAAATGAAACCTGTGTCAGCTCGAGCCAAACTGATAATTTTAGTTACTATTGTTTATTATTAAATGTTTTGTCTATTCTTATGCAAATGTGTCCTCCCTGTGCTTATCCCTTTTATTGCCGAGAAGGGGCGGTCCTTGGGATTGCCCTAGGAGGACAGTGAGGAGGAGCCTAGGAGGATGGTGAGGCGCCTAGGGGGAGGACAGTGAGGGCCTAGGAGGACGGTGAGGAGCCTGGGAGGACAAAGTGAGACTCTTATTTGGAGGTCCCCCTTCCCCTTACATTTATTTGTAATCTATTCGTCTTATTATACTACTGTAAATAAAGATATATATCTTCCGGGTCTATGCAACTGCAGTACAGGTCGGTCATTTCACAGGGACTCCCCTCTAATACGTTGGAGGAGTTGAGTTGGGTTGTCAGGGGTGTTAGAGATGGCGGGATATCAAAGGGGATCCACTCTCTTTAACTTTACCCAAATTCTAGTCCACATCCGTTTATACCTAGAAACGAATACCTGAGTGATTGTGTGGAGTCGGTGATTATTCGCGGTAACATGTCGTTCCCATTGACGGGTTTCTTCTGTTTCCATCATATTAATTGAATAACTTTAAAGTTTCAGATCATCAAATTGTGAGTTAATTGATCTGGAAATTGAAATGCTATTGATCGTTCATAAAGTGATAGCAAAAAATTTAAAGACAGAAAAACAAGCCTTGACTCGATTCTTGACAAAAAGAGGTTTGAAAAATGATAAAAATTCATCTAATCTATTAGGTTTTTACAAGTTTTTAGCGTTAAAATTTGATAGTTGAGTGAAAAGATGAGGCGGATTTTCTTGAGAAATGAAAAGAAAATGAATTGAAGGAAATCGAAGCTTGAATTCACATTCTTTACAAAAGTATTGCAAAAGAGATTCCAGAGAACCCCAGAGATTCAATTTCGAAAACCTCTTTTAAAATCAAAGAATAAATCAAAGATATTCAGCTTAACAGATTAGTTTTTTTTGTTCATAATTTAGCACAAAATATCAGCATATTAATGGGTGATAGGGAACGGTAATTGCGGCACTGTCGGCTTGGCCCCTTTGCAGCCCAGACTTGAACCCGATTGAGAATGTGTGGGGGACACTCGTTCAGAGATCTCTACAAGGGAAACAAGCAATATTCGAGCGTGAATGAACTCAAGAAAGCCATTCAAGTAGCCTGGAATCGGCTTCAGCCAGCAGCGCTCCATGACCTTGTCTCTTCGATGCCGAGACGTCTTTTTGAAGTTGGACTAAAGCAATTGCCAACCAAGTAATTGCTTGCCTTGTACTTTGTGCTCGGATCAACGCGCAATCTCTGGCTCATTCCCACTTGGTTTTCTTGGAAACTCGGTTTTCAATGAAGCGAATGAGGAATCAAGTGTGCCAGAGGGGTCTGTGTTTGTGAGGGCGCAAAGTACAAGCTAGATGTAAGGTATTACAAGGTTAAAGGTTAAATTCTTAAGTGATTAAGGCTTCCAATTATTGAATTTGTATGCATTGCTTGTAAACTTTCGAAAAAGCACTATATCCACCCTATTGAGAGCAAGGTATTAGACTGATCCGAGATCAATTCAAACAATGCAAAGGGGGAAAGGGGAGAAAAATGCGATGGAGATCACGAAATAGCAAAAATTGCGATGATCAAGTGGATTCGACGAAAGCATACAAAGGATATGGGGGAATAGATTGGATGGATCACACACAGGGAATTCGATAGATCCATCCAGCCTCTCCCTTTTCTCATTCAACACAAAAATAGCTCCCTTCTTTTCCATTCTCTTTCACCCATCACCCATCCGATCAACCCCTCGTCGTTTTTTTTTTCTGGGAGATCGATCACAAAAATGGATCTTCTTGGGTTTAGAAATGAATAACGTATTTTCCCTAATGCACCATTCGCCTAAATTACTCGAAATCTCGAAAGCGCTTATCAGAACCTATCGATGTGGGGATCGGGAAATGTAGCTGACGATGAGATCTGGCTGGGAATTAGAGTGTTGAGCTTCTGTGAAAACTTGGAAACCGTGAAATTGTCATCAATTCGGCTCGGCGCGGTGCACTACTATTAGGGAAAATACGGTGTCCACCTTTTGCCCTCCATTAACCCATTTAGTGTTTTGACTTATGCGGCGGATGCGTGTTTCGATGCTGATTAGAAACTTTACGTATTGATTCGTAGCAATACGGGAACCAATAGTTTTCTGTAGTACGGTAGTTTGTTTTGGAAACTAATCTCGAATTCTGAAGGTGGCTGTTGTTTAAAAAAGCCCGTAAGTTTTAATCTAGAAAAAGTTTGCACAGTTGAAACTGTAGAATCTCTCTGAAAGTCGTAATGAAATCCACTCTTCTTTCTTCACTAAGTCTGAAATTCTGCTAACTATAAGTTCTCTAGTATTACATAAATGAGCTGAGAAATTATATATGTTGTATCCGATTTATATTGAACTTATCGCGGACGTCCGATTTAGATTACAGTCTATATAGGACGTCCTATTTAAATTCAATCTAAATCTTATATAGGTCGGAACAATAATATAAACATGCTTAATATATGTTCTTAAGCGTTTTCTGTAGTTTTCTGCATTTTTGAAAGGTCTTTTATTGATTACAGTCTATATCTAGAACGTCCGATATAGACTGTAATCTAACATCGGACGGAAATCTAAATCGGACACAACATATACTACAGATCAAATACAATTCAACATTTTCGGTTTCTGCAAAATCAAAGCTTAAAAAGGCTCACGCGGTGACGTCAGTGGATTGAAGAGCAGAAAAATTGAGCGAGAAAAGTCGGCAATCCCTATCTATCGGTTGAATGATCAAAAATTTAAGCTATCTAGTCAGTGATAAACAAAATAAACAAAAAGAAATGTTGGTTTTGAGAATTCTATAAAGTTTTACAGGGTATGGCAGTTGTTGTCAGTTTTTGAGAGTTCAATGAAAAACAATAAGATCACTTTGGGTAGCTGAGTGGAGTTCTGGTGTTGATAATGATGAACAAGAGTACTCGAATCGATTACAGGATAAATAATAATAAGATCAATTTATTGAAATTCAATTCAAAATCCAAGAACAACAAAAATTTCACTTTACGCTTGTACTTTGTGCTCGGAAAAAACGCAGCCTTTCTAGCACACTTAGTTTTTCATTTCAATGTTTATTTGATAGCAAAGAAAGCGCTGTGTGCCAGAGAAGGTGCGATTCAAGAAGCACAAAGTATAAAGTGGATTAAGCTGATAGCTTACCTTGATAGATATGAAAAACAAGATTACAGTAGCTTTCAAAAGTTGACACATTTAAAAAAGTCTTCAAAGCTTCAAAACACAACTATCAAAACACAAATATCGATCAAAATCTGCCTTGAGTTAAAGCCATTCACGATGAAAATCGTGAATGGCTTTTCTCCCAAAATTTTCAATGGCAAGATGATTTCAAACAGGGATTTTTGTTTTGATTTATGGTGTATATCGGGAAAGAAGCCCAAAAGGAAAAAAAGAAATTTCGAGAGAGAAAAGAAAATATGAAGAGAAAAAGGCTCTCGCTTTGATCGCGAATCGATTATTTTCCGTTTTCCAATCTCGAAATTTCCCTTTCTATTTTCACTTTTTGTTGCGCTAGTCTCACCAAAAACGAAAAGATTTTGAGAAATTGGAGTTAAAAATTTTGGACGTCCGAGAAATCGATCAATTTTAGAGGGAAAAGTTTGGATAGCTTTAGATACTCTAATCTATTGTCAGTCATATTGTCAGTAATCAGTCTCATACCGTAAATACTGTAATAGTACCCCAGCCCCATAATGACGGTGCGAAGTGTCACGTAGTCTAGCTTTGAACGAGTTTTTCTCGACCACTAGTTTATGCTACAATGCGCGCTTAGGTATCAAAAAATAGCCCTGAATTTCAGCTATTTTTTGATACCAAACCCAATTTTTTGAAGTATGGGTGCTTTGCAAAAAATGAAATACTAAAAAACTTTTGCGACTACGCGACTGTACGAGGGGGTGGGGTACTATTACAGTATTTACGGTATCTGACTACAGTATGCTGAAGTGAAAATATGCATACAAGAGTGAATAAGCGGGGTTTTAGAAATTAATTAAAACAATGTAAAGATATTCAATCTTGATATCTTACAGTAGTTAGAGGAAAAAAACCTGGATGGTAAACGTTGTGTTGAAGCTCAGTCTATTGTCTATTGCCTAATTACAGTAGGATCTCAAGACTGAATATCTTAATCTTGAATCATCCAGCATTGTCTACTACATAGACACTGGCACTTAGGCATACTGCAGTGAAACAGGAGAACGGTGAAGCAGTGAAAGGAGTGAAACAGGAGACTACTACTTACGATATCTTTTGAGCTTTAGCCAAACTCCATATCAAAAATTAAAAACTATTCAAGTGATCATCGGCCGTTTCAAAATAATTATTGTTAATGGAAAATTTGAGATAAATTGCTGGAAGCATTCAGAGGATTGTAACATCGTGCAAACTTAAAAAATAAGTTTTTACTGTTGGCACGATGTTACAATCTTCTGGATGTTTCAACAATTAAGTCTGTCAATAAAAGATCGACCCGATTTTCTCTTGTCAACTGCGCAAAACATAGAAAGAAAAAAGTAGTTGAAGATGAAATATTTCTTTTTTTTTTCGATACAAAATGATCCTTTTGCTCTATATTCTTTTGTTCAATGGACGAGGAGATTTTTAGAACATAACAATATACTAGAACATAACAATTTGAAAGAACAGTTTAAGATTGATTTTTCACATTGATGCGCAAAATTTGCAATAATTAAATTGTTAAAAAGTGCTCTCTAGGGAAAAGCTACAGTAAACCCTACAGTATATAAACTATTTAAACCTAACTCAGAACTAAACTAAACTAACTTTAAACTAACTTAACTCTTTTATAGAAGTCTTTGTTAATTACTTAATAGTAGAATAGATAGAGGTACGGTCATTTTTTCATAAACGCGGCTTTTAGCAAAGCAAATGAATACAGTTGAGAAATTGAAGAGTAACAAGAAATGACATTTGATATTTTGCACTAATATTAAGCAAATCGATGTTCAACTAAAATATAAATAAAGATATAAATAAAGATCAATCTTTTGCTAGCTTCCCGAACAGAAAATTTCAATTTCACTTTTAGTTGCCTTTTGGTTGCCTTTTTGGCTTATCACAATGGGAATTGGGGGGTGGAGAGTGGTTTGAAAGAGAAAAAATGGGAAAGAAAACTACAAATGAATAATTGCTTTGACAACAAAAATGGTTGGCTTTTGGATTGGAGCTTGAACAAATGGATAAGTTTAGCGTTAAAATTCAAAAGAAATTCGTTCGTTAAAAAGCTAAATGACGCGAAAGTTCGCGTGAAATTGCTCAATATGACTAAATATTCGTTGAGGAAAAAGAGGAAAGAGAAACAGACAATAGACACGAAAATGTGAGTCACAAACAGGACAGCTCTCCCTTCAAAAGAGAGGGCTTGCTTGGGAAGTGAATTTTGACGATCGACCGAGCAAAGTTCAATCAAATATAGACAGCAATGCGTTTTCTAAAGCGTGTCAATTTTCGAAAACTACCGTAGTCGTGGCTCTAGTTTTGCTTACGCCAGCTTTTTTATACCGTAGTTTTGGTTCTTGTTTATACAATCTATCCGCTTCTGTATCTTTTGGTATATTTCGTAACAAGAATGACACTACTGACAGAATGTAAACAAATTGATTAAAACTAGAGTCAAGATTACGGTAGGCTTTAAAAATTTTGAAAATTATTTTAGAAAGTATATCATTTGAGAGAAACGTACCGCAAGCTTTGATTTTACATTACAAAAGTTCCAAAAATGCGTCAAGAGTAGACAAATTGGATAAGACTCCAGCTTCGATAAGATTTCTGGTAGCTTTTTAAAAGCATTTGAAAGTAGCCAGGATTACATTTTAGAAACCCCATTCCCAACATATTATACTCTAGTCAATACTTGGTCAAGAAGTTTAGGGGTGTGTACTTGTACGGATGTTCTCGAAAGCCATATGAAACATTTCTAAAGTCTAACAGATAAAAATTCTAGCTTCCTTTCAAAAAACATTGAAAAATGGTGAAAAACTTAAAAAACAGGATCGATTTGTGATGAGAAGAGTAGGAACTCTCCCCCCAAATCAAACAGACCCGCAGAGACAAGAGAAGACAGACGCACAAACACAGTGAGGAGAGCCGGTGCGCGGAAGCGAGAGATCACTTTTTTGACAAGAAAGTGCGCTGTGAAGGGAAAACAGGAGAGAGAGAAAGTGAGCACAGTCTTGTTTCACAGATTGGCACAATTTTGAAACATTTTACCAGACGCAGTTTGAAACGAAAATGGAATGCGTCTACATTTACTCTGTCGAAAATTTGTTGAAACTTTGAAAGCTTTCACTTAAATTTCATTTTTCATTGAATGCACTTTAAAATAGAGATTGACTAGCAAGATCAATTTGTAACCCTCTGGAAATCAATCCATATCAAAAAATTTCAACGACAAGCTTGTTTGTCAACCAAGGAATATGCCAACTAGCTGCCAAAATTTTTGATGACGTTTCGGGGTTGGAGGTGGAAAAAGATGTGTGAATGGAGAGATGAGGTGACAGATCGGAACAGACATCTGTTCAGATAGAAATCACGAGAGGGAGGGCAAACTTTAGAAAACAACTTTACATCAGTAGAAACTACCGTAACCTTGCGAGGAGCCAGAAGGATACCGCTAAGGAGCTACCATAATCTTATGTGATCTGTTATCTACCGTAAAGCCTGCTTGGATTTTCCTGCACCCAATCCATCTACTTTTGCAGTATCATTCGTCAGCACTTTAAGAATTCTAACAGAGGGCTATACGGGTTGAGAGGATTGGGATTCCAAAAATGCCTCTGTTCGTTGCGTTGCAAACGAATTCTAAGGTGGGTTCTGAGTACGCTGAATTTCGATTGGTGATATTTCCAGAACCTGTTTGCGACTTATTTCTTCTTGTTTTCCTATGTGTTTTCTTGCTTGCCTACAGTGTCAAACATGAGCTTGCCGTTTGTATCCATAATATCGATAAACAAGTCTACCCCCAACCCAGTATAGCCCCCTCTAACCGAATTTGGGAACAAAAATTGTAAAACTTAGCTGAAACTAGACGTAAACCTACCGTAGTGATTTTCAACATCCTTCAGGAATAGGACCTAAATTGCATCCAATTTCAGCTCTATAAAAGAGGTTTATTCTAGGGAACAATGGCTCACTCGTGTACTCCTTTGAGATGAATATTTTTACTTTACACTGAGCTCTCATAATCTCTGCATTGCCCTTCTCTGATACTTCTCAGTACTTGGCAAAAACAAGACAACAGAATAGCTCCAAACTACAGCTTACGACATTTGAAATTTTCGCCAGCCATCACAAAAAAGGATTTATTGCCATGTTTTTACACTTGTAAAGTAAAAAACGATATCAAATTTGTAAGGAGCGTTTAGTTTTTATTGTTGCTCTTGACCAAAAATTAGCTAGTCCCGTTGTTAAGTAACCCAATTTTTGCAACGTCATTTTGTTTTTATTTTACTGGTCTCGTTTTAAAACTATCAAAAATCCGCTAACTTGTCATTTTTCAGGGTATGGCTGAGAACAATATCTCTCAACACCAAGACTACAGAACGCGCGTTTCCTAGTCAATCGTGTCAAGAAAGAAATCGGTATTTATTCTAATGAATTTAAATATATTTTATTTTGTAGAGAGCCAGCAACAACTTCTGAAGAAGAGAAATTGAAGAACCTGAAGAACCTGAATTTGGCAAGAAGCGTAGAAAAACAAATGCGGTAAAGGAATATTTTTTGGCTTTAGCAAAGAAGTTTTTAGGCAGGCAAGCCTGGCATAACAAAGATCCCGATTTTTCACCCGACCGCCACTTTTGCTGAAATTTCCATAAAGGGGAATAGAGAAATAAAGAAGCTTCTCGATGATTTCAACAAGATGGGTCAATCTAAAAAAGTTTGTATTTTACTTGCGAAGCTCGATAAATTTCATGCAAGAGTTTAGGTAACTGCACGTTTATCAAACGTCAGTGGCAAGAATCGATTGATTCCTGGGAAAAAGTTCACGGGTTTCCATATTAAAAGGAGGAACATTGCGATTCAAATTCAGAAAACTTGAAGTCACTGAGTTTGAACCTTTAAGCCTCATTTGACCAATCTCTTTTTAGAAACCGTTCCAAATAAAGCTGATTTGCAACGATATGAACGCGTTATTTGGGAAGCGCAGAAAGATGGATCGAGAAGGTATGTAAAACAATATAATTAGATTAACTATTACATGTTTTAGAAAGATGGCCAGTCAAGAGTTTTTGTGCTGCTTTGAAAGAACTTCACACTTCAACCCAATGGACTCCTTCATCTGAATGGTTTCCTTAAAATTTATTTCATCAAGTACCTAAATTTAGCGACTTTGTTGCAATGTTAAAGAACAAAGAAGAGTATTGGAATGACGACATGGGGCAATCACAACAGCTGTGAAGGATAATGTAGATTTGCTTTCCAGTAAGCATAATTATTGTCGGAAAATCATTTAAATAGCTGTTTAGTCGGGTGCTGTTTTGTATGATTTGCCAATCAGCGAGCTGCCCGAACAATTTAAGGTACACACAATCACTTTTGGAAAACATACATTTGTTGACTTTAAATCCGGATCTCGTAAAGTAAAGTTTTATTTTGAAAGCTCAATATTGATGATATTCTAGAAAAAAATTACTTCAAGCGACCTGGACGTCGATTGCCCTACACTAGTGGACCAATTAACAGCCTTGACTTTGCCCCAGTTCAAGCGTAAAGATGGTTAGTGATACATGATATATTTTTAATTAACATGTCCTAATACTAGGAAGCGAATATTTTGAGGCTCTCTTTCCGTTTTCCCCGAAGATTCAACACTCACAGGGAAAGGGAAGAACTTGGATTAAACAAACTGGATATTTTTCAACTTTGGATGCTGAAACAAGGCCCACTGGAAGGGAGCCATGCCAATTTTTAGATAAATGATTGTTCTTTTGTTTCAGCATGACAAATTCCAACACTTTGCGGTATTGTTCGAATACCAGATGAAGGTTTGGTCCCTAAAAAGTAAAATGGTGCGCTAAACCATGTGAAGTTCCTAAAAAAGGTTTTTAGTCGAGATAGTATTCTTTTAAAATCTTCTTATAGACGATGATCCAATTGGTTATCTTGCCGTTGCAATGGCTAGTGGAAAGATTCTGATCTACAAGTTGCAATAATAATTTTGAAGTTTGAAAGTAATTTCTTTTCAGAATTTCGGATGTTCTATTCAACAATTGTGACGCGGAGGCTGTTCCCGTATTTGAACCCATCACCAGTTTTTGTACTTCGTCAAGAAAACAATCCCGAATATATGACGGGAGAAAATGTGTCGCTTTTCGTTTTCAAATTTACAAAAAGTTCCTTTAGCCACTTGGTTAATCCTCAATGAAATTTCTGTTGATTGGGCACATTTTGCTGGTGGAGATCAAATTGCTGCGGTGAATGCTGCCGGTTTGCAAAAATTTGCTACTATATCAGTGCTTTATTTAGGGAAACATTCTCATATGGGAACTTTCTAACGAAGAATTCACGACGGAAGATGGGATCTTACCAATTGAGATGAGCTCTGAATCTTGGAATTCTCCGGCTGTGGATGTGGTTCTGGAACTCCCGGGAGAAAGCTGGTGTGTCCCTTTTGTTTTTGGTTTCATATATGATTATTTGGTTGCCGTCTCCTTCCGTGAAGGTCTACTACGATTAGCTTGACACAGACACTGGAGAATGCCTGTTAGAAGAAGCAACAGTAAAAAGAAGGCCTGCTTTCAATTAAATCTTTTTGCTACTTTGATCCGAACCGCCGGTCAACGTTGCTCCGCACAGTTACGTCTTTTTCCTGGCGATTTTCTTGCTGCAAGTGGTCAGAGCGACTCCAGCAATGGTGGAACATGCTACTTGATACCTGATCGCCAAAATAAAGGATATTTTGTGGTTCCACTCAGCAATAAGTTTGGCACATTTTAAATTAAAAAACTTTTTGTGTTATTTAGACATGATATTTGTATATGGAGCATTAGCACGTGTGCAATAAACGGTGTTGTTTCATCTTGTGGAGTTGATGGTTGGTTTTATAACTACATTCTCTATCCGTTACCATCAATAACTGGCTTTAAGGCGCGGTGTTGATGTCAATAAATGGCCGAATCGCTCCAAACAATGCCACAGTTGATTTTACTTTCTCGGCCCAGCGCAAAGCACTTCAGCTAACGAGGGTAAAAATAAAACTATTTTTATGAACATTCCTGTAAAGGTTTCGAATGTAAACCTCGCCCTCCAACGGACGATGTAGCTCCTCCAGTTCACGACACCCATGAGCTAGCTCAAAAGTATATGTGGCTCGAAGTGAACGTGTCGGAATGTGATCGAGGTGATATTGAAAAGCATACATTTTTTAATTAGCTGTTTTTAGATACCTGTGCGTCGTAACATCCACTCATGCGGCGATCTACCCGACTTGAGGAGTCTCAACTGCCTATGGCTAATAAGTTATGGCGAAATCCAATAGCAGTTTCGGGTGGACAAAGCGGGATACTTTTGTTTTTTCTTCCTTGTCGCGTATAATTTTTACTTTAATTTCTTTGTTTTGTCGGAGTCAAAATCAGATATCGTAAGCATTCAAAAGTCGTGCAGAGAATACACTAGTAAAGGTCGTATTTATAACTAAACATCATAAAAAGATTCAGCTGATAAGCTAATGGACGATATTTATTTTTGACTCTATTCAAATTAATATTGCGAAGTTTAATTGATTGGGTGTAACCCTACCTTTAATCTCTGAGATGTTTTTTCTCATAAATTGCAGTCCTCTTTGTTATTTAATTTGCTACAATGCGTGTTATTGTTTTAGTTTTTGAATCTACTTGGTAAATCTTACAATACCAACTCGAAACATGGAACCGCCCCTTTCGCCTAGACGTCGCTTAAAAAGTGTACCAGCTCGTCATCGAATAAAAAAATTGTATCTTTGTAGACATAACTTGTCTAACATTTTTTCTTTAACTACTAGCATAAGAAATAAATTTTATCGACGTCAAATCCGTGAATGTAAAAAAAATGACAAGCAAAAGACAAAAATGAGATAACAAACAATCGTGTACTAAAAGATCCTAGAAACCACAAGGAAACCATAAATCAACCCAAGGTTTTAGCAATTTCAACAAGAAAGAGAAAGAGGATCATTGAAATGCAAATAACGGTGACAAAAGACTTTGTTGGGTGCCAAGAGTTGGAGGACTTCGGTGTTGTTACGGGTACTTCTCTTTCTTGATATTGGTATCAACATATTCTTGATGCGAACAGTTTTTCAAAAAGAAAGTGGTTTTGAGAAAATCATCGTGCCCCTCCCCACCCTAGGCTAGTACTAAAAGAAACCTTCCCAATGGTGGCTAATTTCAGACATTTATGTAAATTTTTATGGTAGGGGTAGAAAGTATCGTGCCCCTCCCCAACTAGGCTAGTATCAGGTTTTTTGTTGATGGACACGTGCGCAACATGCGCAACATGGGGCGATCACTTAGGGGGGCACTGGGGGCGTGCACTTTTGTGGCCAAAGGGAGGCACCGGAAGGGGTCGCTCGAATATACTTTCAGAGTACCGCCCCCAGTGTCCCCTAGTGTATTGTCTGTTTTTATTATGTTTTTCCGAGGGTCCCCGCCCATTCCGCCCAAAACTTTAAATGGAAACTTTACCTGCAAATGTAAATTTATTAGCTGAATATTTTACAATTAGCACAAACACAAGCTATTTCCAGGGGCCATTCGAAGTTATACTTTCTAGGTATCGAATATTCACCTAATAAATTACATTTGCATGTAAAATTTGCATTTTAAAGTTTTAGGCGAAATGGGTGGAACCCCTCGAAAAATAATAAAACAGACAGTGCAGCAGGAATGCAAACGAGAAAGTCAGAGTCACACAATTACCGTACTCTCTCTTCGTCATGTTCTAAAGTGTGCTCTTACGCTTTTTACAGAAAATTTAATTCATTTTACTTTAACGCAATCCTTTCTAAGTGGTTCGCTTCAGCCTTGTCTTTAAAGCGCGGGATAAACTTAGGGAAAGCCCCGTCAAGATTATCTAATATTTCTTGAAAACGTTGAGATCTATTGCTAGGTTTTTTGGGGCCTGACTCATCAACTCTAGTTCTCCTGTCCGGTAATTTTTGTAGGAAATAAGATACCCGTTGTCGAAATTTTATTTTATCTACGCTTTCCATTTCGTTTCTGTGCACGTTTTGTTTTTATACTTGCAACTTATTTATTTTTAGATCGACGAGATTGGAGGAAACGAATCGGGGCAACGAGCAGGAGGAGCAAGACCTGCGGCTAAAGGAGCGATCAAAGAGACAATAAACAGGACGCTCAACACACTACGATGGAAATGGCTTTCGGAGAAGATGTATTTTTTTTGCTTTGCTTTAGTTTTAGTTTGTTCCTTTAGAGCGATCGACTCGGATGGGGTCACGCATAAAGGCCGAGGCAAACTCGCACTTGATTCAAGTCTCCGCTGACAATTCAATTCAAATTGATGCCGAGGTTGAGTGTTTCTGATTTAATCTATCTTACGATAAGTGATTTGGGCCACGCGGCGAGGATGGTAATGTTCGGAAGGACGATGATGAGCGTCACAAGCTTGCCAACTCCTTGCAGCTTAACATCGCCGGAACTGTCCAGTGGTTTATCTATTTTGAGAAACAATATGGTCTAAACCATATTTTCCTTTTTAAGCAATAATATTCATTTGGACGGTTAAGGAAGAGCAGGGACGGCAATGTGACTACAGAAAAAGGGAAAATGATGGCGGCAATCAATTGGACGTTGGCTATGCTGCGCAAGGTGGACGTTAAGGTTTTTACACTTTATAGCCCACTAATAGTAAGAAAAATCCTAAGTCATGCTTTTACTTTTTGCTTTCATAAATTATTTTAGCCCGTCAATACGCCTTAGGAACCAACGGTATATGAGGCGCGCTAGCAAGATGAGAATGTGGCTGCAAAGAGCTCGAATTGATTCGCAAGACGATGGTGAAGAAGAAAATTAAAGAAGCACTCACTCAAACTGAAAAGGGGAAAGATGGTCTCACCAGCAGCAACTTGCAATTAAATGACTCACTCAATGACCAGGTATGAAATTTAAACTAAACGCTTTGTATTGTGTTTTTAGCAATTAACCAACCCTGCTGTCAAAAAAAGCTCGCCAAGGTCTTCTCACTCGTTTTACCGTGCGTCAGCTGCGAGAATTCATCTGACATTTCCCATAACTTGCCTCGTCCGTTATCAAGTAAACTATTAAATATTGTTACCTTTAAACTTGGAAACTTGGTAACATTTGCGAGGCTGAAGTTTTTCATATAAGCTACATTTTTGCTTTAGTCAAATGGTAGCGCTCAGTTCGTCGTCAGCAGCGTGAACGGCGAGAAATGACTTCGCGCATTGCTATCGTTCCAGCATTTCAACATCAATCCACTGCTGGTAATGGTTATATCCAGTGCCATTAATAAGGCTATCGTAATGTTAAGTTTAGTTTCAAACTAACTTTCCCGTTCCTGACAATGCAAGTCGGCGACTATCACTGGCAGCCTGCCATTGGAATGGTCGTTCATCCACAACAACAAGGACGCATGAACTTCTTTGACAGCTTAATGGTCAATCGGTAATGAATTTATCCGATTGTATTCTTTGGAAAAATTCTTTTTAGAAGCGCTTGATCTATGAATTTACACGCTTCTCGACAACAATAACAATCTGGGTTACGCTGTCTGGACTTTGGCTCTTTCACAACATTGTTGCAATCTACGATCTTTGATCATTTAGTTTGCATGAAGGTATGTTTTGGCGTCTATAAGTTAAGTTCATTATATTCTTGGCGTGATGAATAAAGTTATTCGCCACAAGCTAATCTGCATCTTTAGCTTAACGTTTCTCCGATGCAGAGTGGTGTCCTTTGCTGGCAATAAATCAAATCTTAGTTATGATCTGACAAATGGACAACGAGCGTGCTCGCCTCTTTCACTACTTCAAACTTAAGTACTTATTTGTCGTTTTTGTTTTCTAGCGCCTGACATCTTGATTTTGAGTTATCCTAAATGGAGACTCATAGACTTTTTTAGAAAAGATTAAATTTTAGTGGATCCCGCGCAGAACTTTTTCGATGGACTGGTGAGAATGTGATGCTAATCACTTCGCAGCTATTTTGTTGATTGAAGAGGGAATTCTTTGAGGTATTTAATTTTTTATTGCTTTGCTAACATCTTTTAGGGTGCCATCAAAGCAAGAGGTGAAAACAGCAACAATCAAGAAGGCATTACCTTCACGAGAGAAAGCCATATGGGTTGATGATGAATAGAACGGTGGAGGTCAATTGAATTCCGATGAGGTGAGCTCTCTGTTTTTAAAGCTGATACTCGGCCAAATAGTGCCCAAAGTCATTTTAAATGTTTAATCGTTTAGATAACATTTGTTTTTAGGGTGGCATCGAAGCAAGGTATGATAGCTACAACATGACTCAAGAGAAATTTCCTTCACGGTAAAAAGCCATATGACGTGGTGATGAACAGCAATAGTAGCGATCAATCGAATTCCGTTGAGGTATTTTTCGTTTTGAATTTTATTTTGTTCAACTAACTTGTGAAATTTAAATATTCTCAGGATTGTTTTAATGATCAATTACTTTAGACTCCTCGGCGTAGTAAGATGGGTATCTCAATTTATGGCAACTGAATCTCCAAGCTATCAGGAATTGCTTCACATTACACGCAGCCTTGGGTCACTCAAAATCTTTCGAGGTATGTTGAGTATTTTTATCCTAATTGCTGTTTGTTCCATAGAATGCTCAGTCTCAAAACATTGATATGGATCTCGACATCTCATCCAATTTTAATGTAATCAGTGAATATTTTACTCAAACTGCCATCAATGTCGGTCATGATCAGTTAAAATTTCAAAATCTTTTGTTACCTAATCTCGTAATCTCAAAAAAATGCATTGATGTAGTGTTTTTTTTTTCTTTATTGTTGGGTTAGTATTTACGCATTTTTTGCTTTGTTTAAATATGTTCGGTTTTGTTTGACATGTGAATAAATGTTGTTTGGGGATCGTTTAAAATCTAAAAAAGGCCAACGCAGCCAGAAGAGTTACAGATTTCTGTTGGATTTAACACCACTCGTCTGCTTGGTTTGGGAGTTAAAGTATGAATCACCTTTACACAAGGAATTTTGCGTATTTCGACGGAAGCTTCGAACTCCCAAGGCACTGGATTTATGATTGTTTTGCCATTGCTTTCTCCTTTTTGGATGGCGGATGACTTTCCCTCCAATGGTTCCTAGAAAGGAAAATTAATGCAGCTTCTTTGCGGAGAACCTGTTCTTTTTGCCTACCTGGGAGGGAGGGGTGAATGCCGTTCGCAGGATGGCTTTCACCTTTATCTCCTTCTCTTCTCTTCCCCGATTTCTCCCCAAATTCACCGATCCACCTCCTCTTTTCCCTCCTTCTTCTTCTTGTTGAAGTGTTGTTCTGTCACTACCACTTTCACTTTTCTTTTCTTTTCTTTTCCCTTTAGAGCAATACTCGTCTTCACTTTCGATGCCAATCGCTTTCGTTTGATCTCCAAAGAAAATCGCTCTTTCTTCGTTATTTTTTTCTGAACGCTTTACATAAATTCTGTGCTTTCCTTTTCTAAAAGGCTGAATATTTTGGTTTTGCTTTTTTTGTATACAATTTTGATTTACAAGTTCTTCAGCTGAAATCAGGAATTTCATCTAAACATGTGCTTTTCAATGCTCTTTTACTCACTTTTGCCAAATGCCATGTCAAATGCAATTGTTCATTCGAAATTTTGCTAGATTCTTTGACTACCTATGTTTTTACAGAAGGTAGGATGGATGAGGAAAGATGGGAAATGAATTGATCGCATTGACGAGTAGAGTAAAAGAAGAAGAAAGGCGATCAAATGGATGTATTCGAGATGAATTGTCGTGGATGGATCGATTGTCGATGTCATCATCCGATATCTCCCACATCCTGCCACACTCGAAAGGGATTTCAGTATGCCTAGCCTCGGGTAAATGATCCATTTGTTTTACTTTTAAAATTCGAGGGGAATTATGTAATACTGTCACGGCTATGATAGTTTTTGAAAGTTGACGCATTTTAGAAAGCACATACTTGAACATTTTATAATGTGCCCAAAGCAACTGTTCTATAAAGCGTATTGTAGATTTGAAATTTTCCATTTTACTCTTAAGTATCAAAATCTTAATCAGTCATTTTGTATCCCAAAAATTGAAAGACAATTTTCAGGGAATGTCTCCTTCTTCATCAAGTTCAGGCACCGAAGATATTCTACCGGGAAATTTCGGCAGAGATATTCGACCGATTCTTCGATGAGATCCGAATATTCGGCTGAATATGGGACAATTGAGGGTGAGAGAAAAATTGAATCTAGAGAAATGCTTTCACTAAAAAAAAATCTAGAAGGATGCTATCTAGAATATTCTCTGGGTTACTCAAATTTTCATGAACACGAATTTCAAGCGGACAATCTGATAAAAATGGAAACGGTATGAATGGATTAAATGACTATGTAAATGTAAAAAGAAATTTTTAGACAATGTTAGACTATGAAAGGAGTCAAAATGGGACAACAATCAGTGAATCGAGAAATGAACGCGAGAAAACCGGAAGATGGAAGAAAAGCGAGAAGAAAAGGAGGTTTGAGAGAAACGGGATTTTGTGTTTTTGAATTTTTGAAAACTAACCTAGTCTTGGCTCAATTTTTATTCTTTGTGAATCCTCACAAAATTGGACAAAAGTTATCGCCATAGATTGGCCAGATAAAAGCTAAGAGCGGTGGTTTTAGGAAAACTTTTAGTTGAGAGATTAGAACCTCTAATCAAAGTATCAAGAAGATAGTTGTAAAACATGGAAAACATTTCAATCCAATCATATACCCGTTTCTAGGTGGAACGAACCTTTATGGCCGCCCGTATTGCCCAGGCAGGCCACTGTCGATGCTCGAAGGACACAAATCATCGAGTTACACCTAGCTGGCATGAAAGTAAGCACAAATTTTATAATAAACCAAGATTCAAATCCATAATAATCCCAGGTGAATGCCATCTCGAAGACACTTTGCATATCGCATGGATGTGTGAGCAAAATCATTTCAAGGTTTTAAAAGATAAACGCCAAGAATTGATAAACATTCTAGATATCGAACAGCAGGGAATCCCTCTCACCAGCCTCGTTCACCCTGAACCGCGAAAGTGAGAGGGGAAAAGGATAATGAATGGAAATCAAGATGATCAAATCCTATCCTTACTTTCACCCCACTCATTTCCGGTTGAAGGGAAAGAGGGCCAACCTAGGTAGTTGATTGGTTCCAAATTTTTCCTCTTAATTTAAGCGTTTTCTAAAAGATGTTCTCTGTTAAAAGATACTGTATTTGCTTGAACCAGGAGGCGAACTGGTCTGCAATTAAAAGAAAATGTGTTTAAGAAAGATACTTTCCGATGTCTTTCCGGGGAAAGTATACAGTTAGAGATACCAGGTCCAGGATCCAGGCTTTCAAAGGTTTCAAAGATAAGCAACTATTGAGGCTCTTTATTGGTCGCAAGATTATGGTACCGTAAATACTGTAATAGTACCCCCACCCCTCTCTATTACGAGTCGCGTAGTCACATAAAGTTTTTAGTATTTCATTTTTTCCAAAGCGCCCGTACTTTCAAAAATGCGCCTTTGGTATCAAAAAAATAGCTGAAATTCAGGGCTATTTTTTTTGATACCTAAGCGCACATTATCGCTTATAAACCAGTGTCGAGAAAAACTCGTTCAAAGCTAGACTACTCAACACTCCGCACCGATCATTATGGGGTGGGGTACTATTACAGTATTTCACATTGAGCTAACTTCTACATGAATTATGGTATTTAAATGTATACCCTAAAGAACACCGGCATTACGGTACATTTTCTTTTTTTTGAGAAAACATGTTTTAGAAAGAAACGCTTTAAGCATAGGAAGTTCGATAGATCTTTGTTTCCACTGTCAGTATTGAGCTGTGATTGTGACATTTCTTAAGCCTAGCAATTGCTTTTATTGTGCCAATTTTGTGATTTCTCTATTTATAAACTGTTCACTAAAGCATAAGATTGTTTTCCCTTTTTTTTTCACTTCATAAGAAGTATAGCCATTTCTCCCTCTTTTTCTCTTCTCCTCAGTTTTTTTAAAAAGCTTTGTAGGCTTTACAACAACAAAATTCCCCTGCCGAATTGCAATATAAATTCACTTTCTATAAAATGTGCATCTTGTAGTTGCTCACACGTTGAATGGAGCTCTCTTTTGAATCAATAAAAATTTACATTTACAAACTGTTCGAAAAATAAATTTGCATTTAACGGTCAAGGAAAAGAATTCCCGTCTCTTTTCCAGCATACAATTTTGTGGCTATTTTCTCAGCTTTCTGACTCGATCAACTTCATCAAATCGCCATGCTTGTCAAGGTTCGATTTTCTTTTTCTCGTTCTTTTATAAACTTTTCTTGTTAAATTGATCATTTTGCTAATAACCTTTACGTTTATGGTTTTTGCACTAACTTTATAAACTTATAAACTTTATAAACTTATAAACTTTATAAAGAAACTTATAAACTAACTAAACTTGTTTATTAGCATCGTTTAGTATATTGGGTAGTTAAATGTTAAACTTTTTTGATAAAATTGATGGAAATGTTGTTATTTTTGTTTTTGCATTTGCCAGTCTCTTTGTTTTAGGATTATCGAATTCTTCTGCCATTCAATGTCGACATTGACTTTAAACGGGGACATCTCTACACAACCGCCAGAGACTGAGCAAAGCTGAAACTGGAGGGGGGAGAAGGCGTTGAGGTTGGCTTCTTTTTTGTCATTTGTATAAATTTAAATTAACAATTAGTTGGCTTAATTGCTTTATTAGTCCTGATTTCATGAAGCTTAAAGTCATGCTTAGCCAATTAGCCTTTCCAAATTTCATTTTACATTTGACAGTTTAGATATTGAAACAAGAAGAATTCGAATCGAACGGTTTGCGCCCCGGTGAACATCTTGAAGAGCATCTACACTTACAAGATTTATCGCATCAAAGTAAAGTGCCATGGCTTCTTGCAAAAGGTATTTTCATTAGTATTGTGGTTACTTATCTAATCTTTTTATTAGATGCTCTCTGAATCCGCCTTTATTCTTCACGAGGAATCGTGGAATGCTTACCCATACTTCAAAACTGTTGTCACTGTAAGTTTATTCATTTCTTTATCCACAAATTTATTAACTTTAGAATCCGGGCTACATGAGAGAAAGGTTTCAAGATTCAACTCGAATCGTACCACATCCAGGACAAAGGAGACGCAGAGAGAATGTAAGGATTTCACTTTGCATTTCTAAAGTTGCTAAAGGAGTTTAGCCTCTTAACGCCAAAAAGAAATGGCTGAGGTCGTTGCCGTTGGACATTATTGATGAAAAAAGCCTCAAAAAGGTGGTGAGTTTGTTGCATAGAAAAGGAAATTCATTTTTTTTCTATCTTAGGATCTTGAGGCAAAGATTAATCCGCGTATGGTTCGTAGTGAGAAAATGGAGATCAGCCCATTGAAAGACAGTTGGACCGAAGATGAGGCAATAAGAAACGCTTTGGAACTTTCTTTTACATGTGTTTCTCTTGCTTCAGATCCCAGTTATGTGTGCCTACAAGTTGGTATCGGTGACTTTCTCGTGGCGAGGAATTGGTGGTCAAATCGAGGAGTTGATCCACAAGAATTACCCGCAGTCTCTTCAACAAATTCCATCGGTTTGCTTAGTACATTCTTCTTTTTCCTGTGTATATATTGTCTTTTAGTGAGGTGTTACTGTCGATCCGATGAATGTGGTGGGACATGGATATGGATGAAATTCGCGATTATGAGGGAGAAGACTGCTAAGAAACTCCGCAAGATGATCAATGATGTGTTTGGTTAATATTTGATCATTTTAAATTGGCTGCTTGCTGTTAGTTAAGATTTATTAAAGTGTGAGTGATTTTCTATTAACGAATTTGCTTTTCAGAATAATCAGAAGCGTGGTGTGTACAGGGCCGCTTCGGACAGCGAAAAGCATCTTAAGTAACGAAATTTGATTAGAATGACTATTGACGACCAATGTCTCCGTTTTTTTTTGTGTTTTCTCGCCCACTTTTCGTTCCAATAAATCTTTGGAGGTTGAATGTACATATTTTCTTTTCCCCACTTCTTAAAAATGGATTAGTTTCTAGTTTTCTGTTAAAGAATTTTGTAATGGACGAATTTTTTCCTTTACGGAGAAAAATGGTTTTTGAAGACGAAGAAGTCATTTGTGGTTGGGCATTCCATTGTTTTAATCCCTCCGTTTCTTCTTCAACCATATAAGACCTTTCCTTTTCGTTACGCCATCTTCAAGGAAAGGAATATGAAATGACACTATGGCCTTTCCTCTTTTCGAGATAGCTCATGATCGAATGCCCATTTGAGGAGGGCGTGTCTTTCTTGAACTTTTTTCTCCATCTTTGCCTCTTTCCAGTTACCGTAGTTGTATGAGAGTTGAATCAAAAGCTTCACTCGTTTCCTTTCTTCATATTGTGTTAAGTTGTGAAGAGGGTCGTCCTCCTCATTCCCCTTCTCCTTCCCCTTGCTGCCCTTCTGTTCATTCAGAAATAATCCACTTGGGGCTCAACCGGACTCCTTTCATTGCCCTCCTAGATCCCTTTCTTTTTACCTGTAACTCCAATATGGATCAATTCTCTTGATCTGCTCTGCGTATTTTATACTCCACCTTTTGCTCAGGTTTTGTGTTGAGTTTATTTTTTGAATTTTTTGGTTTTTGAGACTAAAGCCGGAACTTGCATTTATATTTTTTTACAAAAAAAATCCATTTAGTACCATCCGGACTTGGCCATCTTGCTGACACACACTCCAACCACCACACATCTCCTTCAAGCCCCTACAGGTACTCGAATTTTTGAGTACTTTGTACAAGAAAATTTCCCAGGATACGTGCGCCTCGTTGACCGATTTGACATCACCATTCGATCAGCATGCATCAAGCTTTCTATCCGACTCACATCTCACTTCAAGATCCGCTCAGTTTGCATGTAAATCATGCGGAAAATTGCCGAAAAAGTTGGTGTACTATAGTAAAATTAGGAATTTGTCGCATTGCTGGAGTATGCCAATAAAGTGATAGAAAAACAATGTGGAAGTACACAGTAAGCCGAAAATTTCAGTCGAAGGTTATCCTCGTGCAAAGAAGAAACCGAAGAAGAGGAGGCTGATGTGGAAAGAGATTTGCCTACCAAAAGGGACAAAACCCCGAAGACAACGCACGCATTTCACAAGTCATCAGGTTTTGTTTAAATAAAAAAAAATATGATTAACAAAAAATAAAAATGACATTAGAAAAACACTTTTCTTTTTAGCATCTTTAACTTTAGTAAATTAGCTTTTCAGGTGATACGGTATCAAAGATTTTTCTGTGGTAAATGCTATATATGGATTTTGACTTTTTTTAGATTGTTAATTGAATATCTTATTAGTCATTTTATCAATTTACGATTCAGCTGAACGAACTCGAGGGTTGGTTTCAACGAAATCGACTATCCCGATATGGCCACACGAGAGGGGATGCCGCGGCAGGGTGTGGATCAGTTTGACCGAGCCGAGAGTCAGGGTCAGTTCAGATATATGCACTGTTTATGTATAACAAACATTAAAACATTAAAAATTAAAAGTGAAAATTAAATGAGCACGGTAATTTGGAAGACAAAATGTCATTATCGAAGAAGAAAAGGGAAATGATGAGATTCTCTTTGCCCGTCCCTCCTTCCCCTCCTTCCCCTCCTTTCCCTCCTTTCCCTCCTTCCCCTCCTTTCCCTCCTTTCCCTCGCATTCAATCAACCACGTAGTGAATGTACTGGAATAACATCAGGAAATGATGGGAAATACCTATTTTGTGCTAGAATTTGTGCAAATCAAATCGAAAGTTTAGGTTTGGTTCAAGAATCGTCGAGCGAAATGGCGCAAACGTGAACGCAACTATATGACCGATCCCAAAACCCTTCAGGTAAGAAAACCCTAGAAAGTTTTAGTATAAGTGATAAAGTGATTTTTTAAGTCAAATCTGTTTTTTATGTTTGTTATGTCTCAACACCTTTTCTACAATGATCGCTTTCATCTAGAATACGTTTATGGAAATGTATTAACTTTCGGAACTATCGTAATCCTATTTCAAGCTTTATTTGATCTATATTATCCAATTTTCGTATTTTTCGGTATTTTTTGTAAACCCTCATAGAATCATAAGAAAATTATGTTATGCTGGATGCTGGTTGGATAAAATCTGAAGCCAGGATTACGGTAACATTCGAAAATTGACACGTTATCGAAACGCATTAGTTGAGAAGAAATTTTACTCTCTTTTAAAAGAATTTTGACTTCGGAACGCTTTTCACTTCAATATATGTTAACGATAAACGACCCTGAGGCTTTAGAGACGTTACTTTTTCTTTTCAAAATAAGACCTTTGTTTCTGAAAATGCAATTCCATTGAACGAAATATGCAGGCAAGCGCTTTACCTGGTTCAATGTGCTCCTCTTCATCGACGTCAATATCTCTTCCCCCATCAATTCCATCAATGTCTTCCCTCGGCGGTCTCCATTCGGGACTTGGAAGTCTCCGGAACGATTCAGGTGCACAGGAAATTTCATTCACTATTGATTTTTCAGGTTCAGAAGAGCCAATGTAATTTGTCTTACCGAAATTATCGTATCTAAAAAATCAATTTCTAGGTTCAAGGCAGCTTCACCCAAACGTTGATCCCGCCAACACCAGGTGAGCAAAAAAAAACTAACCAAAAACCACTTCTCTAGATCGACTCATTCTATGGATATGGAGACTCCCCCATGGCATCCTATCAGCCTCGCCCCGGTGCAACCACATTCAATTGGAGTGTTAAAGGACAAGTAAGCAATCGAGTTACATTGAAATTTTAGGGTAATGAAATGTCAAATCCTTCTTGCCAAATGCTCCTAATTGAAAGCTACTGGATAATCTTAAAGGAAGCAAAATTTCCTTTTTGAAAGCAACCATCTCGTCTCGTCAATCTCGTCTCTAGTTTTATCCAATTTTTATGATACCTTTCGATTTTCTTTGCGAATATTCACAAAATTAGCCCCAGAGTTGGCTGGCTAAAAAATAGATGCAAGATCACAGTAGTTTCAAAAGGGAATTGGTATGATTTTAAAAAATGCATTCGACAACTCACTTAAAACCATGAAGAGTTGCTTTTTTCCATTTTCACTATTATTTTGACAAGGTCTAGATGAGAATGATATCAAAAAAAATCAAAGCTTAATTTCAATTCCCATCAATTCCCATCAATTCCCTGCAATGTCAGATCTAAATAAAGCAGAAAGGCGGGTTGGCCATAAAAAGGTACCTCCAATCCCCTCCCTAGGTGTCACCATATGTTCTGTTTACATCTTCCTTTCCCCACACCAAATTTCCCACATGATCGAGCAAATTAAATCGCTTTTCCCTCTAAAACCGTTACGCAATGTCCATTCTGCCCCCTCTTTTACACACACCGATCATTTCGCGCATCTTTTGCCCCCAAATTTATGCTAATTTTTCAACCGAAATCCTTTTCAGATCAAATCTCAAGGGGGAAATTTCGGTGGAAAGTCATTGTTTTTATCTACGGTAATTCTAAAAGCAAAACCTTTGCTTACAAGGGAGTAGAGTTTCGATTGAATGGGGAGGCGTCTGTTGGAGGAGTCAGCTCTAAACAAAGAGGTGAACAAGGGGTGAAGGGACTAAAACGATCCATTTTGGGTGCACGACATCAGTGTAACCCGATATCGAGAATAGTTTATGTGACAAAAGCAACTATGAAGCAGATATTCTGGAATCTTTCTTGCGTATCGATGCGTATAGTGTCAAATAAAATTGTCTATCGTAATTCATTTACTATTCCGCACTAACTTTGACCGCTAAGCAAGAGTCTACCTTGTCCATTTACCTGAAAGATAACCTTTTTCAGTTTCCATCACCAACTCCACTCCCCGTTGTGCCCTCAAGTTCAGTCTCATCGTCCACATCCAGTATTGACAAAAACCCAAAGCTGATCCTATGACTTGCAGCTCTTATCTCAACTGTCCCTATTCTGGGCCTCTTTAATCCCATTTTTCAATCTTATTCCTAAAATCTAGTCAATTTCATTCACCATTTTTTTCTACGTGCGCTCATTGTTGTCAAAAAATAAATAACTTTATAAGGCTATAAAAATAAAAACAGATTTGACTTAAAACAATCACTTATCACATGGCTCATAAAAAACTTAACAAAAACAAAAAAGACAAGCTAGCTTACAATAAGGCACATATCATAACGAACTCGATTTCATTCCAGACGTTTAAAGCCAAAGTGCGGCCTCGAGTGAATGGAGCTCTTTTTCGAGAGTTTCTTTCTAAAAGTAATTAACATGGTGCTATTTTTCAATGTCTGACTAACCTTTTCTTGATTGTTTGCCCGGACGCCAAGTGGAGCTTTAGTTTCATAATCGGCCTTTGCTTGTAACTCGTTAATTTTAGCGATCTAAGCGTCGTCAAATTTATATACTCCTCCAAAAAGCCCTACCTGACCATCGAGCTTCCCTTTTTTGGATTCAAGTTTTGGTAACGCTCCTTTGCGATGTCGTAAATAATGCCCTGAAATTAAACTTGTTTATTAAGAAAATAGCGAAAACCTCCAGAGTGGAATGTAAATATTGCAGATAGAGGTGGCGTCTGATGAAGTGGAGTGTCACACGAGAGCAACCTTTCTCTGGGGCTTTGTTTGATTTATCATCGGTCGCCAAAACATGGTTACCTAAGCTCATTTCAATATACAAACTAACCCCAAAACTCACTTTTGATGAATAGGTCAACGTCAAAACAAGTGATTCCAAATCTTCAAAGCATCCAGATCTTTTGTTGACAAGGAGCAAAGAATCACTAGAAAATGAGATATATAAAAAAGACCCAATGTCACTTACATTCTGTTTTGACTTTATTGATCAATTCATAATCAGATCGTAACGAGCGAACCTAAAATGTGTATTAGAAGATCTTGCTTAAATCCAACCTGCGCGAGATGACGTCCATGGCAAAAGCGACACGAGTCTCAAGGGTCTTGTCAATAAATGGATACTAAAGCAACAATTATTCACTTCGATAACTGAAGAATTAAACCTGAGCTGGCTCAGGATACTCTGCGATGACAATTGAGAGAGCTTTCTCGGAAGGCCTTTTCGGAAGTCGCTGCCATGGTTCTTCCCTTATGAATGGCATCATTGGTGGAAATAAGCCGGAAGTCCAGTCTCAGCACAATGATAGAGAGTTCGACGAGCAGCAGCGGCAGCTCTCCGCAGTGCCTAAAGAAAAATTTTTGGACAAGAAATTACGATTGATCTACCATGAAAGATATTTAGATTGACTGATTCCAGGTACACATCCACAAAAGTCGTAAAAAATAAAGTTGTAAGCTAGCAGTAGTAGCCTAAATTTTGCACTAATCCTAGCTAATTAAAAAGCCATTTACTTTGTGAGGGATATCTTAAAGTACCTGTAGTGAGGTTGTTCGTGACCATTCCTTGTTCACACATGGCCACAGTTTGAGCACATCGAGCGGAGGATCCACAAATCGGTTTCCGATTCTGTTCCTGTGAGCTAAAAGCTTTTAGCGTAGAGGACTAAGCTTGGCAACAGTACTTTGAAAATTGCTTCTGGTTGATACTCCTTTCCAAGATTGAGAAAAGGTAAACTTGATGGCTTGCCAAATCTGAAAAGAGCAGTTATAAGTCGAGATCAACTAATTTTATTAACCTTGTTACAGAAGAAGCGGTATCCTTGAACACGTAAAACATCAAGATTGATATCGCGACCCTGGCTCGTATAGGCCATTAAAGCAAATCAGAAGCGCATCGGTTCCGCATTCAGGAATTCACTGAAACACATCATACTGAATCTTGAATGCACTTTGAAGAGTTACCTGTGGATAATCCCGTGACTGGCCCGCTTTAGCCGTAGCAATTTCTTTTGGATCAAAATTGCCCGAAGTCAAGTTGTCGTTGAAGCTCTTCCAGAGTAATCTAAAACATTCTTTATCACAAATACTCTTAAAAGGAAATGGTTTAAATCAAAAAATATTTTAAGATAATACCCCTCGAATGACATCTCGTGGATCGATTACATTTCCAAGTGATTTACTCATCTTTCTACCATGCGCATCTCCGAATCATAGCATGCAAATAAGACCTGTAACATTTGAATACCAAACTATTTAATTATACTTTACCTCTTTGAATGGGATTTTCCCGGTGAGCTCTTGTGCCATGAACACCATTCTCGTGACCCAGAAAAATAAGATGTCGTGTCCCGTTTCGAGAATCGCTAACTCAGGGAAAAATGCATTGAGATCGCCTAAATGAGAATTGTAAAATGCAACAGATGGATCCAACCAGTATTTTCAGGCCAACCGAAGATTGCAAAAAGCCACACGCCCGCGGAAAACCAAGTGTCAAGCACGTCCTCATCTACAAATATTGTTTTGAAATTTGGAAAACGATTATATTTCCCCATTTCGATCCAATAAATTTCGGATCAACTCCGAACTTCTTCTGCCCCTTTCTCGCGCGCTCATCTTCTGTGTGAGCAGAAATCCAATATTGTTATCGGCTGGATCCTCCGGCTGGCGTTTTCCATCCTATCAATATGTTAGTTGTTATTCAGATAAAATCAGTACCGTAACAGTGATGAAATATGCCGGGATTCGATGACCCCACCAGAGTTGTCTCGAAATACACCAATCGCGACTGCTCTGAAGCCATCTATTCAAGTTGCAACGTGGAAGTCTGGTGTGATTTTTAGCTCTCCCTAAACTTACTAAAATAATTTTCATGAACCACAAAAACCTGCTCTACAGCCTCAATAGCTCGGCGAGCCATTTCGTCACATTTCACATACCATTGCGGCTTTAAAATTGGCTCGATTATGTCTTTGGAACAGCTAAACAAATTTGGGGGAAAAATAAAGTGACGCTTCACCTGCAAATAGGGACAACCATAGGATTGTCTTTCTTTTCCCTGTAAAGACCAAGCTTCTCCAAAGCATCCAAAACTTCTTTTCGGCAATCGAATCGCTTCATACCAGCAAATTGACCGCAATCCTATCAACAAAAATTTCTAACTATAGCACAATATAGCTTACCTTCGTCATAAAGCCGTCGTCGGTGATGCATGTAATAAAGGGAAGCTTGTGCCATAGTCCAACCTGTACAAACCGATTAGTGTGTTTTATTCAATTTTCAACCTCGTAATCGTTGGGGTCATGCGCAGGAGTTATTTTCACAGCTCCTGTCCCAAACTCACGATCCACGAATTCATCCCCAACAATCGGCAGTTCTCTTTTAACAAAGGGGTGTTGGCACATCTAAACATCGAAATTGAAAAAAGTGACCTACTCAAAGACCTTTCCAATCAAATGTTTATATCTCGGATCCTCTGGGTGTACAGCAGCGGCAGTATCACCAAGCATAGTTTCCGGCCTTGTTATTGCAACGACGAGTTCTTGATCTGCAAAATCGGGGTTTCACAATTATTTAAATCAATCACCTGAATCTTTGACTTTGTATGCAAAAGAAATAATGACACCAAACTCGATCTTCTCCGCGTAACCTGGGACAGGCAAAAGCGTTTTCCAGGCAATTCCTTCTTGTCGACCTGTCAAGAGTTTGTTAATAAAATGATACCAAGTTGACTTCAATATCCGAATAGCAGAAAGTAGAGTACAACTCCAATTTACAAGCCTTGTTGAACGATAAATAGTTCCGCTCTCGTGCATTCGAATAAACGCCTCTGTTACGGCACATGATTTTCTACAAGAAATGAGTAAAATAATGATGCTGATACATACTGGGTCCATCATGAAAACGGCTCGATCCCAGTCGACAGAGGCACCCATATCGCGCAGCTGGTCATAGATGATATGTCCTTTCCTAAACTCGGAATATCAACCAGATAATACCAAAACCCTACTCATTCTTCCATTGCCAAACTTCCTCGATAAACTTTTTCTCGGCAAGATCGTGTCTCGATAGACCCTTTTCTCGTTGAAGTCGCTTTTCTACGACTACCTATACAACTAAAAGTGAAAATCCAGTAAATCAATCGAATACTTGGGTTGCAATTCCAGCGTGGTCACAACCGGGTTAAATAAAGTGGTCTTTCCTTTCATACGGTTCCTGAATGAAAAGTTTTGCTTTGTAATGGCGTTTTTGACCATCTAGTGAGAGTGTCTTCAACCGAGGTGGCAAGCGCGTGTCAACGTGAAGTGTACCGGTAACGTTTGGTGGTGGGATACAAATGGTGAAAGATCGCTTTTGGATTCTCTTTGCTCAAATCGCGACCACCATATTCGGGACGAAAAAATCCTAAATTGACCAAATTTGGTGAAAACTTCAAAAAGCCAACTTCAGCCTCCCACCATTCATACCAGGCAGCCTCTACATAACGAGGAGCGTAGGCAGACGGCATTTCACCGGACACGTCTAAAACTCACAATTGAAGCGTGTCAAAATTGCACAAACTACCTTTCTTCTCTCCAGGCTTTGTGGTCGCAGAATAAATAACTTCGACGATTTCCTTTTCTTTTTTGGGAGCCTTCTCCTTTGTTTCGCCGCTTTCTTTGGCTGTAGCTACGACTTGTCTTTCTGGACCTTCTCCTAAATTTAATCAAGTTCACCATACAATCTGTGCAATTTACCTCAAATTTGGCCAGCTTAGCAGCTTTTGCCGCTTCTTTCTTGAGCTCCTTTTCCGTCTTAGGCTTTGGATTGTCCCCCATTGTCAACCCGTCGAGTCGATCTCAACTAAAAGAAAAAAAAAAACATATTGCGCTAACCGTAAAAAAATAAGCAAAGCAGCAAAATCAGGAGTAAAGCAAAGATTGGTAAAACTCAAAACAAAGCCAAATTACGACAGTTATCTACGGAAGACTTCTTTAAATACTCTGACTCACAATGATTAAATTCGACGCTAGCTTTCCAAATGTTGCATCACTACTTTTTTTACGTATAACTAACCCTATAAAGTGAAAAAATAGCGCTTTGAAAATATAAAAAACTACGTTGGAATGCTTCTGACGGACCCAAATCTCACAGAGTGACCGCTTTTGAGTGACACCTCCGGTTAAATTTCAATTTCAGAAGATCTCTTCGGAAATTCAATGAATCTCGAATATTATGCAATCAATATCACGTACCTAATTCATAAAAATAGAATAAACCTTTATTACCCCTTATTAACTTGCAAAAATCACCAAATGCAAAAGTAAAACATAATTATCTAAGAACCGTAAATAAAAATCTCAAATATATTCTAGCAATACTATTCACAAAACTATTGTTTCTTTTTCTTTTCCTCCTTCTTGAAGAATAAATCATCAAAACAGGCAGTTCCTCCGAAAACGAGACAGCACCAAACCAATGCATTGGTGTGAACAGATTCTAAAGAGAAACTTTGTAACGCTTTCTTTGAAACATACACATTTGAAACAGACCTCGTATAGTACAATCGAGACGATGAGTGAAAGAAACTTTGGCAAAGTTACAACAAGTGTCACAGTGAGTGCTTCCACGGTAGCGTTCAAATTATACACGAAACGAATACACAGATATCTAAAGTCTTTTCTTTTCAAAACAATTAAATTGAATTCATAACTTACTGTAAAATACAAGCTATCCCAAGTAGCACCCAGAATTTTGGGATATTCAGCGAGAAATCATAAATGAAAAAGGACACTCGCATTAAAAGCCGTAATAGATCTTTGAATATCACTCCACATAAACGCGAAGAAAGGCAACGAATAGAAATGCTAAGATTTAGGTTATCAATACTAATTTATAATAAACAAACCGTGACGAACATTGCTTCATCCGGATGTTTTCCATAGGTCTGATACATTTCTTGTTGTTTAATGGCTAAGAAGGCCGACGCGAAAAGAGCAAAAACGAGCATAGAAATTCATGAAAGTCGTGAACATCATTTTTGGAAAATGGATGTACCTATCGTCCATTCACGATAATGTTGCGATGCCTCCTCATAAGATAAACCACTTGGCTTAATATTAAAGGTAAAATTTTCAAAACAATAAAGCTCACATCACTCGAGCTTGTGGCAAGCGTACAAATAATGATCCCAATAGTGATGGCGAACACCGATAGGTATTTTCTTGTTCCATAACGTCTTCCTCGCCATGCGACTTCAAGTAACAAGCTTGCAAGTAGTGACCCCTAAAAATTTACAACAATTAAAATACGAGTTAGACTTACCGAACGAAAAATTATATGCAGTGGTACAGGAATGTGGAAATTTAGGAGCTTGATTGTTGTTGACGTTCACGGTGAAAAATATGGTGATAACTTAGAGATAACCACTAAACAACCAAATTACTATTTCCTTTCATTCAAAAATCCTTACCGAAATGGTATTTTGTTGGGAACTGTGAAAAAAATTTCTTTGTTGTAACAAGTCCAACCAAAGAAATTGTCACAAAAGTCACAAACGTAATCAAATTCATAGCACTTGGATCTTCTCTAAAGATTTGGCTTGAGTGCACTTTATCCCCTACTATTTTTGTTCAAAAATCACTTTTTCTGGGGTAATTCAGTGCGCTGATTACAAAAACAACATCACAATTGTCGGAAATGCATTTTTGCAAGAAATTTTTATATAAAAAGTACACTGCAGGCGCTCCCCCAGCTACCTTTTTAACAAAATTTGTATACCTTAATCAATTTGCATACATTTTTCAAAAAAATAAAATTTTCTAAAAACGTTCGAAAACACTTCTAACCTTTAGAAAGAGCATAGTTATGCATTACACGTTACCCGCGTGATGCATAATTGCGAGGCCCATGCTAGCCCGTGATGCGCGGCCGGGAAGTGACCTGCGTCACACCGTTTTTTTTATTGGCCCACCGCAGGGGCTCAGAAACCACGTGATGCACCATCCCCGGACCACTTTCTTACATCTGGGGGAACGTAAGCTACTAAGGGTTAGAGATGTTTCCGAATGTTCTTAGAAAATTTTATTTTAAAAATTTTACTTGGGGAACCAAGGCAAAAAACCAAAAATTTCTTGCAAAAAATACATTTCCGACAATTCTGATGTTGTTTTTTGTAATCAGCGCACTGAATTACCCCAGAAAAAGTGGTTTTGGAACAAAAATAGTGTGGGGGATAAAGTGCACCGTTACCAAAGTTTTAAGTAGTTTCACTATAGCTTCTTACTTCGCTATTCCTTCAACGGCAACCATGCATCCCATGCAGCTACCAAGCACCCAAAGACATCGAAAGCGCCGACATTTCTAAATTGAAATAAATACAGCTGATTAGTCAAACAATTTGGGTTTCGGGGTAAAAAGAATACTATGTGGGAGAAAATCACTAAACCATCCAAGGACTGCCGATAAGAAAGGTCATTCTTTTTCACGTGTGTTCAACCGGGGAAAGAGGTGGCTAAGAATCCAGAGAGTGCGGGAGTCGAAGCAAATAGGAAACCAAGGACAAATGAATAAGGTTTGTGGGAACAAAATACGTTACACAAACTCAAACACTTCCTCCAGTTCTCACCATTCTTCTATTTTCAATCTCTGATGTCGCTTTCAATGAATGAGTGCTTGCGTAAACAAAATTATGATAATTACAAGTATCGGATCGGTTCAAAAACGTCGGTGCAAAAAACTGGCCAACTCTTCATGAAAATTTATTTCTAACTCAATGTAAAAATTAAAGCAAAAAGGACAAATAAAATATCTTTTTTATACAACTAACTAACGACAAGCAATTGTAAAATGACAAACGACAAAGTTGACTCATGCAATTCTACTTTGACCCTCATGAAATCTACCAAATATTCACAAACCAGAAAACAAATCACACATTCTTAAAAAAATACCTAACAAGCGTTTAGCTTTGAGAAAAGCTTATTCGATACTGCCCTAAATCACAGACTACATTCTCAAATTGATTTATAATTGGAGCCTTTGGTGCATTTCGCATTTCACCGATGTCAAAATTTCGTAATCCATTTGGATGGAAAAAGTGCTTCGGTTATCTAAAAGGACTATAAAAAGTCAACATTTAGCGACAAAACTTGTTTCCATTTTCGAAAAGTGCGCGCTTTCTTTTCTCCCTTTTCTTCCCAAGTAAATTTCAGTTCTAAAAGAGACTTTTAAAAAGAATCACAAATTAAACAAAAACCATCTGCTGTTAATATCGGAATTGGAGCATTCTTGATGTTCAAGATTCGCCTGAGCGCCTTAGAGCAGCTTGAGCCAGAAACTTCCCCACGACAGAATATCTAAAAGTTTTCTTGATAAATGTTCAAGGCAGAATAACTCACAACGCCAATTCCTTCGTAGATGTTTTTGCTAACTGTGATACGTTTATAGAACACCTTTTCCCAAAAATCCCTGAAGTCACACAGTACTGAGATTTTGCCACCTGTTAAAAAATCTATTAAGCTAGAAAGAGTTTGACAACCTTCACATCAGAAGATTTACACAAAAATGAAGAACATATTCTGTAAATATGCGGTAAATAATTATTGCAATAACAAACTGACTTGCACTCGACGTCATAATCGATCCCACTTTCCTTCAACCGTTTCTTCTTTTCACCTCTCTCGGCATCTTTTCTCTGGATTTCTTCATAAATTTCGCGCACTTCATCATTGACCTAAAAATCTTCAATTTATATGTTTTGTATCCGATTTGGATTGAGCTCACCGCGGATATCCGATTTGGATTGCAGCATTATTGCACAGTAAGGTATCATGTTTTAATCATTTTCTAGAACTTTCATAGAAGTTTAACTCTGGCAACCTAGAACAGCCCGTTAACACCACATTTTGCTAAAAAAAGGCTTTCCTGCATTTTACTGTGACTTCAAAGCAACCTGCCCCCCATTTTTTTTAATCAGCAGCAACCTTATCGTAAATACAAAGAATCATAAACAATAAAATAACTGATTAAGTTGGCAAATTGATGAAGCTAAATCTTAAACAAACGATAAAAACAATGTAACTAAACAAAAACATGGAAAACAAAACCTATTCGTTCTTGCAACTAAGGCTGTGCTAGCATCTGGAATTGAAGAGAAGACCATTTTTCTTGCAGGCACATCGAATTGACGAACATCCAGCGGTACAGAAGCTGTGTCTGTGACATATACGTGTTCATCAGTTAACCAAATAAAAGTTAAAAATACCTTGCTTCTTGCGAACTGAAGATTCGCCAACAGCAGCAAAAAAAAGAAGTCGTTCGATCAGGAACATCAGCGGTAGCAATGAATTCCGTTTCACAAAGATGGAGCTGATTTCGTAAAAACATTTGCGGCAGGACGCCATTTGTAGTTTCGATCGAGTAGAGGTCATCGACTACTAAAAACCAGTTAAAGAATTATTAAGCTAACCTTCCGTGACGGCACCCAAAAGATTGTGCTATCCAATTTTTTGGACGATCGACCGGATCAATGGCAATCCGCATATTGTCTCCCATATTTAGAGGTTGAAATCTGCAGAGAATGTCGAAGAGTCGAAGAGAAGGAATTACTCGTTGCCTTGTTCGTTGCCGGCTTTCCGTCATTTGTCTTCGTGATAAAGAGTGAGTCCCGTGTTTTCGATTGAAAGAGTGTATCGCTTCAGCAGGTTGGCTTCGTGATAGCGCATTTTGGAAGTATCCAGCGTTGAATCGTTCGAATTGTTAATTTTATCTACCATCAGCTTGTAGATTTCGAATGTTGGCTCGTCTTTTTCGCTCCAAGAGGTCGTTAAATTTCTCGTAGAAGCGTGACTCCATCTGTAAAAAACCAACAGAAAATATGCGCAAACAGCATAAAAACATAAACAAAATGCAAAAAACATATCAAAACACGTAAAGAAACCACTTTTTCGGCAAAATGTGGTGCTAACGGGCTGTTCTCGGTTGCCAAAGTTAAACTTCTATGAAATTTCTAGAAAATTATTAAAACATTTAAAAAACATGATACCCTACTGTGCAATAATGCTGCAATCCAAATCGGATATCTGCGGTGAGCTCAATCCAAATCGGATACGATATATGCAATAAAATTTAACCGCTAACCTTTGATTTCAAAGAAAAACTCCCAGTAAAAAAGCAAATCCATAACTTCTTTTCATAAGTCGCTCCTTCTATAAAGATATTAATATAGTAATAGTTAGGGTTTCCCACTTGATTATTCGCTTCCTCTCGTTTAATAAGCTTCTCATCAAAGGTCAACAGAACACAGCGAGAATTTTTCGCTCGAGCCCGACCTGAACATCGAGTAACGTAATAAATGGTGGTTGTTTTCCAAAACCTCTACGTTGAACCCCAGCGATCTCATTCGTGACATGGCTATACTTGATGACTAAATTGCATTTGGCAATATCCAGTCCTTCTTCGGCCACAGAAGTTGCAATCAAGCATTTCGTTTCACCGTTTTCAAATCTAAAACTTTAACTAAAATAGCATTTTTAACTGTCTTTACCTCGCTAATTTATCGGCTTGTTTTTGTTTTGATGTCGACTCAGCGTCTGACTTGGCGTTTAGCCCTAAAGAAAAACAGTGGAGACATTTAGTTCCGAAATTTTACATACCAGTAATGTATTCCGATTTCATTTGCTTTTCCTTGATCCGCTGATTTTGGTTTAGTATTTTATTGAGAATGCTCGCAAAACGCAAAAATTTTACAGTCATGATTAATTATAAAAAGTACTTACTCGAGTTTTGATAAAAATAATGGCTCGGAAATCTTCGTCGGACTTTGGTTCGCAGAGCAAGCTAAATCATTTTATGTACAAATCCATTCCCTGGTTTGAATCACTAACCTGACTAGATCATTCACCAAAGCACATTCAGCACTAGCAAGCTCTTGCAGTTTTCCTTGTAATACTAAAGAATATGATTTAAACAAAAAAGGCCACCAAACATTGCCACAGTGTTACAGCGTGTGGATCTATCTTTTGGAAGTTTTCATTCGAAAAATACTGTTGCAGTTCATCCAGAGTGTAATTAGTGGGAAAAAGCGACGCCATTTGAAGACCATCAAAAAGCTTCTAAACACTTATATTCCCAGATAATAAGTACTTTTCAACTTACTTGCAGAACTTCCATTTTCTTGAGAATCTTGGCCTTTGCTCAGCTCAGATAGCTTTGAATCTTCGGGGACCAGCCTTCGCATCGCGTTGGAAAGCCAGTGTTCGTATGCTAAATCGAAGTTGCGTACTTTGAAACTAAAAATTACTAACCTTCTCCTTTCTCAGTTGGAGGTTTTGATAGCACTTCAGGATTGGCAAATTTTGAATAACCAAAATCATCAGTTAGGTTCCGAAAAAAATGATACTCAGGTAATTTATGGGTGCTTTCTAAATAAATTATAGAAAGTTCACAAATAAAAGCACTAACCAATCAATTTTAAGATGTCTTTTTCTAAAGCAAACATAAGATCTATAAGCGCATTAATGAAGAGTCCTTGGTTTTCGTCGACTGAGATCGACTTCCAACATTCTAAATACAAACGTAATACATGATCTCGGGAATCCTACCATCTGTTGTAGGCGTAGAATAGCGATCTAGATCATCGTGATTGTTCCGAACCATTGAAAGAGTCGGGGAATCAAGTAGTGCGCACATCTAGAAAGTGAGCAGGTAAAGGAGCAAGTATTGGACGGACAAACGCATATCTACTTTTGAAAAAAAAACAACCGAAATGACATATTTAAGCGCTTGTTCCCTGTCTTTCGAGTTACCAACTCCAATCGAAGCCGTTAACCCAATGATCTAAATAGGCCTTTTATATGTTTAGAATATGTGTTAACTTGTGGTAGTTCCTCTTTGCCGGTTTTTTGCCGCAAATTTATCCCGGTGATATTGCTGCATAATGTCTAAACTATTCAACTCGAAACCCAAAAGCACAAACTTACTACTGTATGGAGAATTTTTTCGCGTTCCGTGCACTTCGTCAAAAACGATCATACCAAAGGTCGACAAATGAAAGGGCTTTTTTGGAAATTCGATATCACCATAAGAATCGTCATTTTTAACAAGTTACTAAAAACAGATAAAGGTTAAAATAAATAATCAATACTAACACGATCATTTGTGGAGTCGTAAATATAACGTCGTTATCTTCAATTGCTCCTTCTAACGGGGTTTGATCCGCCCCACAAGTCGTAATTATCTTAAAACAAAAACATATAATAAGCTTTACAACTTTGATCTACTTTGTAAGCATGTTGCAGATATTTCCTCATAGCGTTTGCCTGTTGATCCAAAATACATGTAGTTGGAGTTAAGAAAAGAACCTAGAATACTTTTGAAAAATAGCAATGGCTGTCGAGTTACCTTTCTCAGCGGTTGGTTTGATTTCCTATTAAGGCTTTGACTTTTGAGATATTCTTTAATTATGTGGGCCGCGACTATTGTTTTTCCAGATCCAGTCGGAGCACAAATGATCTAAACGTTTGCTTGCAAGTAATGTTTATCAACGACCGTTCTCACTGTGTTTTCTCCTTCCAATGCGTTGCCACACAATTCTTTTTGATACTCACGCAAATGAATGGGTTCTTCTGAAAACAGTTCATACCTATTTAGATAGTAATTCGCACCTTTGCTGATGTGCAACTCCAATGCTTGCATTAATTTTCTCATGGGCCCATTTTTGAGTTCACTCAACGAATCCCATCTTAAATTGAAAGAGAATGGTGTTTTTGATTTATCCTTTGCTGCTTGAATTTTTTCCATGGCATCCTTGATTGAATCAGAAGTATCAATAAACTAAATCAGGCAATGCTATTTGATGCATAAATAAACCTGTATTATCGAAGAACTGTTTATGCGATCTTCACAAAGTAGCTCTGAAGTTTTTATACATCTAATGGGGTTTTAACTAATTTACCATATCTTCTTAAGAAGTTTGGTACAATTTTCTCAATGAAAGCGTTCACATCCGCATTGCCATCATACATAGCTCTGAAAGATTTTTTAAAACAAACATTTGATTAATGTTTCCAAGTACCAATTATGCTATATGTACTGTAACCAAAATCAATGTAAACTACTGAATACCAACTTCAAGATATCGAAGAACGATTCTGAACCAAGCCGTGGAATTGTCCTTAACAAAATCTTTTTCTTTGTCGCTGGATCTTCTTCTAAAAACAGACTTGCTTTAAAAAATTGCACTTCAAACCTTGAATATCTTGTGCAATCAATTCGACCACTTTTTCATAAGGTTCTATGGTCTTGAGAAAGTCGAGAACTTTATCAACATCAACGAAGCGCATCAACTTTTCATAATGAATCAAAACCTAACGAAACACTTCGTTGACTTAAAAGTATGATTTACTTGTTGGAAATAACTCCTCCGTTCTTTTTCCCTCGTGGTGAGATTCAATAAAGCATGAAGATCCAAACTTTCTAAACCCAAGCATAAAACAAGCTCAAAATTTGCAACCTTCGGCCTTCAGATTGCAACCTTCGGCCAGAAAATTCAGCAAGGTCACGTATATGGCACCCTTAAAAAAAATTTGATAAAAATGACTTTAATTTGCACCTTCATCGGAGAAAGCATCAACTCATCCCATAGCTTTCCTGCAAACAATTTTCGTCGTCAAATTTCAAACGCAACTCATCGATGCGTTTTGCCGAAGGGAGCAACTCCTTGAAATCCAAAAATATCTAACCAATTTACGCTAGTCAACCTTAAAAAATTTCCCGAGATCAGAATTCCAATAAATAGCCTGTAATCGAGCTATAATTTCTCGTTTATAAAGATCCAATAACGCTAGTTCTTGCGATGATGTTAAACCCGTCATCTAAAAAACATAGAAAAATACCGTATTAAACCAATGCAATTTCTAATAGTGATCCTTTATCGCCGAAGGTCCTTTTCACTTTAACGATTAGGAGCAATCAAATTTATTTCTCGTGACATAGCAAAAACTTGAATGAGATCTTATATAGATCATGTGAAAGGAAACAACAAACAACAAAAGTTAATTTATGACAAACAAATACAAAAGCAGATGTAAACGCAGAATATCTCAAGCATGGGCAGAAATAAATTTGTGGTCAATCTATCCGTGAGTTGCATCGTCTTCAACCTAAAAATCAATGCGTTTACCACAATTGCATGAGAACTTACAAAATCATATGCTTTATCTCCTAGGCACGGAGTCGATATGGGACACCTAAAGATTTTGCGAGTAAGTACACATGTACGCCTTTAGTACCTTGCTTCGGAAGATTACACCGAAGTACTTTTCAGCCGAGGCAAGTAATTCTGGACGGAAAGTGGTTGTGATAAACTGGGCGTTCTCAGACAACTCGTGGATCATATCTAAATCCATGACGCAAACAGCCAAACAGAATTACCTACCTGCAACAGCTTTACGGTGCATCGGATCCAATGCAGCATCAATCTCATCGAACAGATAAAATGGAGCAGGGTCACACTGAAAGAAAACGGTAAGTGCAAAATTTAGTTTAATATACTTTTTGAATTGCAAAAATCATGGCCAGTGCCACCAATGTCTTTTGACCCCCCAGAAAGTTGTTGCATTTCCCGTGTTTCCGCGTCTGATGTGAATGAAATCTAAAACAAGCGTAAGAACATTCAACCGTAGGCTACAGTCTTACTCTGATGCTAACTCCTGTAAAGTTTTCTACTGTGCTCTTTTGTCGATCAGCTTCATCAGTTTCTTGGCTCTGAGATGAGCCACGATCCTCCTGAATTTTTCTTTGAAACAATAATTTACAAAAAAATACATTCATTTGCATGACAAGGTCTCCTCTTCCTCCTGGAACTAATTTTGAGAAGACATCTTTAAAGTTCTTGGACACCTGAAGCTTGCAACAATTTAAAAATAGTGCTGAAAAAAATACCTGTTTAAAAGTAAATAAGATTGCTTCATATTTCCTGTTCTCCAGCACATCCAATAAGTTCTCAATCGCCTTTTCATTTTTGCGTTGTTCTTCCATTCGCTTTGTCAGATCTTCTTTCTGAGATGACGCTTGTACAAATTGATCCAAAGCCTTAAACTTTATGTTTTTCTTAACTTAACCGAATTTCAAACCTTCTTGTTCACATTTTCGTACTTCTTCAGTTCGTTAAGTGCTTCACTAAGCTTCTTATCCAATTGCTTTGAAGTCAAGTTTTGGTATTTGCTGAAAGCTTCAGTAGGTAGCGAACCCAAGTCCCGAATCTTAAGTTTAAATGATAAAATGATTTTTTGATAAATGAAGTTCGTGTACCTTTTTAACACTTTCTTCGCGTTTAGTGTAAAGTGTGCTTTGCTTAGTGAAAATCATTTCCACTTGTTTCGAGAACTCCGCCATTTGTTGCTCAAGGTCTTTCTGTTGTTCTTGAACGTCATCAATTTCCCGCGTCAACTTTTCGGCTGCCTCTTCATACTCTTTCAAATCGCGGTCCAATTCATCAATGATTCGATTGATCTCCTGAACATCGAGTTATGTCTTCGAATACTTTACTTTACGTGTCTAACCATTTCGAATAAACGGGCAAATACTCACTGTTTGACGGGAAATCACACTTGCTAATTCCGAGTTGTCGTTTTCGAGATTGTGTCGCTTCTCGTCAACGGATATGTCGCCAACTTTCTACAAAAATAAGATTACATCGAACAATCAAACGACTAACCGAGCTTAGATTGTCGCGTTTGCGAACAAGATTTGTTTGAAGCAAGTTTTCAATTCTTGCTTTTTCGCTTCCATGTCGACACGGTCGTGAGTCACCTTCTCCAGTTGAACACGCAGAGTTTTGGATTGGTTCTAATAGACATGGTAACCGGTTCAGTTTTGGAACCGATTTTTAAACCGAACCGAAAACGTTAAAAACAAGCTTTTTTGAGATTGATAAAAATCGCTGCAAAATTAGTAATTTTTCAGCTTAACGAATAAAGTAGTTCCCTAAAGCGTGGCATAATTACCACAACCTCACTATGCGATTACAGTTAGAAACCGGACCAAAATCGAATCGATTTTGAACTGGTTACCATGTCTAGGTTTTAAAGTATATTTGGAACAATTGATGAATTTGGTAAAACTATAAAGCAATCAAAGTTAATAAAAAAACCTGAAATCCATCCATCTGTTTCTGCTCGTCACCAGTCAATTGACTTTGCATTGGTTGCTCGAGCTCTGACGAAATGGTTGCTTTCTTATCTTGCAGTTCGCGAATGCGATTCTTTAGCACCAGAAGTTGGCTTTTCTAAACACGGGCTTTCAACATGTATCTTAAAAAGCAAACTTTCTGATCGGTATTTCGAGTGTTGCTTCCCAATTGTTCATTAGCAAACTTGCGTCGCTCGCTCAAATCACGATGTTGGTCCTTTAAGCGCCGAAGATCCAATTCCACTTTTTCCATTTCCATTCGAATTTTCTCTACTTCCTGTTGCTTGTGGGTGACATTTCGCGTCAGCTTTTCCAACTCGACCTGAAAAAAGAATGTATCCGCCAAATTGAAAGTCAAACTGAAGCATCTTCCAATTGCTGCTTCATCTCTTTGATGGAATTGAAAATCTCAAGTTTTGACTTCTTACGATCGATATATCCTCCAGTCAGAGCACCTCGGCGTGAAATCTAAAATCTTTATCCATGAAGCCCAGATATTAAAAGCTGCCTGATCTCCTTCAAGGGTCACTGCATCGAATCCCTCGTTTTTTGCCATTCTCTGACCCACTTGCATCGTGCGCACAATGACTAAAGGTTTTAAAATTGATATAACTCGAGCAACAAACCTGTTGCTGCAAAAACTTGGCGAAAAGCCGTTTCGAACTTTGAATCGTAATTCAGGCAGTCAATCATTGGGCGTGCGTCCTAAACTTGCTACCTAATAAAATATGTAACGCATAAACAAACTGGGTCATTTGTGCTTCGTCTATGCGGGCTGGTCAGGCGCAAAAGTGGAAAGAAATCAATCGTTCCGGGCAAGTTCATATAATTTATCTAAAATCAAACAATTTTAAAAAAGGTATGTAAAAAATCGTACCTTATTCAAAATTTTCATAGCAACACGATCATCGGACACTACGTGATAAAAGAGTCTTCCAGCAGCGGTGACTTCAATGGCCTAAATTTGCCTACCTAATCACTTTATAAAATAAAAATAAACCTGATAATAGACCGGATCGCATTCGATTAGTTCAATCAAAGTACCTAAAAGCTTTATTAAGAAAAAAAAAGAAAAAATATAAACCATAATATCCGTTAGTAACATCATCGTATTTGCCATTAGTGTTATTTTCGCGAAACCATTGTAAAACTTTTCGGACGCTTTCCATCCCATTCACAGCTGGCTAAAAAGAAATGATTAAACATGGTGACAAAAAATTTCACTTTGTTGGTCAATCCTCGTAACGTATTCTCCTGATGTTGCAAATCAGCTTTCAATTGATCCACATGTTCGCGTTTCTCTCGCTCAGCTCTTCCGGACTCCCTAAAAGTATTGAGCTAGAGGTGGATGAAGCTAGCAAACAAATGAGCGTAGACAGCCTTATCAAAGTCTTTCCGAAGCCGAGCATAAGCGGTGTTGGTCGTCTCTAATTCACTGATTGTATCCTCAAGTTGCAAACCAATATTCTAAATTAAATCAGTTAAAGTAATAAAAAAACTCAAATACTCACTCTAATTTGATCGTTGACTCCTTGTTCATCACTTGCTTCTTCTTCTAGGCTACGTTCAATCGTTTGCATTTGCTCTTCAGTATCTCGTAGCTGGGACCTCACGAAGCGAATTTCTTTTTCAAAAAAGTCGTCTCTTTCAGCGACCGACTTAAATTGATGACCATGACCTTAAAAGAGTAAAATAAGTGTCCTACATCGGTATAAAACCTTGCTTTAAGAGTAATTCCTTCAAACGATTTTCTGCAATTCGAACATCCGACTTCAGGCGTTCTTCAGATTCAAGCAATTTCTAGACATACTTTTAAAAGTGCCCAAAACACCTTTACCTCATAAGCGGGAACAATCGACTCAAGTTCTTCTTGTTTTTCGGCAATTTCAGCTTTCAGTTTTTCTAGTTCACCCTCTGCTCTTGATCGACCAGAACGTTCTTTTTCCACGTCTTCTTTCAGATCTACAGCACAAAAATTTGCTCAGAAAAACAAACAAGCAAACCCTTGATTTTGAGCTCTAATGCTGTTCGCTTTTCAAAAAGCTGAGCGCGTTCTTGTAGCAGAGACTCCTAAATAAAAAAAAGTTGACTTTACAGTGACAGATCTTTACCTTTTCTTCCTTCATCCCTTTGAAACGTGATTCGAGTTTGCGCTGCTCCCCAGAAGCTTTCATTCCACGACTTTGCACATCCATCAGATCGGAGCTAACCTAATTAAGAAAATTATCACACTAAAGATCTGCTGCGTCGACATATGACTAGTTGTAATAAACTTCGTCGTTTTGATCTACCTTATTTTGCCGTTGATTCAAATCTTCCCTTTGTTCAGCAAGATGATCCAGTTTTTTTCGTGCTTCTCGAATTTCAACATCGTACATGGTATATTCGATGGATCTAAAAACAAAATGTTAAATTAAATCACATAAAAGAGTCACCTTTTCTGTTTGTCCCACTTTTGGTACTCTTTCAAATCTTCTTTCTCCGATTCCAATGTATTCAATCGCTCATCGATGTAGTTTAAAAGGTCCTCAATCTTCTTGACTTTTGAACCTAAATATATCAATCAGTGATTAAAATCTCAATCATACTTGTTTCTTTGAGAATCTTTAAGCTTTCTTCCTTTCGTTCATCATAAACCCGAGTACCAGCCACCTAAATACGTTTAACTTCTTGTTGATTTTATTTCTTCACCTCTTTCAAAAGCTTTAAGCGTTGTGCGTCAGGTGCCGTTGCAAGTTCATTAATTTTTCCTTGTTTGACGATGTAGTACGGGTTTGAACGTGAGAATCCAGCTGACTCCATGAGATTGACCACCTAAAATTGTTGATAATACGCATGACAAAATAAATAAACTTCAGCTCTCGGCACAAGCTTTCCATCAATATAGTACTGGTCCTTCTTTTGTGCAATTTGCCTTACGACTCGAACTTCGTTTGTTTCAATCTAGAAAGAAAAAATACTTTGCGATAAAAACAAAACTCACAGCTGGAATTCGGCGATCCGAGTTGTCAAAGACGATTTCCACTCGTGCGCTTGAAATTCGTGGTCCAGTTCCTTCATGAATAACACTCATTCGTTGCTCTGGGCGTAGATGTGCAAACTCCTCCGATAGAACAAACTGGATGGCTAAAACATAAAGTTAAATTGCCAGTAACTATTTGGTCAGTAAGAAGCTTGACAATGCACATACCGAAGAAAAAGTTGGACTTTCCAGATCCGTTGCGTCCAACAATCACATTGTGTTTCGGCGAGAAGCTGTCGATGGTAGTGTTTTCCCGATAACTTCGAAACCCAGTGATGTTTACCTAAAAATGGCAAGAACAAAACATCAGACAATACTTATTCTTTACCTCTTTGATAAACATTCCTTCGATGAAAGACCCTTTTTGATAGTTGTACCAACTGAAAATAAAAAAATCAGTCAAAGGGTAGGAAAAAGATAGTCAGAGATAATACACATATTAAACGCAATTTTATTCTTGAAATCAAAGTGGTGAAACAAAATTTCGCATATTGAGCTCAAAAGTAAGGCGGTTTTTTGATTAGCCGATCAAATTCTTCACCGCAACATCAATAGCTTTGAAAAACCTAGGCACAACGTAAATTGTAAACACGTGTATGCATTCGCCACAACTTTTTGACTGGAGTAGTTGTGCAACTGAATATCTTTTTCCATGTTCAAAAGAGTTATAACCACGACCGCTTTCCACTGGATTGTACGTCTTCAAATTTCAAATTTCTTTCCCATACTCTCGATTCGTTATCATTGCTTTTCTTCACATTAGCCCTTTTTATGTTTTCATTAGACCTGCTTATCGATATTATTGATACAAACGGCAAGCTTATGTTTGACCGTTCAGCTCTTAGTTTCTAGAACAGCTATCAATCTGCAAATTGTTTCATTAGAAAGCCAAGAATGTCAGCTTTTGATTGCTACCACACACATAGCAAATCCTCATAGGTTAGTGTCTTAAAAAGCTTATCACTACTTATCGATATACTTTCGATAAGTAGTGATAAGCTCATTAAAAGTCGCTATGTATAAAATAGCAATCAAAAGCTGACATTCTTGAATTTCCAATGAAACAATTTTCATGTTCATAGCTGTTCTAGAAACTGAGATCTGAACAGTCAAACATGAGCATGCCGTTTGTATCGATAATATCGATAAGCAACTCTAGTTTTCATCACTATCACTTTTTTTAGTCATCTTTCAACGGGTATTAATGAAAGATGAAAGAACAATATCGGATCCCCGACTCTGCAAGAAAAGCGTAAGGTCATATCTGATGCACACTTATGAAAGTTTTTAGAACAGCCGTCACCTTTTTTCCCGGCAGCTCCGAGTTCATTCGACAGGTTCATTTTTCTATTATTCTGTAGATGCAAAGTTTTTAGGCTGCTCACGTTCCCATCTGCAATGCGAAATTGTATGAAGAACAACCAGGAAGATTGACACCTGCCGCGCTAGGCCCACTTGATGGTCGATTGGTAAACATAATCTTACATGTGCTTTAATTGTTGTTCTTGCAGGGAGTCTCTTCTAAAGGGGTACTTGTGCAACATGTGGCCTCCCCTTATTGAATTGTATTGGCCATTTTGGATTTTTTGATCTGGAATTACCCGTCTTTCACATTGGTTATTTCAAGCTGGTCATCAATTGCCTTCAATGCATATGCCGGGTAGTTCTTCAAGTAACGCAAAGATGATAGATTGTTTGGTTTAGAATTGCTCTCGGTTACTACTTACGGCAGAAGAAAAGACGAACTTCCTACGACAGGTAATGAATTTCGAGTAGAAAGTTTAATTTTAAACTTTAGATTGCGAATCCCGGTCTAGATTATCTACGAAGAAAAGCGCTGCATAAAAAAATTATCACTTCCTGCAAGAAAAACAAAATGTGTCTTCATTGTGGGCAAATTAATGGTTGGCAAAGTGGATACACTAATACTAAAGTGCCATTTATTTAGGCGTTGTGAAAAAGGCTGTTGGAGTTCCACTGAAAATAGCGGATGCATTGGATCGTGAGGACATTTCTGAATACACGTAATTTTTCTATCGGTAAAAATTCTGTAGTTCTTTTAGGCAAGTGATGAATGCAAGCCAAGAGATCAATAAATTACTTCCGAAAGCCAAGTTCTCTCAGCTAACGCCACTGCAAGTTCAAAAAATCTTCAGCCGGATACTCCCAGAAGTATTCTACTCGTTTTAAAAGAAAATAGTCTGGTTTTAGGACATTGCCATAATTATGGTTCGATGTGGCCAAGAGAAGCATCCGCAAGATTTGCTGCTGACGCGAATTCCCGTACCACCAGTTTGCATTCGCCCTTCGGTTGCAAGCGAGGTAAATAAAATTTTTAAAACCGGTTAAGCATTATTTCTACTAGGTCAAAGCTGGTACCACTGAAGATGATTTGACGATGAAGCTGTCAGAAATCTTTTTGATCAACGATGTACTTCGAAAACATAAACGAGATGGAGCACCATCAAAAACAGTTCACGAGACTTGGGAGCATCTACAGGTAGAAGATGCACTAATTTATTATTTGTTATTTGTTATGTTTCACGATTTAGATTCAATGCGCGTTATATATTAACGCGGAAGTATCTGGACTACCACCAGACATGCAAAGCAAAAAAGTATGTCTATTTTTGTATAGTTATCAATATCCAGACGCTTAGACGATTCGTGGATTAACACAACGTCTAAAAGGCAAACAAGGTCGCTTTCGAGGAAATCTATCTGGAAAACGTGTCGATTTTACGAGTCGAACAGTTGGTTTTCGGTGTAGCATCGTAATCATTGATTTAACGAATAGGTTATTTCGCCCGATCCAAATTTGCGCATCGATCAAGTTGGAGTTCCAATTCATGTCGCGAAGATTCTTACATTTCCAGAAGTCGTAAGTTTTTTCTCGAAAAAATCGTATTTAAAAGTGAATTAAAACTTTTTGAGTTTGTCTTTTTCAGGTTAACGATCTGAATATAGAGAAGATGAGGCAGTTGGTTCGAAATGGTCCCGATGTGCATCCAGGTGCAAACTACATTGATTCTAAAACACAGGGAAAACGATATCTAAGGTCAGTATTTTATTGCATATTAACTCCACTATATGAGCTTGATTTATTGAATTACTACTTTAGAATCGGCAATCGGGATTATATGGCGGAAAAATTACAACGAGGCGACATTGTAGAAAGGCATCTCAATGATAATGATCCGGTGCTCTTTAATCGGCAACCTTCGTTACACAAAATTTCAATTATGAGCCACCGGGCAAAAGTTATGCCAGGGAGAACATTACGGTTAGTAGCCTGATTTTGATACATTGCATTTAACTGCAGATTCAATGAATGCGCATGTGCACCTTACAACGCTGATTTTGATGGAGACGAGATGAACTTGCATTTGCCTCAAACCTATGAGGTAAAAATGAATTGCCGAGAATCAATTGTGAAATCGTTCTCCGACTTCCGACTTGTTTTGATTTGATGCGCTTTGATACACGTAAATAAACTATAAAATAAACTTTTGATAACTTTAGGCTCGAGCCGAGGCATCACTTTTGATGGGGGTTAAAAGCAACTTGATCACTCCAAGATCCGGCGAACCTTTAGTGGCAGCCATACAGGTGTCAAGCAAGCGCATCTTTTTGAATTGTTTTTTAGGATTTCATTACTGGTGGTTATTTGATGACACACAAAGACACTTTCTTCCCCCGCGCTGAAGTTCATCGTTTTGCTGCAGCAATTATTGATGCTTCTGCAAAGAAACAAACTCGGATGTTTATCCCACCACCTGCAATCTTAAGACCAGTAGAGTTGTGGACGGGCAAGCAGGTCATATTGTGTCATAAAAAATTAAACGTCAAAGTTTAGCTCATTGAATTGGTTATTCGGCCTGATGCGGATTCTGAGATAAATTTGAACTTGAAGACGAAGAACAAAAGCTACACGAAAAATGAAGATCTATGCCACAACGTATTGTTTTTTTCCAAGTCCATCTCAATCATTAGTTTAGGATTCATATGTTATCATCAGAAATAGCCAACTGATTTGTGGTGTTCTAGACAAGTCTCTGCTAGGATCGGGTAAGAAATTCCGGCTGTTCCTTGGTGCAACTAAATTTTCAGGCTCCAAAGTAAACATTTTCTACATACTGCTACGAGATTTTGGTGAAGATGCGGCCGTGGATGCAATGTGGCGCTTAGCGCGAATGGCACCCGTGTATTTGACTAACCGGTTCGTAAAACTATAGAATTGTGTTTTGTAACTGAATAAATTTAGGGGCTTTTCTATTGGCATTGGTGATGTGAAGCCGTCAGAAAGATTACTTAGTGAACGAAAAGCTCTCATCAATGAGGGTAAAGATTGAAGTCTAAACTAACTTTAAAAATATTTTGTTCAGGTTATCATAAATGTGACGACTTCATTGCACAACTAGCTTCTGGACGTCTCAAGGTTTTTTTATCATCACCATTTGCATTTTTTTGTCTTTAGACGCAACCTGGCTGCAGTGAAAAAGAAACACTCGAGTCTTTGATTCTTCGGGAATTGTCCGTGGTTCGTGATCACGCAGGTCAAGTCTGTGTCAAGAATCTCAGCTCGTAAGCTTTAATTGTTATGTTCTTTGTTAATATTTTTTAGGCACAACGCACCCCTTACAATGGCTATCTGTGGGTCAAAAGGCTCGTTCATTAACATCTCTCAAATGATTGCTTGCGTTGGTCAGCAGGCCATTTCCGGACATCGACCTCCTGATGGATTTGAAGTAAATAAATTTTCGAAGGGACAATTTTTATTTTAATTAAGAACCGATGTCTTCCACATTTTCCCCGATATCAAAATACACCGCAAGCCAAGGGATTTGTTGAAAACAGGCATTATTTTTTCGATCATCATAACTTACCGAACTTTATTTAGTTTTTACTCTGGACTTACACCAACCGAGTTCTTTTTCACACGATGGGTGGACGAGAGGGACTTGTCGATACAGCGGTGAAAACGGCTGAAACTGGTTACATGCAACGGCGGCTAGTGAAAAGCTTGGAGGATTTGTGTGTAAGCTACGACCAAACAGTTCGCACATCTGCCGGAGAAATCGTTGCATTTGAATTTGGAGATGATAGACTTGATCCTGCTCTTATGGAGGTGAGGTCAAATTATCTTTTGCTCATAATTAAACCCGTTTACTCTAAAAACGTTTTAGTATTATTACCATTATTACCATTATTACCATTATTATTATTTTAGGCAAAAGATGGCTCAGTAATCGATTTTGAGCACGTTTGGAATCATGTCCGTTGCCTTACCAACTCGAATACATGCGATGAAGAGATCGCCCCAGCGGAAATGAAAGTAATCTTTAGCAACTTTCTAAGTGAAAGATTACCTATTTAGATCTTTATCAAAAATTCCCTCCAAGATCACTTTTCAAATGAGATCAAAGCATATTTGGTAGAAAAACACAGGTATGTCATGCTTTTTTGATTTTTAATTTTTCTCTTTAGAGAAGAAAAGTCACAAATTGACAAAAAAGAACAAACAATGGCGCCAAACTTGTCAGATGACCACGTCTTTGAAGAAGTCTCAAACTGGGGCACACGATCTTCAACTCTGGCTGTAAAAACAATCTGGAATGACTTGTGGCAGTTTTTGGCGAAAGTATGTTCCTAAATTTTCAGCGTCTCAAATATTTGCAACGCGTTTTAGATCATGAATCGAGGTGCAAAAGTCTACGAACTACCTTCGACTTGCAAAAGCCACAAGTAATTTTGTGAAACTTTGCTTAATCAATTATTTATTAGGAATGCAAAAACCGGATCACGTCAGAGCAACTCAACTTCATGTCATAACTGCGTGCGAGCGTTCAACTATCGAAAAAGGTTATTAGCATCGATGTATTTGACCCACGAACAGGTATTTTAAATTAAACGTATAAACAGTAAGTATTTCACTTTTTAGGTGACCGTTTTCGTTGAGAAATGTGCAAATAAATGGAAAAAGGCAATCAGCGAGCCAGGAACAACAGTTGGAGCAATTGCTGCTACTAGCATTGGTAGTTTATACTTTTTTTACTAATGCAACGATATTAAGGAGAGCCTTCGACTCAAATGACACTTAAAACTTTCCATTTTGCTGGAGTTGCCAGTATGAACATTACTCAGGTGTGTTTATTTTTTATTCCATTTCCAGTGAATTTCTTAGGGAGTCCCGCGAATTAAAGAAATTATCAACGCTGTGAAGTCTATTTCGACTCCCGTTATAAGTGCTTCTTTACGCGATGAAAGCGATGGAGATCTAGCTCGTAGATGTAAAGCTAGGATTGAAAAAACGACACTTGGTAAAAATATTTTAAATGAAAGTGAATTGTTGCCCGTTTAGGAGAAATCTGTGAGTACATCGAAGAAGTTATTCAAGCAGATGATGCTTTCATTTTAATTAAATTAAGTGCTCAACGGATTCGTTTGCTTCGTTTAGAGGTAACTTGAGTATTATGGCAGATTAATGCAGACTTTTTTAGGTCACTCCATATAGCATTCAACGAGCTATTGCCGCGACGAAATTTGAAATTCCACTTAAAATTGCTGATGTAAGTATGAAAACCTCGAAATTTGGGAGAAATACTCTTAGATTCATCCTCGTGGAAAAACTATGATCGTGATTAGGCCAGCAGTCTCTCAAAAAATGTCAAGACGAGGGCATTTTCAATATTTGAAAAGAGTTTTATCTCGTGTGATTGTTAAAGGTATGTTATTCAGTTCTTTATTAGAATAAGCGTTATTCTATTCAAACGTTATCTGAGTGTTTTAGGGCTTCGGGACGTTTCGCGGTGTGTCATTCATGTTGATGAATCGAAGGGCAATCGCCATGAGTTGCTAATCGAAGGAACTGATTATTTAGGGGTAAATCTCATAAACTCTTTTACACCTTATCTTTTCATTTAGGTAATGTGCACAAATGGTGTGAATCCAGTGAAAACCAGATTCAATAATGCTCTTGTTGTTGCTCAGGTACTGTTAACATTGTAGTTATCAGTTCCTTCGATTGTTTTACTCATTGTTTTAGGTTCTTGGCATCGAGGCTGCTCGGAAAATCATTATTGAGGAGATTTTGTCGACTATGGAAAGTCACGGCATCAGCTTAGACCGTCGTCACGTAATGTTACTGGCCGATATCATGACATACAGGTTGAATACCAACTAAGCTCTTAATATGCAGGTTTATATTTAGAGGTGAAGTGCTCGGAATTACACGCAACGGTCTTGTAAAGATGAAAGAGTCTGTGTTACTGCTTGCATCATTTGAAAGAACAACCGATCATCTTTTTGAAGCAGCTTTCTTTGGGCAAAAAGACGAGGTCATATAGTTTGATCTATTTTATGATTGCTTAGATTTTTTTTAGATTAAAGGAGTATCCGAATCGATCATACTCGGCACACCGATCAGAATTGGAACAGGAATGCATAAACTTCTTTTCAAACATCCAGCATCTCTTCCTATTCGACCACGGCCAATTCTCCTTGACGCGATCTTCAAAGACTCGAAATAGGCATTGTTTTGTTATCCTTGTTATGGTTACATTTTGTTATTTGTTATCGATCTGTTGTTGTTAGAAATTCGTTTGCATTGTTTGTTGTTATTTTCTAGTCTAATCTTTGTCAAAGCATAAACGTGGAGCTCACAGTTTTATTGAACCGCACTCATGAGTATCTACCAGAAAACCTTTAAAAAATGGATGTATTGAAGTTATTGCTCTCCCTTCAGCGATTGTTGATTCTTGCTGACAAGATGACGAATGCGAGCACCGAAGTTGCAACAGCCGCAACAAGTGCCGAACGGTGGCTAAAGTTAAAGTTGTATTTGAAAGCTTTGAAAGCACATCTCAACTTGAAAAAAAAGCGTACCTGTTTGGGAGGCGTGTCACCGATGAAGAAATTCTGGATGATAGTGATGCTCAAGAACCACGTGATGAACTAAATGAAAGCATTTGTAAATTGTTAAAAGCCAATCAAAAACTTACCAAATACCAAAGAAAAGCGACGAATGGTGTGAAGAAGTCATACCATGCTAGAGTCTGAAATAAAAATTTAAGTAACAAAAAAGCAAGATTGAAAAGCCAACCTGATTTGTCCAGAGGTTCATCGTGATACCCGACGAAATCGAAGAGGGGCGAAGTAACGAATGAATAAAAAAGAGAGAAATATCGACAAATAAATAAGGCTCTTCGTCTGTTCTTTCTTCGTTATACATGCAAATTTCTGAGAACATATGTAAATTTAGTGGAGTAGAGAAATAGAGTCAACGTCATAAAATGGCACATGTACTCGATTTTTGAGCTGGAGCGGCCACCTGAAATTGTGGTTTTTTTTTTTTGGAAGAACCACATGTTTTAGTTAAAGTTACCTGAGCGGGCAATGCGGTGCTTCGATCCTTTTCGACAAGTGAAGTTCGGGATTTTGATCTGTAGATGGATTTTATTGAATTTGAAAAATTTGACTTTTTTCTCTTACCTTTCCAGTTTATCGAAAGTTGGCCTTGGCGGAATGGGCTTCGGCGTGGTGGAGCCATTGCTTGTACTTGGCACGACAATGTTGGCCATTGAGTCTTTCTTCGATTCGCTCAAATTGCCTGAAAAGAAACATTGTTTTTTAATCTTTGATAGTATTTTATTGATTGCCTCTTTTCATTTGATATTTAACTCACTTCCGACACTGCTAATCGAATGTGCTCGCGCACTTCGTCGTCTCTCTTTCGCGAGGTGCGGACCCGCCGGTGTGTTGTGGAGACAGAGAATCGGAAGTTGAGCACATTTCAAGAGATGCGCGATCACTCGATTTGCATCAAATGATCGACTCAGTGATCTGAAATTGAATGCAAATAAAATAAGCTAACGTTCTCTTAGTTTTCGATTTTTTTTCAGTACCCTGAAGTTCCCAGATTTTTATGGGTTCTACTAGCGCTAATTTTGAGAATGATTAACGGTTCAAGAAGCTAAAAAGCTCACAAAAACGTTGTGAAATTTTGAGTCATACTGTAACTTAAGCCTTTCACTTTCTAAAACCGTAAACTACCGGAAAATACCGTAATCTACCTCTGATTTCTCTACAAGATCTCTACATTTAATTGGCTTTTATGAAGGTTCAGCAGAGTGCCAAAGAATACGTTGGATAAACAAGATTATGGCAATTTACAAAGTTTTAGAAAAGGAATCAACCAAAAGGACTCTAATTTTTGCCTTACTTGATCGGTCTATGTGCGTTGAACGACGATAAAAGCGTCCCTTTATCAACAAACCACGCCTCAATCCATCCGGCTTCATCGGCTAAAATCTCAGCTATCAATTAAATGTCAACTTTTTAAAATTACCCGAAAAGGCAACCGATCCATCAGCTGTAATCGCCACAGCCGTGACTGCACTTCCCGTCAAAACGGTCCTCATCGGGTCACCCGTCTAAAAGCTTTTATTTTTAAAAATTTACTTGAATACTTTACCTGCACCGACCACAAAACCACCTTGTGATCTCGAGCGCCTGTAATAGAATAGATGTTTATCTTCATTTTTTCTAAATCTGTTACCAGATACGACAACGTGTTCATCGTCGGATAAAGCACAGCATGTAACCACATCTTCGTGACCGACCAATACCTGAATGGACTTAGATTTGCGTTTATGATTACAGGTTCTAGTGTTTTCTAAGCTATACTCTTCAGAACAAGTTACCGTACTCCAGCTGTTCTTTCAAAACTTGAGTCAATTCGAGAGTTCAGGTCGATAATAGGGAAAAATATGTAATAAAGAAGTGAAAGAATTGGCAAGAAAAAGTAGATTTTCGGAGAGGAGATTGAACCCCTCGATCTCCTGCTTTCCGGGCAATTGCTCTAACCGCTGAGCTATCCGGTACATTAACTTGTTAAGAAAAAGAGGGAAGTGGAAGAAGAAAGGAAGAAAGAAAGAAGGAAATACCCGGGTTTTCAGAATCGTAAGACTAGTGAGATTACGGTAGTTTTAAAACGGTTATGGTAACAGTGCCTTTTAAGTCTCCAACAAAGATTTTTTTGAAGCGTAGAGATCAGTTTACGCAAACCTGCGTGAGAAACCCGGAGTCGATTTGCCAGATTTTCAACGATTGATCAGTCGATCCGGTGACCACAAGTGATCCCATTGATGTGGCACAGAAGCAAGTGATCTCCTCGTTGTGTTGAACCTGGAAACGGTCATAGATTGGCCATTTTAGAGCGCCGATACCTTATTCTTGATTGCCAACGCGTTGTCCCCAAAAGTCCAAATCTTCATCCTATAGAAATATTCAGTTATCATTATACGATATAAATCATAATAATCACTCTTTTTTCGTGTTCGGCACATGTCCAATCATTATCCTTCCTGAAGGGGGCACGTAGATTGGCGGAAGTACACCATTTGCTGATAGTTCTTCACTTTCACCCTCATCAGCAAACACGTCCCACATCTGGAAAGGGATTTATGGTCAAGTTAAATAGACTACGTATTCTAAAAAGTGCTAGAAGAAAGTTACTGTAACCTGGTGACTTTTAAAATCCCCAAATCCAAACCCTAGTTAAATCTAGTTTTACTTGTTTGAGTGTTGTGAAAATGCAAACCTTAAGCAATCCCGACTTATCACACGTGACCGCTCGTCCATTCTCCAAACAACAAATCGAGATCACTTCTGTTTGATGATACTAAACTCTTCTATTTAATCCAATCCGTTTGCTGAGCTTTTACTTACATTGCAATTTCTCAACACATTCCCATGAGCCGAGTCAAGCACCAAAATGTGGCCATCCTAAAGGAAATCTTTAGAGATTAAAATAGAGTTTGTTCTTCTTCGTTTTTCAAAACGTATCCTTTTCTGTAAAGATTACAAAACTGTAATCTTGCCCTAGTTTTTGAAATTTGATCTTACGTGGCGAAGAACAATAAAACTATCAGGATAAAGTTTGAATAAAATTTAAGGATTATGAAAGGATTTTGAAAACGCAGAAATTCGAGCTGAACCTACCTTATTAGCTGACAGTAGACATGAAGAATCGATAGTGAAAGCAATGGCCGAAATTGAGACATTCTTGTTTTGAACAACCTGTAAAGCTTTCTATTTCAAGAGATCGCCAAAAAACGAACAGTTGTAATGCACTGGCAAATATCCAAATCCCATAGAGCCACGATTCCATTATGCGTTCCACATGCGGCGATCTGAAATCTTTCGGTTGCAAGAGTAAAATTACAGATCTCCCTCAAATAGCCCCTCAAATTGTGACCTTTTCATCATTACTCATCGCAATCGCTGTCACAAAACCCTCTTCATCTGCTTGTAGAGCATCGACACTATCATGGATTCTTTCTCGAACATTCCACACCGAAATAGCACACCCGCAACCGGAGATCAGGAAATAGTTGTCCGATGTGATCTGAAATGCCATCGGTTGATACAAATGAATGATTTTGATAATTAAATGAATATTTACTTCTTAAAGAGTTCATTTCTCACCACAACTCTCAAGATCTTCATTCAAAAAGTTTTTTTTTTTGCAAGTAATCCAATACAGATCGTAATCGTAAATGATTATTCTACAGATCAATTTACAAAATGCAAATTAGGCAGTTTATCTATTTCTGTGAAAGAAAATGATAGAGAATGAAAGAGAAACTGAATTTCACGAGTTCAATTATCATAGAATCATAGAATTCTAGTATAGTATCATAGCTCATGGTATCATAGAATTCTAGACAACTTTTTTGACTTAAAAATTAAAGGTTTTGTTCTATTTTGAAATTATCTACAGGGTTGGGCAAAATTATCCGGACAACTTTTTGGAAAAGTAGTTGTCTCATGCTTCATTGATTTCAAAATGTCAAGTTTTATATAGAAAATTGTAGCCCTTAATCTTGGCTACATTTATCTACTAAAAACTTCCCAATCGGATTTATACAACTCATTTAAAAAGTCCATGAATGAGCGCTAGTCGATCCCTATCCGGCGAGCTACCATTTTTGACGATTTTCTACAGAAATAATCCGATTGGATAGTTTTTAGTAGATAAATGTAGCCAAGATTAAGGGCTACAATTTTCTATATAAAACTTGACACTTTGAAATGATTTAAGTGTGCGACAACTAGTTTTCCAAAAAGTTGTCCGGATAATTTTACCCAACCCTGTGGATTACTGTAAAAGTTTATAAAAAGATTTGAGAAACTAACAGTCAACTTACTTTGAGTGAAGTGACCGGCGACTTCTCCTCACAATCCATTATTTCCACAATCTGAACTCATTCTTTATAAAACTCTTTCCATTTCTCTCCACCTGTCCCGTGTGCAAATCATAGCAATAGATCTTTGATTTTGTGGCTGCATACAGTTGACAATCGTCATTGGCACAGGCTAGAGCGTTTACCTAAATGATTGATTGATGAATAGAGATGATCTCGCTCACCTTGCTTTCATGTCCGCTCAGCTCGTGCAATTCTTGACAGTTCACTGTACCGAATATCCTCAACGTCTCATCCTCACAAGCCACTGCCACAAAAGCGTCATTGCTGAAGAAAGTTTAGGTTTTTAAAGGCTTGCTCTTTTCACAACGCTAAAGCACTATACTAAAAAGTACAGTTCAGTACAAAGTACGGCAAGCAAGTACTAAGAAAAGGGATGTACTTTTGACTTGCTTACGGATAGAAAAATAAGAACTATCGTAGAAACTTAAAAAGCCAATAAATTTTGGGATATTCAGCTAATCAGTGGATTCTAATTAACAAAAACCTTATCTGGCTACAGTACCTCGTGATAGCAATACAAGTGACCGGTGCCATCAATCCGCCCATTCTGTTGACGAGCCTCCCCGAATGCATATCCCACACTTGGACCACGAAATCACCCGATCCTAAATGTATTTTCGTATACAAATTCTAGCTTCTAGTACCAGTTATCAGTAGTTGATCATTGCTTGTCAATTGTAGAGAGACGACACTGCCTGTGTGTTCCCCGAAGCTTCTCACCACTTCACCACTCTCGACAAGGATCACCTAAACAAATGATCTATTTACAAATCTTTCATTCATTGATACTCTACTCAAATTATCTATAAATATTGATACAAAGGCCCTTTGAAGGTATAAAAGATACCATATGTACCGTATGTATCCTAATAGAAGACTCCTCAAAATCGGGACTTTTCAGAATTTCTTTTTAGCTAAAGTTATAGATATGGCTTCAGATAGATGTATTTTAGCTTCGGCAGTGAAATTGGAAACGTAATTTTTGAGAAGAAAATTATAAAATAATTTTTTTGGGAGATTTTCTATGGGGTTCAGTTAAGAAAATAATTTCACTTTTAAACAAGTTTTTGGCATTTTTTTGGGCCAAGGGCTATCGTTTAAAATAGTCTTTAACAATTTTAAAATTTTTGATTCATTTGCGGGATCTACTTTTTCGGGCGATTTTGGGAGGTTGAAAAATAGAAGACCATGGTCTTCTATTTTTCAACCTCTCAAAATCGAATAAATATGATACTTATAACGTATCAGAATAAATATGATACTTATAATGTACACAGTAAATTACCGTACTAGCGGTGTATTCCTCTCAAGCGATGCGCTTTCTAAAACGACCGTAAGCTTTTCTAGTTTTATCAAATCTATCAATTTTTGGTATTTTTTGGCATCCTTGGTAAATCCACATCAAAAGAGTCGATAGATTAGATAAACTAGAGGCAGGATTACGATAGCTTTCGAAAGTTGACACGTTTTAGAAAAAGAAATAATTTGACAAGAAATCATACAGTAGCTTGGCTACGTTTTTTTTAGCATTTCCAACTTGAAAGGCAGCCATTCCAAACCTTAGCCGAGCTGTCCGCCGACCCGGTGATCAGCAGCTTATCATCACTGCTCAAAATCGAGCACATCACTTTCGCCGTATGATGTTTCATCACTCTCGAGCATTCACCCTAAAATATTTGTTTTTGATTTTGAATTGAATTTTCGATTCACATTCGCAAAACTCCATTGTCTGACAGTTTTGTCATGAGAAGTGCTGACGAAGAAGATCCCGTCTCGACTCGTCGTCAATGAAGTCACCGTCGCTGTATGGCCTAGATTTTCAATTAATAATTCAAAAAGAAACTCCATCTTTAAATCTATATTCCAGGAATTAGATTTTAGCTTAAAAACTACCTTTAAAAGTCGTAATGAGAATCTGTGATGCGATGTGGTACATGTAGATGAGTCCGGGTTGGCTCAAATTCCCGGTGGTCAGCAAGTGCTGGTGATTCTCGGTGGGAGTAGCTAGTGTCACAGCCGATTTCCAATCCTTCGATCATTTTGTAAAAGAAAGAAATCCCTGACTACCTTTAGTCGAAACGAGAGAACTTGTTTCATTTGTGGTGGCGGAATCCAACAGGTGAGTGGCACGAGAAGGGGTTGCTTTGAATAGGTGTCAACCCAAGCCATCGCTTGTTCTACCATTGTGTTCAAGAAATGCGAGTTCTCGGCTGGAAAGTGGAGAAACAAGTTTAGAATTAGCTTATTATTCATTAATGGTATCAATAGTTTTTGTTCAGATCACTGATTTCAGCTTTCGTTCAGACCTTTTTAAATAAAAAGCTAAAAAAGTCTAAAACTCATTGAATTATAAAGGAAAATATTTCCGAATTAGCTTAATAAAACTATAAGAAGAATCCCTGATTGCCCTTGATACCTGGGTTCCCTTCGGGGATTTGCTTCAAGGCTCTAATAGAAAAAAGTATAGTAATTGGGTAATTGCCTTTGTTCAATTCAATCACCTCTCGTATATCTGAGTCGTCCGATGACCTCAGCCGCCAATTGCTCATTATCTTTCACCACAGTCTCAAGCGCTGGTAAAAGAACTTGCTCGCAAAGAACCTAAACAAAATTAGCATATAATTCTATTTGCATATATTTTCTCTCAACTCACCTGAATATCATGATGTAGCACTTGTAGAACGCATTCCTCGTACATTGTGAGTAAATGGGAGATGCCACAAGAACGAACGGTTGCATCGAGGTAATCGAATTGACACAAAGCCAACTCTTTCAATGCGTCCATATTTCCTGGATAGAATAGTAACTCAATTGATTTACTAATGTCAAACCTGTGTGCAATAAATGGTACCAAAGATTTCGCACTTTTCTCATATTGATCGATCCGTTGTCCCGTTTAAGCAATTGAGGGAAAACTTGGTATTGGAGAGCCGCTCTGGAGAATTGAGTTTTGAGAAAAGGACTATTCAGTCTTAAATCAGCTTTCTTGATTAACTTTCTTGATAACTTATCAAAATGTGATTGATTTATTTTAGGTTTCAGCTCATATTTATAAATAGATTTGAATGACCCATTGAAGAGGCATCCAATCCTAGTTCATTTAGGCGTCCAATCCTAGTCCAATTCCACTACACAAACAAAAAGTATCCAACGTACAAGACTGAAAAACTTTCAAATCCTTCAATTTTCCAACTTTATATTGAATATTTCATTTCTAACATACTGTAGTGCGAAGAAAATTTATTGTTAGACTTTATAGTATCTTTTGGAAACCTCAATTCTTGTTGATGCTCTAAAAATATTCACCACTTCTTCGAATTCTTCGAAAAAACTAAAAGCTCTTCAGACTTTGCTGAATAGTTTTATTCCGGTATACTATAGAATAGATATTATTAGATTTTACAGTACCCGTTGAGCCGATAAGTCTAACCTCGGACTGATCCCATCGATTTCTGTCAACAAATCGGCAAAAATGTCCGCTAAATCCCCATGCGCTGCTTTCAATTCTGTAGAGGCTGTGAGATAACTGAAATCTCTCTCATTTTTCCATCACCTTTTCACTTTTCCAAACCGATGCCTGACCACATTCCAAATCGAGCTATGGCTAAAATGATAGATGATCCGACCGTTTATATATATTGTTGAGAGTAGACTGCCTGAAATAGAGAATACGGTAACTGATATAGCTGATTAAATATACACTACTGTACAATGAAATATCATATTTGAAAAAAGATCGTCACTTTCACACGTCTGTAACTCCCTTGTCTTTACCGTATTTCTAAATATTAACGTATTATAAATATTACCATTGTGTAGCCCTTGAAAAGAGCTTTCAGAAAATGTATAACACTAATAGTTTAAACTCAAAGACAAGGGAGTTAAAGAGGCGCGAAAGTGACGATCGTTTTTCAAATATCATATTTCATTGTCCAGTACTGTAGAATAAGGTAAATGTTTCGCAAAATATACCAAGTGCTTCGAGAATACTGTCGAGGAGAAATGGAGGGAAAGAAACGGGTGAGCCGATTGTTTGTAAAAGGGAGCGATTGGCTGAGAGGACATCTTGGAGCTCTAATCGAGTCAAGCCATGCGATGAAACCGATAGATAACGGCAAACACAAGTCACCTGAATGCAAGCTTTTTGTTACTTTGATTAGAATAATGATTTGTTTTTTAGAGGAAAACAATCTCGAGATCGTAATACTTGAAAAGATCTTGTAAAATATCGTATTCTAGCTCAAAACCAAAATTTCCAGACCAAGATCAAGCAAAATATCAAAATTTCCTTTGGGGCCAAGCCAAATATCAATTATACATAGATTTTTTTGAAATTTTTCCAAAATTATGGTCAACCTAGCCAAGAAAATGAGCTGAATTTGGGTTTTTGAAGTTTTTGAAGCTTTTCTTGCTCTTGGAATCAACGAATTTGTTAGCTGAACTTTTGTCGAGATTTTGATTGACATCAATTTGATTTAAGCAATAAATTTTGGTGATCTTTGTTCACTCACCGGCGCGGCTCCCAGCTCTCCCTCGATCCTTTCCAACCTTCCCTCAATCCCTCCTTTCATCACACCATTTCCTCTCAATAGAATCTCCTCAACTAACATCAATCCAACAGTTACATTCTTCTCGCCACCAGTTAACTGAAAGTTGAGCAATTAATTTTCATTTTTCAAAAATGTACATATTGTTTAATTGTTCCCAATTGATCCGTCGACAACTTTCGACTATTCGTCGTTAGTCTTTTCTTCACGATATCCGTGATTTCTCCTGAATATTTATTTGGCTATTTATTTTGTCTTTATTTCTCTACTTACCTTCAGTTGGTGGATCGAGGTTGACGGTTTGTGAAGTGAGAAAGACTGGTGTTCTAGAAAAGTTGTCATTGATAAAGAAAAGTTCTAGAAAAGTTGTCATTGATAAGTCGCCTAACTTTGTAATAGTTTAGATACTGATTCGTCTAATACAAAAACACAAAACTATTCAAAAAAAAAACTAACATTAGAATTTAGAACTTACACAGTGCCAACGTTTGACGCCGTCATAAACAACACGAGATTCGATGGAGCCTGAAAATTTGAGAGATTTTGTGGAGAAATTATAGACGAATTTAAGGTAAAAATTGTTCCCAAAGAAGATATTCAACTGTAAATTGGTGCCCGGGGGGCTTTCAGGGTCGGGCAATTGATTGGAAATGTTTATTTTATTAGATCTAAGGGTTTTTGTTTGGTTAAACAAGCAGCTAAACTGAGAGAACAGTGTGATGATCGCTCTGACTTGAGCGTCTTGTCTCTTGCTTTTCCGAAATTCTATTTTAATCAATAAAATCATTTTTGACAGCTATAGATAATCGTACACTTTTCGGTCGTCGATCCATCACGGAAAGTAAGCGGCCAAATTTGATCTGATGCACATCGTCAATGAAAAGAAAGAGAGGACGATCCAGTTTCTCCAAAAGAGAATGTAATTGGGTGATAAGATCGGAGAATCTAGAATTCGAGGATTGTAGAAATTGTTTTTAGAATGATAATTTCACTTGAAAACCGAGAACAACGGCTTTGGATCTTTGCCGGAGAGATTGCACAACAGAATGCACACCGTTCGCCAGAGCTCGTGAGCGAATGTTGAGGAATAAGTGAGACCTGGGATAAGTTTTCGATACTTCGATACTTTTAAGACATTTTTTTTGCCAGGTTGTTTAAGAAATAGGTTTAATCTCAAAAATCAGCGCCAACAGTTTACCTTCAAAAAAAAAAATGAAATCACCACCTGTAAAGAGCACTATTCGATATGCGGTTTTATCCTCAGTCAGCTCAAATATCCGCAAAAGTGTTTGCGTTTTCCCGCACATCTCCGGTCCTTGAATCATGTAAGCGCCGGGCAACATCTGAATAAATGTAAGCATAACTATTCTCTAAAAGTTTCCTACATCTTTTGTGAGTTCTTCAATCTTTGCATCAATACTTTTCCTTGGTTGCCATTGTCTTTTCAAACGGTCTCTCAAATGACGAATGTGAGTGAAATTCTCGTAAATGGCTATTGAAAGAAGGGAAGACGATGGGAGACGAGTGGGCGCGAATTTCATCACGCATTGCTTTAGTCTTTCGAGTAACTGAAACGAGTTTGCTTATTGTATAATCTAGAAAGTTTGTTTAGTACAAAGTAGATAGACTATTTAGTCATGACAAAGCCACTTGCTGACTCTGAATTTATGAATAAAAGTTGTGTATTATAGCTTAATGAGATAGGATTGAGTTAAATGACTCTTATCTAGTTATCTCGTTTATTTTGATAGTTTAATTTTATCTAAACTCGTCGATAGCGAGTCTTATCTGTATCAGAGCTAAGAAGCCTTTTTTGAAAAAAGCTTGGGATTTGGAAAAGATTGCTAACAATTCGATCGGATTACTAAAGATGCTAAAAGGCTAGTTCAAACCGGATGTATTTAGGACAAGCTAGAAGTCAGATCCAGATCTAACTTCTGAGCTACTTTTGTGAGTCAAAACCAGCACAGGCCAGAGGTTTAGTCCAGGTCTGACTTCTGCTTTGCTCAAGTACTTTTTGTGGAATAGACCTAACCTGGTCTAGAAAAATTGGTTTTTTTTGCCTCTTCTTTCCCCTTGTCTTTTCCTCTTTCTCTTAGCAAGTTATGGTACCGGATAGCTCCGTGATTAGAGGAAAAGCAAAAACAAAAGGTCGAGGGTTCAATTCCCTCTCGGGAAATCTGCTTTTCTTCTGCCAACTCCTTCACTTCTTACCTGTCTCGAGAAATTGTCCCTATATTTATCAGCGTCTCTCCCGGAGAAGAAATTCTTCACCTCGCCGCCATCCGCTTGCAAAGTGAAGGCCAGTACCTGTATTTGCTCTTTTAAATTCAAAATTTTCTCCTTACCGCAGCCGCATCGACTTGTGCCGAGAGATCATTTTTTATCCTTTGCACCTTTTTTTAGGGATTCCTCATCAATATCCACCCACGGCTCGTTGTTTTTGTCTTGAACGGCTCCTAAGTTTTTGATGGTAATTTCTCAATTTAAGTTAAATATGTATATGTTGTGTCCGATTTAGATTTCCGTCCGATTTAGATTCAATCTAAATCGGACGGAAATCTAAATCGGACACAACATATATATGTACCTTCAAATTTTCTCAAAATATAGCACACTCGATGCTTATCGATTTGATTCGATTCGTAGAGGATTGAATGAAGAAAAGACCAGAAGAAGCGCTGTTGACGGTGAGGGGCAATTTGATTGATTGAACCCTCTTGAAAAGCCTGAAATTTATTGTAAGAAAGTTTTAATAAAGTGAGCTTAGAGAGATTTAAAAAAAAACTATATCTAAGATCCAATTTGACTTTTTTTTCATTGAAACAATCGTATTGGACGAAACACGGTCTAAAAACACCTAATGAAGCTGTTCTCGATCAAGCTTTTTGCTTTTAAAGCTTTTTAAAGAATATCTGACTTACCGTAATCTGTAATCTACCGTAATCTATGCTGTATGTGTTTATAAATGACAAGGGGGGGATGGGACAAATGCGACCTTTTTTGTTGGAAAAGGCCTTAGGCAAGGTCGTAGAGCTTCGAAAATATTTCCATAAAAGGGAATCGTACGCGTAGATTCCGAATTTCGACAAATCAGACCTTGCTGACACGTCAAAATTGGGCTAAAAGACAAAAACTGCGGAAAAGTGTTAATTTGCGTAGTTTTTGCCTTTTAGCCCAAATTTGACGTGTCAGCGAGGTCTGATTTGTCGAAATTCGGAATCTACGCATACAATTCCCTTCTATGAAAACATTTTTGAAGCTTTACGACCTTTTCTAAGGCCTTTTCCAGCAAAAAAAGGTGCGCAAATGTCCAGGTGCGCAAAAAAAGGTCGCGTTTGTCCCACCCCCATCACATGGGCTTACAAAGAAATTGAAAGATTAAGGCAGCTTTTGAAAGTTTACACGTTTTAGACACGTTCAATGAAACTTTAGAAGAGTTAAACATAAAAAAATGAATAACTAATGAATAATTAGATAGTTTTGGGCTTTAAAAACGAAATTCATATAACTTTCTAATGTTTTTTTATTTATTTTATTTATGAACCGTCTTCCCAACCGTTTCCGCTCCTTTCTGCATCAATGCCAACAATTTCTTGACAACTTTCGGATCATCGAGATCGGCTTTCAATCGATACTCTTCCGGGTTCCGCGTTCGATCCAAAATATAATACTTTTCCAGGTATTTCACATCTGAAATCAATTCTTAGTCTTTTTTAATTTTGATTTACATTTTAAAAAAACCTTGATTGTGCTCGAAAACGGCCTCTCGAATCGCGTCGAATTCCTCCTTTCGCAACTCCAACGGCAATCCACCGTCTCCATATTTGTCACCGATTAACAACTAAATATTTTTAACTTAAAATTATCTAACTATCAAATGTATAAATGTTATATTAGATTTTGTTTTAATCAAAAAAAAATTGCTCACCACAACAACCGTATTCGGATCTTCCATGGCTCTCAACGTGTTCCGGTGCACTTGAGCTGTCACCTAAATTTGATAACTTTAAAAATTATTAGAGATTTCCACCTACATACATCAAGTTGCATATTCAAATTGTTATCAAATTGCAAACTTGTTTAAAAAACAGTTTTCTTCAAACCTTTTGTTGATCGGTGAGCGTGTCGGCCATTTCGAGATCGATCCCACAGTGAAAAGCGTAATTCTGCAACTCGGGCAACACCTCGTTCCACACCAAACGTCGCTCGAGTGGCCATTCTAAAAGAATATCATCAAAGATGCTCCAGGAAATCAGAAAACAAACAATTCAGGTTAATCTAAGTGCTAGTTCAGTCCAGAGTCTTGGCTGAATTTGGATAGCCAGTCAGAGCCAGCCAGAACTAGGCCAAACCAGTTCAGAGCTTTGGCCTAGCTCAAAACTAACTGTAAATTCAAAATCAGCACGTTCGATTACCCAAGAATATATGCAAAATAGTAAACAACTAGTTAGCAATAATTTTTAGGCTACACTTTGACACTTTAAACGACTACTCTGAACTTTAGACCTAAACTTTAAAGTTATTTAGCACTAGATTCCTCAACCGTACCATTATGCGAATTATAAACGAAGAGCACTCGACAGTGCACGGGCGAATCGTCAACAGGATCCGGGGCTCCTTTCGCAACTCCCGATGTCCCCTGGGTTGTCCCCGAAGAAGCACCGGCACTAGCGCCCGTTCGAGACTCGGCTCCACTTCGAAACATTTGCCTAAAACAGTGCACATTAAATTCAATTTGAGGCTATTTAGTTGAGTACTATGTGTTGCTATCTTCATCGATCGTTTCAGAAACGGTGAATCGACCAAAACACAAACGGTTTGTTTTATCGAAAAGCCCTTTTTTTTTCAATAAAATGCTTCTCAAGTGTTTTAAAAAAAGCGCTTGTTTTGAGAGATTTTAAGAGGAAAGAAGGCAAGTTGTCAAAATGAACAGATTTCACCCGTTTCTTCTAAAGAAATCTATTTTAATGTAAATAGAAAAAGATAAAAAATAAAAAGCTCAGAGTATCGGGAAATTTTGAGAAAAATTCGTTTCAGATTTCTTTATCTTTCTCTTCTAAGAATTTACTTGCGAATTTGCAACATATCAGAACAAAAATTTGTTTTAAAATACCTAAAGTACGTTTATTTTTAGCGACTAGACTTTATTTTTAGCGATCCAATTTTGAGCAATTTTTAGCGATCGATTTTAGCGATTTTTTTGAAGAAAGAAAACTCGTTAATAATTAATTTGAAGAAAAATCGCTAATAATAAAAAAAATAATGAGCAAAGAATACCAACACATAGTACTTAACTTAATAGAATTGTAGGTAAAGGTTTTTTTTTGTTGAAGTCACCCACAGAAAGAAGCGGGAACGCCTTCGGGGGCTTTTCTTCTTTTCAATCATAGAAAAGCCGGGGTCGACATGGTGATTTTCGGTTGATTGAGGAAAGGGAAGCGGGAATTATACTGTAAGAATTGAATTTGCTCGCGAGTACTACAAGGTAATACAAGGAGAATGGTTAGGCTTTGGGAACAGTACTAGTTACGGTACTGGCTGAGGCTGTATTGGAAAATGTTGTAAGGGGTTCAGGGTACTGTAGAGTAGTTTTGTAGTAAGCTAGGACGCAGTTTTTTTATTTTGGGAAAGAGTACTAAGAATAATAGACTTTAGGTCAGCAATTGTATAAATTACTTGCCAAGGGTGATCCACAGGGAAAAGCTTTGCTGCAAATACTGTAAAATATTATTATAATCAATTGGGATACTGTAGAATATTGTTGTAATCAATTTGAACCAAGTTTATGGTTGAAAAGAGTACTATCACATTTAGGAGTACCAGGAATAGTAACTTTGAGTCAGCAAAGCAAAAGTCACGAGTACTAGGAGTACAGAGAGTACTTGAGAAGCAATACACTGTAGAACTGTAGAGATATTGGTGTTTATTGAATGAGAAATGAGGTGAGAAGGGGAAGTGAAGCGGAAGTGAATGCAAAGAAGGTTCCCCCGGGGGCCAGCCAGGGACCGGCGCATTTCCACACCCATTAGGCGGACCCTACCCTGTTCCTAGGCCCGGCCCTGGCCCTGTCCCTGGCCCTGTCCCTACACGATCTCCGCACTCGTTCATAGCTACTTGTCTTTGTCTTTACCTTTGCCTTTGTCCTGTCTTCTTGCATGGCTGTGCATTTCAATTTATTCGATTTTCTCCTTTTTCTCTTTATTTCCCCCTCAGTACCCATACACAACAAGAAGAAAAAGCATCGAAAAGGGATCAATTTCAATTATCGGTGTGTGTGCCTTGCCTTTCCCCTTTCTTCTAGAGAAAAATTCACCCTTTTCCTTTCCCCCCTTTGCAATTCCCGCACATAAGGATCCGTTTCTTTTCATCTATTCTTCCTTTCCTCTTTTTCAATCACTCTCATTCTCACCGCCCGATTTGTTGCCCTGGGTATTTCCCTCAACTCTCAACCAAACTCAGCTACAAATCAAACGGAAAGTTACTGGAAAAAGAAAGTTTCAAAAAGTGAAGAAATTCACAGAAAACCCCGATGACTTATAAATGGATAACTGAAGCCATTCAATAGTTTGGATAACTACCGTAGTATCTAAGTAGAAGCTATTCTCTGAATGACCTTTCTCTGAATTCTCTTCTAGACCAAAGCAAATTTTGGCTCTGGATCTGCAATAGCATTAGATAACTAGATCAAAATTTCAGCTTTACTATCAAATAACATTGTTTGATTGATCTAGTCCTGCAAAATTCATTCTATAGCCAGTTTTCTTCCCTAACCCCACTCACCGCTTCATTCGCATCCTGAAAGATTTATGCATCGTGAGAGAATACTGTGAAAGCCAATAAAGCCAATAAAGTTAGAAATAGAATGCGTTTAATGTGTTTTCTAAAACGTTTCAGTTTTTGAAAGCTACCGTAATCTTGTCTTATCTCTAGCGGATTTCTCAAGTTTTGATCTCTCTAATGGACAAAGAAACAAAAAAAAAAGACGTAAAAGTAGATAGATTCAATAAAAACTAAAGACAGGGTTACGGTAGCTTTTCGAAAGTGAACACGTTTTAGAAAAAGGGCTCAAAGTTGAGCAAATGAGTAGAATTTAGGGATAAATTGGTGAAGATTGAAAAAATTCGAGTAGCTATTTGAGAGAGAAAAGGCGTTGTGTTGAGTATGGATGGGGATACGAGAAGAATAGGTGGATCTCGGATTCGTGAAAGGGAAAAGGGAAATCCCCGAAAAAAAGAAGGAGACAATGCACGAATTATATTTGTTCTTCAAGACAAAAAAAAAAGAGACAAGAAAAACGAATGAATACACAGGTAATCCGTGTGAATCCAAAACTCTCTCGTAATAGTACAGAAATAATTTCAAGCTCGAATGCATTTGCCAAATCCTTAGCACGTCATCTCCTATGTTTGTGTCTTTTTTTTGAATTTTACAAAGTTCCAGCTCTTTTGTGACTTTGCAGCTTGAAGCATAAGAAAATGAGGTTTTTTCATAGAATTTTCAGTACTTGTCGATTATACATCCACAGAGACTCAACTCGGTTGCAAGGAGCTGACCATGATTATGTTCAGTGTTCAGCGGTGATTATGTTCAGTGAAGTAGAGTGCTCGCCTAAAGTGATCAGTCGATCAGTCGAACGAAAATCGACAACCGAGAAGACTCGGATGGGCTTAAGGCTTAAACGTGATGAGTCTTTGTGGATGTATAACCGACAAGTACCGAATTTTCTATCGATTTCTATTTTCTATAGCTTCTGATCCTGGTAGCGATAGATTCTATAGATTCTAATTCACAGATTCTATAGGTTCACAATAGATTCTAGATTCTGTTAAGCCATAGCTCTGTGATGAAGTCTGCGGCTCAAAGATCGTAGCTTCAAATCCCCTAGCTACTTTTCTCTGTCAAAAATATTTACCTTTTCTTTATCTTTAGCTAAAACTTACCCTTTCTTGCTAACTAGACTTTACTACAGCCATTCATCGCCTACAGTAATTACACGAAACTCACCTTGTCGAGAGAGTGCCTGTTATCGAGAGATTTGAGTGTAATCAAGGAAAAGTTGAAGAGAAGCAATTTCGCGGAGGAGGAGAAGGAGATCGAGATCACTCAAAATCACCATGACAACTTTTCAAGAAAATACAACAGATTTCTTTTCCACTTTTTTTGTCTCTCTTCAGATCACTCTTCCATCTGAAAACAACGGTATTTTTGTTTATAAAAGGAAACATGGACTTGAAAAGAAAGAAAAAGATTTCCCTTTAGATTTTGAGCCTTCAAATTTCCTTATTGTTACAAGATATTCAGTTAAAGTTACTCTTAAGAAAACAGAAAAATATTCAACTTTCAAAATACATAAAATGGTAACTTTTCCAGATGTGAACAAGTTGAAGGATAAGAAGAGAATAAAGGAATGGACATTGAAGAGCAAAGGAATGAACATTGAAGAGCAAAGGAATAGAGCAAAGGAATGAACATTGAAGCCTGAAAAGCTAGGATATCTGTTTTTGACATAAAATGCAAAAACGAATTCCTGGAAATGGCACCAAAGAAAAGATGGAATGGACTGTTCAGTCAAAGATCGATTTCGAAAACTACAAAACATTCAACTTTAGGTCAGTTAAAAAGGTCAGCAACCAGATCAGCAACCAAGAATAGAAAGTAAATCAATAAAGTTAACTGAAAATAGGATCAACCAATCATTTACTCAACAAGATAACCTCTAGCTTTTTCTTTGAATCTAAAGGTTTCTAAAAATGAAAATTAGAAATTAAAACTGAGCTGTGACCAAGGAAAAACAAAAAAGCTTATTTATATATATGTTTTTTTCCATGATTAAAGGGTTTGGGCAACGTTTTATATGAAATATCTATTTTTTCTGCTTTGTTGTTTTTCTTTTCAAAAAACTAAAAATTTTTTTTTATATTTGAAACGCGTATTAATTTACGCGCCGCGTCAATCTAGCCGTTTAGTTGATCTAAGAATTGATACTTTATTCAGGACCTGAGATAAAGTGCACTAGATTTAAGATTAAAACACATGAATTCATACACATAACACGAAAAGGGCCGATAAAAAGCAAGACGATATAATATAATATATGGGTAGTACAGATAACCTCAAGAATTCACTAGAGCTTCAAGATCAATATCATCTACAGATAATATAAAAGTTTCGAGACTATTGGACTCTCTCAAAACTCTGGGGAGTCGATTCCAAATTCTGGCAGTTCTTATTGGAAAAGAGTTATAAACAAACTTATTGGAGGTGACTGGAATTTCTAAAACGAAAGAACCTCTCCTTGAACTAACCGTTTCTCACAAAAAAACTCAAACAAAAAACGATAAAAGCTATGCAAGTTATGAACTGTTTTTTCCGATAAAATCCCGTTTTTCCTTTCAAAATCTTTCAATGCGGTTATGTGGGATGAATGGATGAAATGGAGATGATAAAATGAATGAGAATTTGGGGATGAAATTGAATGTACAACACACACACACACCACACAAGAGCTCTAACAATGGCCAATTTGGGGGGCCACATTGCCCTCCGACATTGCCTCGATTTTTCTTCCCCTTCCACTTGTTGGCCTTTTTTTGTCAGCGGGACAGCACATGAATTTCCTTTTTTTCTCTAAAAACATGCGCCAAATCACATGCTCATGAATTGTTTTGCAGAGAAAACTGTCCAAAAAATACGTGAAATTATTTTCTGTTTAAAAACAAACAGTATTGTTTGAATGTAAAAGCCAAAAACCTAGCCAGAAAAATGCTGGCTTTGCTGGCATTTTTTGGCATGCTGGCTAACTTAAAGTTACGGTTGATTTTTAAAAATAAAAATATTAAAGAAATAGTTTAAAGAAAAGTACTGTTGATTGTAAAAATGCTGGGTTTGCTCTTGTTTAACTTAAAGTTAAACATAAATTTTCGTTACTTGGTGTAAATGAGTTTTGTTTTGGGTTTTGCGGCTTTGGGTTTTGTGTTTAACTTTAAGTTAAACAAGAGCAAAGCCAGCATTTTTACAACCAACTCGTGGTTTGGGGATATCAATCTGTCTCAATTCCTGTTCATTTTCTAATTCAAAAGTTGAAATTGTGACTTAGATTTGGAGCTTTGCTTTTCGTCAACTTTTGAAAACCACCGTTATCCTGGGGGGTGAGACAAAATGAGTGATTTGTTGCCGTTTTTCCGGGGGTGGGACCTTTTTTTTGCGCACCTGGACATTTGCGCACCTTTTTTTTGCTGGAAAAGGCCTTAGGCAAGGAGCTTCAAAAATGTTTTCACAGAAGGGAATCGTATGCGTAGATTCAGAATTTTGACAAATCAGACCTTGCTGACACGTCAAATTTGGGCTAAAAGGCAAAAACTACGCAACTTAACGCTTTCCGCAGTTTTTGCCTGTTAGCCCAAATTTGACGTGTCAGCGAGGTCTGATTTGTCAAAATTCTGAATCTACGCATACGATTTCCCTATATGGAAATATTTTCGAAGCTCTACGGCCTTGCCTAAGGCCTTTTCCAGCAAAAAAAGGTTCGCATTTGTCCCACCCCCTTATCCTGGTTTTTCTTTTGATTCAATCTGTCTACTTTTAATCTGTGATACGTAAAGAATATCAAAAGATACAAAAAAGAAAAAGATATTTTGAATAAAACTAAAGGCAAATGTAAGGTAGCTATTGAAAATGGACATCTTTTCGAAAAAATAATCACGAGAATCACAGTCTATTCAAAACTTCAGCTAAAAAAGGACACCTTCTAGAAAAAGACACCAAATTCATGGTGATATTGTTTAAGGTTTAAGAAATAAACTCAAAGTTTTGAAGAGAATTTGAGTGAGAGATTCGGTGAGATCAAGCCTATTTAGCTCACCAATTCCCTCATGGAAAATTGGACTTCACCCCTTTTCCCTCCATTTTCTTTTCTCCTTTAAATAGACACGGACACAACACCCAATTTCCCCTCTCTTTTTCTGCCTTTCTTTGCCTTTCTTTGGCTTTCTTTTTACCCACACAACACACTCTTGATACGATTTTTGTATTCATTTGAGTAGAAAGTAGTAGAAAGAATGAAAAGATTGGCGATTCATCGGATGAGACAAGCACGAATCATGGGTTTCTATATGGGATTGATGAGAAAATGATCAGAAAAAATGGATTTGGATTTAACGTTAAAAACGATAGAGTGAGCTGGGTTTCGTTGAGAAAATTTCGTTCAGAAAAACTTGCCCCTGTATTTTTTCCTGATAAACAGGTCTTTGATCCGATTTTTATTTTTATTCTAGCATAAACGATCATTTATTGGATCGGGATTTATTGGATCTGCTCGAATCAGGACTGATCTGATCCTATCGACCTAAGAGAACGCTGATCCATCGGATGAGACAAGCACGAATCATGGGTTTCTATATGGGATTGATGAGAAAAGAATCAGAAAAAAGGATCAGCGCTCTCTTAATGATCGTTTATGCTAGAATAAAAATGAAAATAGGATCAAAGACCTGTTTATCAGGAAAAAATACAGAACCAAGTTTTTCTGAACGAAATTTTCTCAACGAAACTCAGCTCACTCGATCGTTTTTAACGTTAAATCCAAATCCATTTTCTACAGAGTGGCGACACCTTTTTTGAAGAAAATGAGTTGTATAAATCCAATCGGGAAGTTCTTTGTAGATAAATGATGCCACGATAAAGGGCTATATTTTTCTATCTAACACTTGACACCTTGGTAATAAGCCAGGCGTTTGGCAGCAACTTTTTCAAAAGGTGTTGTCATAATTCGCGGTTCCCTGATCCATTCCTCTGGAAATCCTCTGGATTATGATAGAACTATGAATTAGTTTTTGATAATAAAAATGAATTCGGCTTTAGCGTCAAAAAACTCTATCAATTAGGATGGGCTTTGTTTACAAAAGTCACTTTGATCTTTGTAAAAAGCCACTCAAATTGTACTTGTTGTACAAATTGTACAAATTGTACTATCACCATACCAGTATCTTAGTCAGTAATACTATTTTTAACCGTAGCCATCATTTCATTTGTTTTTTGATCATTATGTTTGACTCTAAACTTTTTGTTTCCCCACAATCGACCTAACTTTTTCAAAGTTTCCCCCAAAAATCATTTTCTTTTCCTGGATGTCAGTAAAAAGTTGTCTTTTGCGGAGTGATCGACAGCTAAGAAAAAAAGAGAGAGTTTAAAATGTAACTGTTTTGAGGAGAGGAAAGGAGAAAGATTAGAGAAGAGTGAAGAGATCGAAGAATCTAAGGAGTAAGGGGAGTTAAAAGAGAGGAAGATTAGAGAAGGCCAAGTGTTCCTCCCGGTCTTCTCACACAAAATCCCCGTCGGCTTTTGGGTGCCCTTTTCTCCTTGCCGATCATTCGTCAAGTCTTTTCCTAGATTTCTTCTGCCAAGATCAGTGCAATCTTTTCCCAATCAGATCACTCTATATTCCCATTTGATCAATTCAATCCCATCAGAATTCGATTAAAATGATCAAGACGATCGCCTCCACCGTCCACCAGGGCCTGCTCACTCTGCTCTACTTTTTCTATTTTCTCTTCAAGTGAGTTTTTTTTCTGATTGAAAATATATCTCTACTTTTACATCAAGGCTACTGTCAATTCCTGTCCCGGTACAGTACAAAGTATGCAGGTTTTAAGACTGAATGCTTGTAGCTAGGTTTAATTCAAGAATTTTAAGGTATCCAATTTTGACATATAAATAAACACTGAAATTCTGGGATACTCTAGCTATAGAAATATTGTACAGAGATTTTACAGTAGCTTTAAGAAATTTATGCTTTTTCTAATACGGTTTTTCTGTCCAGCTAGAATATTTGACAAAAATGAAACAGATGCGGAAACTTTTCCGCTAATTGCATTCAAGGATTATTTGGTTGTTCTTGATCAAGTCAATCTTGATAAACTCACTTTTTTACTAAACCCTCTTTTGCATTGGATACACTGTGTAATGGGGATCGTTCCCATTGAGTTCTTGAAGAGAAATGACCAATCATGAAAAGAGGGAAAAAGATGGCAGAGAACTTTCAAATCAAGAGGTTAGCCTCGTTTTTTCGCAACACTTCTTTAGCATAGATATTTAGCGAATTGGAAAGCTTTGCGTAACGGTTTTCTGGGCAATTCAACTGTGTGAAAGTCATTTCTTTACTAAGTGCTTTAAAGCAAAATTTCTGTTTAGATTAGATGATGGGATAGGCTGTTTCAGAATAAAGAAGGAAGGAATTGGTAAGAAGAAGTCGATTTCCAAAGAGGGGATTGAACTCTCGATCCGGCTTTTGCTTTCCGGGGCAATTGCTTTAACCACTGAGCTATTAGGTACCTTAACTTGTCAAGAGAAAGAAGGAAAGACAAGGGGGAAGAAGAAAGGAAGAAAGAAAGAAAGAAACTTACTATTAGGTTTGAAATTTCGATAGCAATAAAGTTTTAACAACGAAATTTTGGAAGAGCCAAAAGCCTGGGCAGCTGTCTAGTTCAGCTTCAAGCTGATAATTCGCATTTTACAATTATAAATGCGTATACCTAATAGGATTAATTAACGGAAATTTCTTGGAATATGGCTTAGGACTTCTTGGGTTATGGCTTTCTGAAAGGCTTGGCCTTATATCAAGTTAGATGTCTTTAGAGATACTACAAATTATGCTATAAATTTGTTTTCCCATCAAGGTGCTCACATTTCCCGGTTTCTGACACTCAAGCTCGAGAAACAAAACCCCATTTCCCCCTTTCCTTCTCTCAACAACTCGATCTTTCTTCCTCACAAAATGCCTTCTTAGCCGACTTACCCACATTACAGCATTCTTTGTGAAAATTTGCTGCCCTTTTTTCTTGTTTCTTTCTTGTAAGCCACACAAAAAGTTGTTGGGAAATTGTTGGGAAATTTGCACAAACTTTCGCACTCACCGTAAATAAATCATTGGGGAAATTGAGAATAATAAGAATTTAAAAAAATTACGCCAATCTAGATATCTAAGAATCTTTTTAAATATCTATAAATATCTATAAAGATATCTATAAAGTTAAAAGTAAATCTTCCTTTTGATGTTTTGTGCAAAATCTAGATTCGTTATAAAATTGAAAACGCCTTAGATCCGGTTTTGCTGTCCAGTTAGAATATTTGACAAAAATGAAACAGATGCGGAAACTTTTCCGCTAATTGCATTGAATTGCCTTAGAAGGGTCAGCATAGGGTTCAAGAAATTTCAATTCCTGTCCCGGTACAGTACAAAGTATGCAGGGTTTAAGACTAAATGCTTGTAGCTAGGTTTAATTCAAGAGTTTTAAACATATCCAATTTTGACATATAAATAAATACTTAAATTCTGGGATACTCTAGCTATAGAAATATTGTACAGAGATTTTACAGTATCTTTAAGAAATTTGTGCTTTTTCTAATCCGGTTTTGCTGTCCAGTTGGAATATTTGGCAAAAATGAAACAGATGCGGAAACTTTTCCGATGCGGAATTGAGAGATTATTGATTGCATTGAATTACCTTCAAAGGGTCAGCATCGGCTTCAAGAAAGGGTAATGGGTTAAAATTGCTTAAAAGATGAAAAGATATAAAGTTAAATCAAATCTTTATTTTGATGTTTTGTGGAAAAACATAAAATTTGCATATTTCAAGAAGAAACTTGTGTGGGAGTTTTGAAGAATTTCTGAATTTCTTGCAAGGAAGAGGTGCAAAAAGGGCTATAAATACTCGAGTCTTCAGAAAAATGGAGAAGAGGTGGAGAACGGAATATGGAGAGAGTTGGATAAAGGAAAGGAGAAGATGGGAATTGAGGGAATTGAAGGAATTGAAAGCGGGAAATCGAATCCCCTTGAATCCATCCATTCACAGCCCATTCCATCTCATTTAACCCTTATAGATTGGCATGAACTAGATCTTATTAGTTTTGATAAGTTACCAAACTAGATGCCGATACTAACAACTACATAAACTAATTGAATTCTTTCACTTTTCGGACAATTTTCGATAAGCTGCTCCGGCATTAAGCCCCCCCTTTTCCCCAGTCTTTTGTTCGTTCATCTTGATCATTGCTTTCCTAAAACGTGTCAATTATCGACAAACTACTGTAATCTTGCCTTTGGCTTTATCCAATCTCTTTATTTATTGTATTTTTTGGTGTTCTTCTCGTGAACCCTAGAAGAATCAGATTAAAAAAAAGATTGAACAACTCGAGCCAAGACGGTAGTTTTCAAAAGTTGACACGTTTTAGAAATGGTTTTTGAATAGAATCGGATAATTTGAGATGCGTCCAGAAATATTTTGGATCTACCGTAAATACTGTAATAGTACCCCATCCCCATAATGACGATGCGGAGCGTTGGGTAGTCTAGCTTTGGACGAGTTTTTCTCGACACTGTTTTATGCTACAATGCGCGCTTAGGTATCAAAAAATAGCCCTGAATTTCAGCTATTTTTTGATACCAAAGACGCATTTTTTGAAAGTACGGGCGCTTTGAAAAAAATGAAATACTAAAAAACTTTTGCGACTACGCGACTGTACGAGGAGGGTGGGGTACTATTACAGTATTTACGGTAAGTGATTAGAAACCATTTCTATACTAGAACCTATCGTTTTTGTTTTTTTTAAAATAAAAGTAACAAAGTCAGGATGAATTGGGAATAGCAAAAATTTAAATGCTAAAACTGAGCATTGAGTGAAATCTGAATTGCAACGTTCTACGTAATAGAGTCAAATTCAAGTCAAGTCAAGTCAAGTCAAATCAGGTCAAGTCAATTCAAGTCAAGTCAAGTCAAAAACAGTCAAATTCATTCCACATACAGCCGAAAAAAAGTGTGTCAAGTTATTCTCGAAATCGAAATAAAGGCCAAACGTTTTCACACAGATACAGTCGATTGTACAAAAGCCAAACAAAATGCGTGCAAAGTTTTTTGTGAGAGAAGAGAATCTCCTAATTAGGGAAAACAGATCTCCAAACTCGTCTCATCCACATTTTTCCTCTCATCTCGATCTTCGTCCTCTTTTCAGAATCGAACATAAACATGACAGACCCAATTAATTAGATCTCAAATAAAAGAAAAGAGAAAATAATTTGAGGGATGAGTGAAAATAAAAGGAGAAGAAGATGAGAAAGGGGATCCCAATATCCTCTTCTTTTCAATTCTTTTCAATTTGGACCCTTTCCCCATCTCGTATTTGGATGTCCTTATTGAAAATGCCCATCCTTTCACTCTTTTTTTTTATTTTATGCACAAATGAGTAGATAATAGAGATTAGACAAAAATAGAGCTGTACGGATAGAGCTGTATTTTCTAAAAGATTAAAAGGAATCTTTTAGAAAACTCTCACAATTTTAACGGAAAAGTCATTTGATTTAAGAAGCAATTTAATCAAATATCTTGCTTTTGAAAATGAAAGCCAGATTTGAGATGAAAAATTGATTGAATTGATATTGATTTGTGTTGGGCGGTGAATTGATTGACATTATTCTATTTACTATTGACTATTTGCTATTGTCTATTGTCTATTGACTATTGACTATTGACACTATTGACAATATTTTATATTGAGTCGACAAGAGCAAAAGCTTTACTTGAACTTAAACCTAAGAAACAGGGTAGAAGTCATGTAGTTGAACTGGTTGAGCCTTTGAAGATCCCTATCCAATCAACTCAACCATAAAGTTGTTTGACAAGAAAAAGGGGAATTGAATTGAGATGGAAAAAAAATGACGGAATGTGAAAAGAGAGGGGAATGAGGGTCGATTGATGTAGGTGGATAGGGTGGATTCAGATGAAATGGAATGGAATGGAATGAAATGAAAGCAAGAGGGAAGGGCTTCAGCACCCCTTCACGCATCTCAAGATTTTAGAGAATTGATTTCTTTTTTTTGATCAACGCTTTACATGTTCATTTTTCAAGGTTAATTTTAAACCTTAAACCATAATTTTTATGGTCACTTACAATAAATAGATCTATGATAGAACAAAAGTTCTAGAACTTAATTGATTGAGGGAAAGTGCCCAGCTGTTTGTTAAGAAAAGAGTTCTTTATCTAGCCCATTTGGCTTCAGATTTAAATGCAATGTTTTTGATAATTGCTAATTTATCATGTTCATTGACAAATGCAAATTGAATAGAATGATGGACTGGATGGAAAACATAAAAATTAGGCATGTTCATTTTCAGTCTATTCTTTTTCAAACGTTTTTTTCATCATTAGATATACCGTAAATACTGTAATAGTACTCCACCCTCCTCGTACAGTCGCGTAGTCGCAAAAGTTTTTTAGTATTTCATTTTTTTCAAAGCGCCCGTACTTTCAAAAAATGCGTCTTTGGTATCAAAAAATAGCTGAAATTCAGGGCTATTTTTTTGATATCTAAGCGCGCATTGTAGCAGAAACCAGTGTCGAGAAAAACTCGTCCAAAGCTAGACTACCCAACGCTCCGCATCGTCATTATGGGGATGGGGTACTATTACAGTATTTACGGTAGCTTTGTGCTATCCAACGGTAAAAAACGTTTGAAAAGGTCGTCGACTTAAGACGTCAATTTTTCCTGTAAATCTATCGATGAATGAACTGAAAAATTCACTGAATTGAAAACTGGAAATGATGGATGAGAAAGAGGATAGATTGATGTAGGTGGATGGGGTGGATAAGATGAAATTGAATGGGAGAAAGCAAGAGGGAAGCGCTTGAGCACCCCCTCCACACGTGTGCACATCTCCAAAGCCTTCTTGGGGACCTATGTTCTTTCTTTTCTTCCCCTCTTTTTTCCCTTCAAAATGTATGTTTGATGCTCGCGCTTTCATTAAATTAGGCGGAGTGAGAGAAAACGAAAAGATACGAATTGACGAAAAGGTGGAGATGTGATGAAAAAAAGAAAGGCAGGAGAAGAAGAAATCTCGTTCTCGAATCCCCCTCTGGGATGAACGAAAGACGAGCACATGCCCCTTTCCCCCATAGCCTTTTCAAAACTAAAGTAAAGAGACTTTAGAATAGGGAAAAAGACTGAAAAGACTGGGATTCCTCGTTAGACGAGCTTCCTTTGCCCTCCTTCGACCCTTTCTCTCATTTTTATGCATTTCACGAGGCATCTCGAGATCATTGATGATGACGAGAGACAATCTGTGACCACATTTTTCGTTTTTCCTTCAAAAAACTAAGCACTTGTCATAAAAATGGTGAAAAATATGGGAAACTGAATTGACTGAGACTTTGAAAATACTTCTTGATTTTAGATTTTTGTTAAAAAATCATTAACGAGTTGATTGACGCATAAGACCTCCCCCCCAAGATGAGGGCGGGGTGTTCCCCTGTAAGGTAAAATCATCAAAAAAATCATTATATTATTTTTCACTTGATTTACTAGAAATTAAAAATTTTTAATTCGAATCTGGGTGAAACAAAAAACGAAACAAATTTCAAATTATCTTTACTTATTTTCAGGGGAAATCCCGAATGGAAATGTGAACGAGAACGAGAGAAAGAAATGGAGAAAATTCGGCAAAAGATTTGCTGTGTCGATTGTCAGCCAAGTCAAGATTGCTTTGAGCACAGAAGAAAAAAATATTGACCTCCGATCACAAGAACATGGCAGAGGAGCAGCGACCACGGTCAAAGGTTGGTGTTTAATGCTAATCTAATTTTGGAACAATCTCTCGTTCTATTAAAGGAAAGGAATGCAAACTTGGGGTGAATGTGCAGGGTTATTCCAGCTTCCAGAGCCAGGTTTAATCTAGGTCAGGTGACTTAACCTGAGTCAGGCAGGCTGGTGCCCAGAATCAGATTCACGCCAGGGTCAAGCCAGAACAGTCTAGAAGCTATTTTTAGGTTCAAAACAGGTCAGATTTAGGCCAGATCAGAGCCAGGAATAGTTAGGCTAGATAGCCTAGGCCAAAACAGTTTCAAGACAAGTCTAGGTTTTTGGTTGGCTTAACACTTTTTTAAGGAAAAGGCTCTACCTAACGCTTTACAAGTATTTACAATCAGTATCCCAATATCGAAGATTAAAAAACAGATTCAATATTTAGATTGGTTCTCAAAAGCCTGGTCATCCGTTTCGAAAGCGGCGGGGAAAGTGTGGGGCGGAGTGAAGGTGAAACAGAGAGTTCATTTTCATTTGTTTGATTTTTTTTGATTGAGTTGATTTTAATCAAATCATCTTAGAAAGGTTTCTCGTGGGTGTGGACAAAAGTGAAGGATTTTTGGAATTGGTTGAGCCGAAAGTGTGGAAATGCCGTCCCGTTCTTCAAAACGGTCCTTTTCACGGCGATTCCTGAACAAGAGTTGCCTCCACCTGCATATCCGTATGAAAAATCGAATCAAGGATTTTATTTTTGCGAATTTTAGAGCCGGCTTCCGACCAGTTCATTTCGATTCGGATGAGCGATCGATGAGCGAAGAGTTGAGCTTCAAAGAGTTGCCACCGGTACAACAAACTAATCCAAGGTTTGCCTAGATTTCATAGTTATTTTCTGACTAGTTCTAAAGATTGACATTACATTACAAAATTAGATTTAGCTTTTATCTTTATCTTAGACTTGTCTTCATCTATTTAAACCGTGCATTTCTTTATCCCATTACCTAGACTTCCACCAATTCCACCACCCCGCCCGATCACCCCATCTTTGAAAGTCACTGAGGCTCAGGATGAGGTAAGCTATGTTTGAACTTGAACTAAAGCATCTTTTAAACAATATTGAGTTTACGGTAGCACTTTTTAATACATTCGCGACAATACGGCCCACCCGGTGCGCCGTAACGGGATTTAGCACTTTTTTATTTAGCAGAGTAGTTCATTTCACATAAAATCCATTTTCCAAAGCGTGCCAAAGCTACCGTAATCTGTTCTCTTTCAGGAGAAAGAAGAGAATGAGCATGAGTCAAAGAAATCCCTCCCCTCCTCTCCACCGCCAATTCCTATTGAAACCTATAACATTGAAAACAAAACAAAAACTCCAGCACCGAATGTCCCTTCAAAGCCACCAATGCATGTCGAATTTCATGAAGTTTTAGCTTTTAAATGAATTGTATAATTGATCCAATCTAGGAGACGACAAAGGCTTATCAGGGAAATGACGGCGCAGCAGCTAGAATCTCCTATATTCAGGTGATTTGGCTTGTTTAAACACTGTTTTTGAAGATATTTCGCATACAATGTACAGAATTTGAAAACATTACCGTACCTTTTAAGCAGCCAAACATCGACTTATCCCAATACACAACGCGAATCGGAGGAATCGGACCATCACGAAGCGAAGCAACGGTAAAAAGGAATAGAAATATCGGATTATTAAAAGAAATAGAACGAAACGACAACTAACATTCGAACAACGAGAGAAGGATCGATTGGACCGGCGATTGAGGGCGGATTCTATTCACAACGGACATATGGAGATGGAGTGAGAGGCGAGGACGGGAGGCATCTCAACCGCCTCCTCCACCACCCCTCCTCCACCAATGCCTAAATCTGGGAAGATTCCAGTAATCCCTGGAAGGTTGTCTTTAAGTTTTGTTAGCTAATGTAAGAAAATAGTAAACTACATTAGGTCTGGAAGTTAAGGAAGAAATACGCTCGTTTCAACTAGATACTGGTAGGCTTAACTTACCGAGACTAATCGAGAATTAACGAGATCAAATGGCCGTTAAACCTTTAAAAGTAGAGAATTGAGTATGCCAGAAGTCAAATGTTTATGTAAATTTCGAAAATATCAGTCTAGATAAGCCAAGTACTTGATACGACTAATGCCTATTTTACATTTGATGTGCCAACTCTCAATGCAGATCAGAGTTTCTTTGTACTTAAGATGTTAAAGCTGTTATCACCCAAATAGCGTTTTCACTTATTCCAGAAAACTCCAGTGGCTGAAGAGCGGAAATCAGCGACCTCACCGGTTGGTGGGAATGTGAAAGGAGCTGTGCCAATGTTGCCCGTATCGGTTCTTGAACAAATGGCCGCTTCTGGTGAAGATTTAGATAACATGAAATTTGACTTTTTTCATTTAGTTGAAACTTTTGGTGAACGAACTGAGAGGAAATCGGCTACAGTGACGGAGAGAGTACGCGAGGCGAACTCGAAGACACCCGTTCCTTTTGAGGGACGAAAAACTCCGGTGTCGTTTGAGCGACGCGTGGTTGGTTTTGAAATAATAAAACCAGCCGAAAAATCCGCCTAATGGCTTTTAATCGAATGTTTTGGGACCGTGCAGGTAGTGGCCGCGGCGCATTCGGAGGTGTCTTTTTCTACGACTCACACGATCCGGGTTCGGTCCCCGTAGTTTGACTCTTAGGATTTTTTATTGAAATTTTAACTTTTTTATTTTTTTTCCTTTAGGAAATCAAAAGGATCTAAGTTTTTCAGTTCTTCAGAAATAACTTATTGCAGTTTTGAATTGTACAGTACAATTGTAGTTTGTAGAAGGGCAATGAGAGGGCAAACTTTTCCACCAACTTTAATACTTTTTTTTTGCAATTCTTAAGTCAAGTATTAACTGAATATCGATCTCGATTTAATCGCTGATTTCAAATTCTTTTTAGGAAAGCCAGGAAACGAAAGTGAAGCGAGAATCATCAATGCCACCGCAGGTTTGTTCTTTTATTGCAAAATCTTTTACCAAAAGTAACTATATATTCTCTGACAGCAGTCAAACGCTATTATAAGACACTTAACCACTACAGTAACCCAGTTGAGCATCAATTTAAGCCAGGTTTTGAGGTTTGGAGACCAGTGTCCGCATTTGAGCCCGAGCGAGCCTCGTACAATCACACGTCTCGCGCGAAATCAGTTGGACCAACCGTGAATTTAACCATGAAATTTTATGAGTAGAAAACTTTTCAGGTTGTGAGTCGAATCGAGAATTCGACCAACGACGAACCGCAATTTATCTTCAGAGCCAAAGCACCGGCTAGCTTCAACCAGGAAAACAATTGTACGTTGTTTGGCTCGCTTTCAGAATGAGATTAAAGCTTCAGTTGATTTAAATGGATACTTGATGGGGCACAGTGTTTATAGACCGATTCCCGAAGCTGAGCGGATGAGAAATACGATCAATAGGCGGTGAGTTAGAGTTGAAGGGGCAAATAATGAATGCGCAAATGAACTCCTTCAGATCAATGTCCGTTTCAAGACCAGTGACTCCAGCTGGATCAACGGCCCCCGTTTGAGACGCCATATGTCAATTATGCTAATGGATATATGAGGTAAGGAAAAAAATTCTATATTAAAAGCTAAAAAAATGATCGAGTTCAGCTTAGGCCAAACCAGGTTTTTCGATGGTTCTTTTAGTTGGGATTTTTGGATGGCTTGAGTGCTTATTTGTGGGCTGGGCTTGGCCTAGACTTACACATTAAAAACTTGCACCAAATACAAATTTTCTATTCCAGCTATAGAGCAGGAGTGCTGAGCCGAATTCCGATTGCAGGGTAGTTCGTATTTGGAAAGCTAATACCATACTGAACTTGACTTATTTATCCCTAAGCCTGCAAGTAGCTGAATGATTAGGAAAAGCCTTGATATGTGATAGTTAAACCCAATTTTCAGTGATGACGGTGGCTTGCGGCAGAGATCAAGCCGATCACGAACAACCGGACCTCAGACACGAGAGGCACCGCTTTCAGTGACACTTTCCATCTTGGAGGAGCGAATGTGAGTTTTAAAATCATTTTGAAAACCCTGATTTTCTAGGTAAACTCCCGGATTCGTGGCTGGCCTCCACCATCAAATACGACACCGATGGATATCAGTAAGGATTATTGGCTGAATGGAGACTCGACAATGTCATGTTATGATCGAAATGGAGATCTTGTCACGACGAAGCTCAAAAGTTGCATTGTTTGAATAAACGACAAGTCAAACTTTTCAGGAATCTCCGAAAAGACGACTGAGGACAACTGGAAATGGAGAGATCACAATGGACGGGTAAGAGCATATACATTTAGATTCTCAAGGTTCATATTCGATTAGTTTAGTTGATTTTTAAGCTTTTGACAAAGTTTTGGTCAGCCGGTAACTCCTTTTAACTCTCAGGTTGTTGACGAGAAATCGGAGCGATCGTGGCAGGGTGATTTGGATGGAGATGACCAATGATGGGCCTGGGTCGGGAAGTCATTTCACGAGAACCGTTGAGGTCGAATCAAAAATGACTTACTAAAGCTTAGATCTAATAAAATGGAAATTTCCAATCGATTCCCCAACCCCGAAAACCCCGGGTACAAATTTACAGCTGAATATCTTTTTTTGTACTATCTACAAGGCAAAGAAAGCCCCAAGTAAAAGGGTGCTAGGTGCTCTTTGTGCGACCGGGTAATCGCTCGTCGTCTGGCTCAGCTCCCCGGTACATAGGTGTTCTCTTTTGTGAGATATTATGTAGAGGGACTAACCGGGTTCAACTCCTTGACGCCACTCTTCGTTGAAAACATGGGCTAGATGTGTCAGACAGTGTGACCAAAGCTGAATCCCGCTACTCCCTACACTCCCCATCAAATCTTCCTTTTCAGATGCTGCCAGGGCAGGACATCCGATTTCAAGATGTCAATCGACAGTACAACAATAACTTCGTTGTAGAGGTTGGCCATAAAAAAAATGAAATTTATCCCAAAATTTAGAGCATTTGTCGAAACTACTAAAGGAAAACTATCTTTTCTTTTATCGTTATTCACTTGCCTTTTAGAAGATTTACCTTAGAGCTTTTTCTATCTCCGATTCGTTTTAACTCACCTTTTGTGCCTTGTTTTTACTCAGAAATCTCGGTGATTAAGTTAAAAAAAGAAAGTTTTTGTTTGTTTGTGTGAACTTTTTTTCATTTTTATTCCAATAAATCTTTTCAATTAATGTCCATATGGAGTTGTTTTACAGACAAAAGCCTCGTAAGTGGCGCCGTTGTTCGTTGGGCTCTCGTCTAAATTTTGGAGAACTGCTCGACAAAAATTTGCTCGACAAAAATTTGAAGCTTAGCTTTATAGTTAGTTTGTTTATAATATTCTAACTTAGCTGATAAATTATATTTTCAACTTGAAAATTGACCACCAACTTGAAATGTACCAGCTCGAATCATAGCACGATCCACAACCACTTCCCTTTTGATGAGCGGCCATCTGAAAAAGAATCTTCTAGATTTTTTACTCACATTTTGTTCATTTTCTCAAGTCAGAGATTAGGGGACACTTCAAAGTATTCAGTTGCCAAAATTGGAAGAAAAGTTTCGTGTTTTTATCGATACTCTGAAAGCCAATTGTCTCAAAAGCATTTTCGGTTTAAGCAATGTCAGATCAGAAGCCAAGTCTTTGCCTTGTCTGGACTGGTCTGGCTTACAAGTCCTACTTCTTGGCTTGGCTACTTGGCTTACTAGTCCAGGTTCGGGCTAGAAGCCAAGCCAGATCCTTCTGGCCTGGACTCAGGTTTTGCTGAAAGCCTGGTCCTGGACCGGAACTCCTAGTTCCTAGGAGTTTCAAAAGTGATCCGGATGACTGGAGAAGCGGGTCCTAGAGAGGCGGGCCCGCTGGAACATCCCTAGCAAGTCCACTATTTGGAGAAGCCGATCCTTTTATGGCTGGGAATCTAAATCTAGGATGCCGGGGCTCGAATCCGCGACCCCTCGGGGACGACCTTACCGGGCGGACGCTCTACCAATGAGCTAGATCCGCGTATCCGTTGCCTGGAGGATGGAACTTTATGCCTTGCACACTCCACCACAACGGTGCTCCCCTTGGCGTCCGTGTGTCCACACAAGGTTAAATGTATAGTCCGATTGGGATTTATCCCGGCCCATTCAACTCCCTCTAAATATTATTTATCTCAATCCATTCATATCTCTTCATTTCTCACGTCCTTTATTGAAATACTCCTCCAAGCAGCGTTTCTCACAGTTTTCCCCCTTGTGGACCAATGCCACATCATTGAGAAGACCAAATCTAAGATTTTTCAAGTTCTTGCTGATATCAAATTGAAATCTAATTGTAAATTTAACTAACTTGAGACGAAATTCTGTTCTTCCACTGAAGTGAATCGATGCCAATTCACAGCGCAGACGGAGTGACAAGTATTTTGGGCATTCGCATAGTTTCCACCGTTTCCTTTCTAAATTTCTATGATCCAATGCCCATTTTTTCTTTTTATGTACGTGCAATGTTGGTGTAGTTGAAGAGTGAGTATCCGTCGGGACAGCCTGCAAAATTTTTTGTTTTCCGAAACTGCTTGACGAAACCGAAAGGGATCGAGCAAGCATAATCGTATTATTGAGTGCAATCGACATCCGTCCACATTTGATTGTTGATATCGACCACTGCGCATAGACCGGTTCCATTTGGATCTAGAAAATGATCAAAGAGCTTGGTTTATTCATCACTTCACACATACTAACGATAAGCCTAATACAACTACCGCCTAGCACTTGCACCAAAAACTGTTCCAGCTCAGTTTTCACCCTATCCGCCTTGACCCTAACCTAGTCTAACCTTACTACATAAAACCAGTCAGAAGCTAGGCACAGGTATTGCCACTATGCTCTAATAGTAAGCAATACAATTCATTGTTTACTCACTTCCATTCAACCAATTCCTGTAATCGTAAACAGAGGCATCAGTCCAGTCCCAATCTTGTGTCACTTGGGTCTTCCTCGAGAGTCCCACATAGAATTTGTCCGTGGTAACACCTGAAAATGATTGGTTTGAAAGTTTTTATCAATCAAAAACTCACGACTCCTGGCATACGAGGCAACCAACGAGTTCTCAAAAGCGTTGTGAACCGACGCGAGATGACCGCCAGCTTTTTGGCACGCAGTCTCGGCATCGGCGAACAAGGAAGTACTGCCTGTTGTGATTTGAATTTGAATTCTTGAAATTAAATCTATTTTTTTAACATTTAGGTTTTTCAACTTTAAAGTGCATCGTTTCAGCAGTCGTTCTATTCCAGTGTCACAAAATCACACAAAATCACAGGCTATTCCAGTGTCACAAAATCACATACCTCCAGTGTTAAACGAAACACACGACTTTAGGGGATCAACGTAGAAGTAATTGGCCGGGCATTGTGCGGCCACCAATTCAAACAGGGCAATCCCAATGAGAATAACGGATTTGATCATTCCAAGGGACGGTTTTGATCAAAATGAAGTTGTCGAAAAGGTTCAAACGTTGTTCCCGGTCTTTTTTTTTTGGTTGGTGGCTATCTGCAATCATAAAAGCGCCCAATCGCTATAATTCCGGTGTCTCCTTTTTTTTAATTGTTGGTTGGAGTGTCTTTTGGTATAACGACTTAGACTTTGTTTTTTGCAAAAAAAATTTGCAGAAAACGAAAGTACAAAGAGTTAAGAAGCAAGTCTTACAGTGTATTTTAAAGCAGAGAAGCAAGTATTTTAAAGTACAAAACTATACTAAAATCAGTTTACCCATCAGTAATAAGATTTTTGGTACTACAGAATTTTAATTTCTACAAATCCCTCAAGCTTTGAAGCTTACAAAGGTGTCAATGGGTGTTTCCAGGGAATGATTTTGTCAGTGAGTGATATCAGTAGCCAGTTTGAATCGTGGCACAATCCGTGAGTAAAGAAAGAAAAAGGGGGATTGGAGGGGAAACTGATAATTTACGAGGTGTCTTCTTCCCTCCTTCGACTTTTGGGTGTAACCTCGAAGTAGACCATGAAGGTGTTTCTTTTACTCGCAGGTTTGTGATTATCGATTACTGTGAGTATCTGTGAGTATCGTACTGCCAAAAGCACTGTACTAACGCTTGTATCCAACATATCACTTACAGTAGGCCCCGTAAGCATGCATACGAACTCCTAGGGACCCAATAGAACTTATTACGATAATTCTAACAATATACTCTTCAAACTCTTTGTACTTAAAAGCTTTGGCTAAGGAAAATGGTTTTATAATGAGTTTCTAGATATTCAGCTCATTTACCAAGGTTTTTATTGCTTTGTTAGACAAATGACTGTTTCAACTGGCACTTTAGGTTGAAACAACAAGTGTTTCAACGCTTTCAGCTAGCTTTTGCCGCCTTTAGAAGACTCAGATTTGTCTTAAATTCGTTCCCATTTTTTTAGTGATTCAATTGGCTTTGTGTGGATCGGATTCGGTCACTTTTCTTGAGCCGGCCACTTTACCTGAAGCATTCCTCGAGGCGAATACCAATGAAAGACTCGCTGCTGCGTGTATTGACAAACAGCTTGCCCAGTGCCAGGTTTGGGGATTTCTAGTTTTACAAAATGATTATCGAAAACAGAATCACAGAATCTTTTGAAATCATTTTCAAAATCAGAATATACTCTTCATTTTCCTTCTAGTCGAGCTTCAACTGGTATTTGAACATCACCGACAATGCCGATTGGTCGGACCCCGCGAAGCTCATTCATGTGCTTGACACTTTTTATGACAAGGTAACCTTTAGATATATACCAATCGGTTACCAGTGGTGGGTTTATTACAAAATTTACCACAGTACTAGGCTAAATCTTAACTTAACTCAGGCCTTCCTTGCACGGACGGCTCCTTAACCCTACTTTTAATGGACGGTGCCTTCATAGCCTGCTCTGGCGGTGAAGAGAAAGCGACAGCGAAGGCTATCCGCTTTACAGAACTAGCGCCTTTACTAGTCTACCCATCTAACCAAAGTCGGGCGGGGAAGCACTCGGATCAGGAAGGACCCCTGGCTCATCTCATGGATTTGAACCAGAGACTAACTGAGCCCGAAGTTGTTTAACTTGGCAGATCTGACAGGATACTGTGTTTCAAGGTGGAGAGGCCGACGACCGACAATCTAACAATTTCAAGACTATCAAGACCGACAATCGATGTCAATTGAATGCTCTCTAGTTTAGTCTGCTTGATTTCATTCGATAGAAGATTTAATTCTCTATTGAATGCAACAAAACACAGTGAATTTCAATGCAATAGAGCTAGACAGAAGTTCCGAAACTTTTGTTTTCAGGGAGTCGACGGAGTACTTCAACTGTGCTATGCTCGTACAATGTTCCAACAATGTCTCGGAGATTCATACACGTAGGTCATAAAAAAGGCGGGCTTCTAATTAATGCTTCTTTCCCTAAATCTTTCTTTTCCAGAGCTTGCCTGCAGCCCACAAAATTCTTGTCGAACGGAATCAGCCTCGCCGACGCGTGGACCTACATTGGAACGATGAGAGAACTCGAATTCACGTGCAATGGAGGATTTCTGCGTTTCGTTTTTCACAATTATTTTATTGAAATCAGACTAGTCAAACTTAGATCTGTTCATTTTTAGCCCGATTTTCAATAGGTATATGTCGTAGCCGATTATGAATGAAATTTTTTGGTAAATCTTTCTAGTAGAGCAACCCTTTAATGTATGAGGACAATATTATATCATCCTGTAGAGAATTAAATTCTGCGTCGATTGGTACCAAATTTGTGAGTTTAGGTTAAAAATTACCGGCGCTACAACGTTTCATTCAAAATCGGCGGGACCCCGTAGCCGATTATGAATGAGTGGGTCTAGGAGCGTCCAACCATCAAGTATTTGGTATCATTCAACGCAGAATCATTAATAATTATGTTAAATTTTTAAAATTAGAAAGATTGGATAAAAAGAAAAAAAATTATGGGGCCTCAAAGTTTCCTCTTGAACAAACAGTTTTTTTGCTCTAATTTTTTTTCTTTTTATCAAATCTTTCTAATTTTAAAAATTTAACATAATTATTAATGATTCTGCGTTGAATGATACCAAATACTTGATGGTTGGACGCTCCTAGACCCACTCATTCATAATCGGCTACGACATATACAACGAAAAAACGAGATTAGACCACTTCAGCAGCTACTTTTTCAGGGATTTTCAAACCAAAAGATTGAGCCAAAAGCAAGCAAATTCTGAAGTGTTCAAATCCCTTTCTATTGTACCCCTATTGACAATTGGACAAAATCTCTAAATCAAAGTCATTTAGAAACGATCTCGCAATGGAATTGTCTTCGTGCAATGAACAAGCTCGGAGAGGATACCTATGCACAATGCAAACAAACATTCCAAAATATCACAACACAGGTAGAAGATTGAATACAGTAAAGCCAGCTATAATGCTGATAAAGTCATCAATATTTTTTGCGCTTTATTTAAACACACTTTAGGATCCATCATTGACTTGCCCAGCGTCGGTGGACTTCACCAACTGTGCTCGTGCTCCATACTATCTCAAGTGTGGAGCTGATGTAAGGATTTCTCAAAAATACAGGGTTTTCAATATCTATAACCAATAGATCACTAGGTTTAAAACTTTTTTTAATACAAATCTAATGTTAAAAAGAAAAAACATATCAAACACATATATTTTTAAAAGTTTAAGTCACTTTTTCTTCGAAATTATTGCCTTTCGCGTTGATGTTTGTCTAGAAACTGTCGTGGAAAGTAGACAAAACATGGATTTTGTCACAAACTTATGTTAAGTTTTCTTGAAAAAATCAAAACTGAAATATGATTTCAATATTTTAATGTCTCATAAATTTAAAAACTAGTAAATAGTGAAGATTTTCTTATCATTAAACAAGAAAAACTACCGTAAATACTGTAATAGAAAGGCACCCTCATAACTACGTCGTACAGTTGCGTAACCAAACTTTGAACGCTCATTTCTCCGCATTGCTTTATTCTACAATATGCGCTTTGGTCTCAAACGATAGCCCTTGAAATCTTGTATTTTTTGATGCCAAAAGTGGCTGGAAAGACATGATTTTTCGAAAAGAGTATCGACTACGCGATTGTACGGGGGTTGCCTTCTATTACAGTATTTACCATGACTCCTTCAGGTAATTTAATGATCGAGTTTTAATGAATCGATTTTTTGCATAACAAATTGAGTAAACAGCAAGTAAGCATGTCATATTCTATCCCAACTCGGTAATTCAATGCTTTCTTAATGATTTTTTTTCATAAACAATCTTTAAACTTAAAAGTTTCCTTTATTACAGGGTGCGGCCAAAATATCCGGCGATGAAAAGACCGACTGGTCTTCAGAAAATTAGCAGAAAAGCTTTATAGAATTTTACTGAAAATAACAACAACAGTCCAAATAACAAAATAAAAACAGTTAAATCTCAAAGTTTCCTCCTTTTTCCCAGCTTCATTTCTAAATCACTTATTTATCAAAAAAATAATTGAAACATATAAAAAAGAATAAAAAAATGCATAAACATAAAAAGAAGCGTGAATAAATGAGTTTTCGCAGTATTATGGCAAAAAGTACGTTCCGCCGGATATTTTGGCCGCACCCTGTATATTGAATTATATTGAATATTGAATATTGAATACATTTATATTGAACACCCTGTACTTACAGATCTGTCAATGATTGTAATATTTCTTTAACTACTTTTTTATTATTCTAATTGTTTTAGGCTTCATGGTGGGAGTGCGAACGAGTGCGGATCTCGCTGAATCTCGATCAATCTTGTCCGGTGAATGTCTGCGAGTTTCACCATTTCTTCGCATCTTTGGTGAGCTACCTTATTAGAATTATTATCCTTTTTATAATAAGTATGTCCAGCTACATAAAATGCAGCTAAATTTGACGGAATATCTTAAGTTTGCTCAGCAAAGCTTTAGAGTGAACCTTCAGCACCTTCGGAGATCTTGTGGAACTCGTTGATACGTTAAATTTTATATAACAATATTAATAAATCAAAACTTTAAGAAAATTACAAGTTCAACTAGTACATTCATTTCAATTGCAATTCCAGACCGACCCCTCATCCTCCGACAAAAAGCCCATGACTCACTCGGAGCGACTCGCGCATACTCAACACATTTCGAGCGGTTAAAAATTAGATTCATTTAAAAAATATATCATTATATCATTATATCATTATAAAATATAACAAAACTATTTCAAAATCATATCAAATATTTCCAGAGAAACTCAACTTTTTGGCGAAACGAGCACGGCAAATCGAGAAGCGAATGGGCAAAGAAAACTAAAAATCACATCTCGTTTCTTTTTAAAAAATAAACTTTTTTTTCTGAAAGTCCCTAAAATATTTTTTGAAAAATTACTACAAATGAGATCATGATTCGGGAAAAAAAACACAAAAAGATGATTGGAAAAGAAAAGAAAAGA